CCGATTAAAAATAAAGTTTTTCCCCCGTGTGTAAAAATGAAAAAAACGTCAACGGCTAATGTAATTCACTACGTCAAACATAACACACAGCAAATTAAGTATGGGGTGATAAATAGATAAATTTAGATTCGAGTGTTGTTATCTTTTTGCATTGTCTCGTCTCTTAGGACTGGAGGCATGCCGCTAGCTGGAAGAGCGGCTGCCACTCTCAAGGTGGTCATGGGCGGAGAACCCTGGCTGTGATTGGCAACCTGACGCCAGGACACCTGTGAGCAGCGCCCCTAGGCGGACTATACAATAAATGCATCCAATAACCTCCTTGATATATCTGATTTCATCAAAAGTTCTTTATAGTATCAGATTGATATGCCTCATCTGATATAATGTAACATCAATTTTACACTATTGAATAAGAGAAATACCACTGTTAATACTAGGCAATGACAGACATCTTCTGAACATTGTGACCAAGTCAGGTAAAATTTATTTTTCTGTGAAGAGTCTGGAAACAGACTTTTAAACTGTTTCAGATATTAAAGTCAAGCCAGGAAACACCCCTCTCTTACTACATGTATTAGACTAGTCCAAGTGGTCTCAAGTAACTGGTGACCCTACCACGCTCTCTTTCTGCCGGGACCCCAGATTGAGCAGACGCCTTTTTGTACCTCAGAGTTACTAACCCTCCTGAATAAAGACCATCCAATGGTATCGACCCGCCTCGTTCCAAGTTCAAGATCAAGAACATAACAAGAAACATGTGACATTGATGGTCATAAAAGAAGCTTATTGACTGATGCTTGTATAACAACCATAGTAAAGTCTTTCTTGCTCTATCACTACTACATGAGTAGATATTGCTTGTCAACATTTCGTTCCTTCTCATCTTGTTGTTCAAATAAACTTTATGTACAAGGAGTTTTGATACATTCTTCTGCCAGTTCTGTCCATACTTTTGTTATAACCATGTATAGAACTATCTATACAATAAAACCTCTTTATTTCCTTAAACATGTATTTTAGGAATTGAATAGAATACTGCATTATAATCCTTTATGCACCATTCAAAAAGTCATTCTTGATGAACATATGAGATGGGCTAGTGACCAGCACTATTGATCACTTGAAATATTACAAAATGAGTACAAATACATATAAAACAAAAAAGGGGGAAGGAAGAAAAGGACTCACAGAAGTGCCATAAAAGGGGTCTGTAATATAATGAATGTACATGTATTTATCAACACTTACAGTATTACATAGTAACTGCTACCATAACTATCTATGCATGACTATCAGCTACTATATATATACAGGTACATGTACTATGTATCAACATTATAACATCATCACACAGTATTCTGGAGTGTGCGTTTATTTCTACAGTGAACTAAAAGAGGTAGACATAAGCAGTTTTTCAATGTTATAATTTCTTTCTGCTATTGTGCACTAATTTTCTGTCAACTTTCTTGTCCACATTTCTTCCATTGCACTGACAACAGATGTGACTAGCAGCATGCTGTACTTAATTTTAGTGATTGACCAATGAGAGAGACTGGATATTGTTGATTGACATGAACATGCAACAGCCAGACATCTATCTAAGATTAACTAAATCACCTCTCAAAATGGTTCTTTTGCGTGCCTTGTGCATGATTTTCTGTTCATTTTGTACAATAGATATCTGTTATAAACTGATCCTTGGAATAAACAAGATGGAAAGTTAGGAGTGTATTGGAATAGTGGTATGATGTGACTATTTCTTGTCTATAGCTTCCCGTTGGTCTAAGAAGTGTCTGAGTTGAGTTGGGTAGTCTGTCATCACCCCTTTGGCGCCCAGGCTGAACGCACGCTCGAAGTCCGTGTCGTTGTTGATGACCCAGAGGTACGTGTGGATCCCGCGTCTGTCCAGGTGACGAATCATAACTTTGCTCATCAGTAAGCTGGAAATCAGACAAAATGAGAGAGGTATGAAACACTGGTATTGTTGTATTTGCCACAGATGGCTAAAAAAGATCATTGAAAGACAAAGAAAAGACACAAATAAAATGATCTTAGCTACTGTTGGTAATTTCAATAGATGAAGATGTAAGCACAGAAATTACACTTACAAGTCAACAATGCGTGCTAACACCTTGTATTTGGTAGGTACTGTGTCAGCCCAACGTTCTCTGAAACATACAAAAACAGAGAATATTTTGTCAAAACAGGATCATACAAAAATTCATAGCCTGAAATTCAACATCTTATAAAATGTGATATTAAAAAAATTACTGAGGTTAGGTAGACTAAATTGCATAATTACCACAATTACAAATACATGTATTGTGGACAGTGTAAACAAGGAGCTTTTCACGTTTCATTGATATCCAACATGCATGGCAAGGCACCTGTCATTCATACATGTGTCACCAGGTGGCGCTAATGAGTAAGGCAGCTTACCCCCAAAGGATACTGGGCATGATCACTTCAAGGCAAGACTCCTTGAGTGGAATGAAAGGTAGAAGACCACTGTAGAACAGCAACACCAGCTGTACAACTCTCTTGGCACTGAAGAACAGGGGGATGTCTGGGTTCTGCAGAATACAACAGATACATTTAGATTAGAATGACTACGAATTGTGAATCAACGTTTAATGTCATGTGTCACCTTTGCATGTTTCATGGCTATACAAACATATTATTGCAACAACGAACATGCAACCAAGAGCATGGCATGAAACTAAGAAAGAAAAGTGAGATCATAGATAGATGATGATACATATATAGCTTTATACATAGATACATACATGTACAGTATTATATACTAGTAACATGCATACGTATGTTACAAACTGTGAAAAGTTGGATTAACCAATGGTAGTAAAGTCAGGTAAGGTTTACTTTGTAAACCGTTCAATAAAAGTTAGCCTGTGTTTACAAAAGCTCTCAGCCGTGAGTTAATGACCCCCATCGCAAGCTTTTGGGGTGTGGCAACCTTTGGGGTACACAATTTAGTCAGGTTACAGTAAAAGTTATGTACGGAAATTTCATTTACAACCCTTGTTAAGTCCAAAATCACCATACTTGACTCTTGTTTGTACTACCACTGTAGAGTCCAGTAATGTTTATAAAGTCATCATTTCCCAACTTTTTGTGCAGTGATATTGATACACATACATATTGATGTACATACATGCATACAAACATACATACATTGAAAAGATACTACATGTACATGTATTTTGGTCCCTACTATCTTTTTGTCCCACACCAAACCATGGATGGGTTTGTAGATTGTGAGATCTGCAATTCATTTTGGGTGGGTTTATTTTTGAAATAAACTTTGGTTGCAGTCTGGCAGACCAACAGTAACTTGGCATGCCGAGGGTTAATGTCGTCCCCACCTGCTTGTGAAACTTGCGAGCGACAGTGTCTAGTCGACTGCCGCAGACGGTTATAGCCTCCCTCTTGTACTCATGAATCAAGTCTCCGACCTAGAAGAAGCAGAGGAAAGGACATGACAGCTGATTTAGCCCCACCTGTTGGTGAACTTTCCTGATGACTGATTCCTGTCGACCCCCGACAACTGTCAGGTCCTCTCTGTGGTACTCTTGCACTAACTCTCCAACCTTTGTTGTACATGCAAAATCATAAAAACAGAAATGAGAACTACAAAAAACAACAAAGAATTGACATAAATAAGTAAGCAACTTACAAAATACAAAAAAACTATAAACATGTATGAAAAAAACACAAGACTGTCACAGGCAATAATGACAAAGAAAATTAAATCAAGACAACTTTTTGGAATGATAATATTTTGTAAGAGAGATACAGACACAGAGAAGTTCCTCTGAACTACTGGACAACATCTTGTTTTGAATTTAATCTCTCTTCCTTTTTGATAATTCTACATTATGAATGAATCTGAGAAAAAGATGCCACTACATTGCTTACAGTCGCTTATATTCATGTGTAGTTGTTGGCAAGCTGCCTTTCCATTTTCTTGACTCCATAGCAATTTCAGTGTTGTGACTAAACTAACCATAACCTGCAATGCTGAGATAGCTACAAACCTTTGCAATAAGTTCATCATCGTCGTTTTTAATGTCTACATTGATGACCACTCCTGGGAACTTCTCAAAGACATCTTGTAGTAGGCAGAAACTGCGGTCTGAGGCATCTGGGAAACAGACTGGGAGACCTGGACAAAGAAAATATTTTCAATGTCAATGTTTGAAAAACAACTGCATAACGTTTCAGCACTGATGTGTCAGATCATGAAGCTAGAAATGGTTGCAGCTCGAAAAATTGGCATCCATTGTAGGGGTCAAGACAAAAAGTTTTTTCTAACGTCAGTCAAGAAACAGGAAACACAAAATTTTTTCCTAGGCCTTGTTACAATGCCTTGTAATACAAACGTACCATTGAGGAATGACACTTCCTGATTTGTACGCAGGAGAGGTAGGTCTGCAAACTTGGTGTCTGATATCTTCACGTCTACGCCGGTGGTGCGCTTGATGTCGTTATCGTGAGACACGACCACCATCCCGTCCTGAGACAGCTGAACATCCAGCTCCAACATGTCTGTACCAAGGTCTACGGCACTGGGAAGGGGGGAGGGGAAGAGTTTCAAATTCTCAAGCAAATACATCACATATTGATTACTTTTTTTTTTTTTTTTGCATTAATGCACAATGCTCATGGACAATTTGTGAATAAACTGGACTCAAACATTTTGATACACATATATGAAATACTTGTTGATCTCCCTTATTATGAACTGGTTACGCTTCTATTTTCACCTCTATTACAGAATTTTTTTTTTTAATTCATTGTCTTTCCTTTAGATGTCCTAACCTGACAACATGTTACATGTAATGTTACAAAAATGTACTTACTGTTGGAATGTTCCCATAGTGTTCTCCAAACCTTCAGCCATACCTGGACAGAACAAGAAAGATGAAAACATATACAGGAGTGTCAAGGAGGTTTAGTAGAGCCTTACTTTCATAATTTGTCACAGGACTGTGCCAGGTGCCTATTCAGGAGAACCAACTTTTTATACATAACAACAACCTTCCTTTTATGACTTCCTAGATATTCTAAATAGCTTTATGGAAAATAAAAGGAATTATTCTTTATTAATGAGGCAAAAACAATCATGAATAGAATATCTGAATGACTTTCCTTGCATTCACACAGGGACAGAGGCAGTGATTTGCATCAACTAAGAAATACAAAAGACCAAAACATGCATGGTCATGTTGTACATGACTCATTGTAGGCTTTGGTAGACAATAACAAGGATGACTTGCAATATTAAATGTTTCAGCAGTTTTCAGGCCCAGTTTCATTTTTTATTGCATGGCAGCATAGTTGAAGAGTAAATAAAAGAAGGATACCTGGAAATACATTTAGCAACAATTATTATGATTGCTGACCTTCCAAAACCCCTGAAAAGTCTTTATTTCATTTGATTGATATTGTACAAGTCTATGCTAGAACCTGTTGATGTTGAATTGTCGCTTTATATAATGCTGGTTCAAATTGTGGCCAGTGTCCTTTTCGCGGCAACGATGGTTAATTTTATCGCCGTGGCTATATACACTCCCGGTGTGTATATAAAAGACAAATAAATTTTATATACACTCCGAAATACTAGCCTCCTTGGTAGGCCCAAAACTTGGGTTTTTGTGAGTGTTTGAGGATTCAGGGGCACCAAGTTTAAACCTCGGTCTTCAAGTTTATCTTATTGGATGATGAAAATCAGAAAACAAGACGGAAATCTCCACCGAAGTTCGGTCGAGCGGACCGCCCCGCCCCGCTTGCGCGGGGCCCGGGACCCTCCGCTCCCGGCGGCGGCGGCGAGACCGGTCGCGCGCCCCCTGGCGTCCTCGCTACCTGGTTGATCCTGCCAGTAGTCATAGGCTTGTCTCAAAGTTTAAGCCATGCGCGTGCAAGTTTAAACTGTCTCAGTGAAACTGCGAATGGCTCATTAAATCAGTTATGGTTCCTTTGATCGTCACATCCTACATGGATAACTGTGGTAATTCTAGAGCTAATACATGCGGAAGAAGCGCCGACCTCACGGTCTGGCGTGCATTTATCAGACCAAGACCAACCCGGGGTTCGCCCCGGTCCCTTTGGTGACTCCGGATAACACAGCCGATCGCGCGGTCTTCGCACCGGCGACAGATCATTCGAATGCCCTATCAACTTTCCGGGAGTGTATATAAAAGACAAATAGATCTTATATACACACCGGGAGTGTATATAAAAGACAAATAGATTTTATATACACTCCGGGAGTGTATATAAAAGACAAATAGATTTTATATACACTCCGGGAGTGTATATAGCCACGTTCAAATTTTATTACGTTTACCAGTTTTTAGGTCACGCCCCCCTCCCCCAGTTTCGTGCATTTTTCTACCGACAACTACTGGTGGCGAACCACGACTTTCCCCCCACAGTTCTCACCTCCTCTGTGGCTGATGTGTTTACAGCAGAACTTGAGCTGTTTCTTGCGGTGCAGGAGGTTCGGAAAGCGGAGCAGGAACAGCGACGTCAGCGCGTAGCCTCCCACTATCGCCGCCACGATCCCCATAGCTAACCACAGCGTCTGGTTCGGTTCTAGCAGTAACATGGTCAGAGGTCGCTTCGGTCACCCCGGCAAAGGTACGAAAGTAACGGGTTCCTTACTGGGCGCCCAGTACGGAAACCGTGGAGAAAATAGCGTCGATACTCGGCGCCCAGTTCTGAAGAAAGCTCTAAACTGGAATTCCAGTTCGGAACGGCGTTATTCCAGTACTGAAGCTTCGTCAGAACTGGAAGTTCAGAACTGAATCTTGTTTCGGAACTCGTTTTCCAGACCTGAACGCCCGTCGGTACTCGGACCCCAGTACTGTGTTGCGTCCCGGCTACAGGAAGGCTGGTTCAAAGGTCATTCAGTACTGGTTACCCAGTTCGGAGGTCATTCAGTACTGGAAAGCCGAGTATCGATGTACCTAAGTAACGGGTTCCGTACTGGATTGTACCAGTAAAAAGGGACTCTACAGTACTGGAAGCCGAGTTTTCAAATTATTTCCGAACTGGGCTTCCTGTTCTCACGTTCTAATTGTACTGGGATGTTCCAGTACTGAATACGATATGTCTCAATACAGTAGTAGAAGTAGCCTTGCTGACATCGCCGACGTATAAACTAGTATTGGTCTATAATACTAGATACTTGAATAAAAACTGACTCAATTTTTGAGATATTGCATTTATTTGTGGTCGTGATTTTGTGATTACGATATACCCCTTTTGTGATTCTTTTTTATCCGTGCGCTTTTTTATCAATCCAGTAGTATTGGTCTATAATACTATAAACTAGAATAAAAACTGACTCAATTTTTGAGATATTGCATTTATTTGTGGTCGTGATTTTGTGATTACGATATAGCCCTTTTGGGATTCTTGGGTGGCCCTGAAAAGGGCCGGGGTTTCGTTGAGGTCGCTTGCGTTGTCAGTTCTGAGCTGAGCTGAGGATCTCACGCTGAAACTCCAGCATGACACGATCCAGCAGTGCGGAGATGGAGTCGCGTGGTGGAGAATAACCATCCAAGTGGCTGGCTATTTCCTGCCTCACACCCTCGTCTTGAAGCTCTCTAGTCGCCGCACCTCTCTTAGAGAGCCTCTTGCCGAGGGCATGTATGACAGGTCTTAGCGTCTGCCACAGGATGATCGACTGGTCGATGTGCCGATCTTCAACAGCCCGCTCTTCGTTGTTAGCCGCCTCAGTTTCTCTCGTCTCCCGTAGACGCTTCCTGTAGGTGGTCTCGTTGTCCTCCGGCAGCCGTGTTCGCCTTATGTTGCGGCGGCCGTCCGGCAGCTTGCCCGGCTTTACTACCGCCCGGCAGCGCTTATAAGCCGGGCTATACTCACGCCAAAGCCGCTCCGCTTCCATGAAGGTTGCCTCCAATGTGCCGAAGCCACCGTCTCCTTTGGACTTGTCCAGCTTCTCCCGGAACTCAGCCCCCCATGGCTCAACTGCTTCATAAGCATATACAAGCTTACTGCAGCGAGAGCGGACACTTTTTGTGACGTATGTCCGGTAGACGTCGTCTGTCACCGGCATACGGGGCCTGACGTGCTCTGGAAGACGTCGCAGATTCTCGTCGTCCATACCCTTGAAGAAGTTGTTCTTCTGTCGCTGCATTAGAACCCTAACATGGTCGTGCAGCGAGTCGTCCTTCTTTCTGGGAGCGAAGAGACCACTTACACCTGTCTTGCCGCCCACGTTGTTGTTGATCATTGCTGACGCCATGGTCTAGAAAAGAGTGCAACAAAACACTTGGACACGCTTTTAAAGCCAAGCTTTTCATTAATATGCAAGCAAGCCGACCAATAGAAACAACAGTCGCTCCCGTGTGTCCTCGGCCAGGTAGGTATCACAGGGTTTTCCAGTTGTGTGGCAGATCTCTACCACGTCCGCAAATCATGTATACAAACCCCACATCAATTTCATGACACATGCCTTTTGTCAGCCAAACAGTGATGACATGGCTATTTCTGTTCCCAACTTCGTACGACTCCGCGAAGACCAACTTAGCCATCTTCCGGACGGCACCGTGCTGTTGCAGCAAGGGAAAGCAGTTAGCCGGTATATTGAAGGTGCTGGCCCAGACAGTATAGTTAACACGAATTTATTGAAAGGTAGACATGAAATAAAAGGAAAACTGGTGCAGGTGTCGAGAGAAGAAGGAGCAGCCTCTTACAACACGTGGACACGCGCAGGACAGGCATCTACAACCCGGCGACTAGATGACATACTTACCCTAACAGCAGAGGGTGATGTGCGACAAGCCGCTGTAAAACCTGAACAGCATGGACAGTCCTTCTACGACATCCAAGTGTACAGGTAAGAGGAAAGAAACATTATGCAATGCTGCTTATACAATTTTTTCTGTGATTCTTTATTCGTGTGCCTTTGTAATTTTTGTGCATAATCGCTTGCTTTCAAATAGTAACAGGTGTTCTAACTGTACGCAAGGGTAGCTTTTGTCATTGAAAGTGAATAACCACACACGCCGCAACAAACAGCATTACACAACTTGCAACTTCTTTATTCGTGTGCCTTTGTAATTTTTGTGCATAATCGCTTGCTTTCAAATAGTAACAGGTGTTCTAACTGTACGCAAGGGTAGCTTTTGTCATTTTAAATGAACATCCACACACGTCGTTAAACAATTGGGAAGGTGTTTAGTCGCGCGCCTTTGTATTTTTGTACATAATCACCCACTTTCAAACAGTAACTAACAGGTACTCTTACTGTACGCAAGGGTAGCTTTTGTCATTTTAAATGAACATACACACACCGTAACAAACAGCATTAGACAATTTGTCACATTTTTATTCGCGCGCCTTTGTAATTTTTGTACATAATCACTTACTTTCAAACAGTAACTAACAGGTGCTCTAACTGTACGCAATGCTAGCTTTTGTCATTTTAAATGAACATACACACACCGTAACAAACAGCATTAGACAATTTGTAACATTTTTATTCGCATAATCACTTACTTTTAAACAGTAACAGGTGCTCTAACTGTACACAAGATACACTTGTTAATTAAAAACAGTTCCAAATATAGTCACTTTATAGTTTAGTTGCTGAAACATTAAAAATGAATTGGGTTGTATGTATTTATTCAGGAAAACGCTTCACTGCTCGGGGCAAGGCAACTGTCGCCGCTTGTGCGGTGGTCTGGGTGGATGCATCGATGGATGCCATGGACCGAAGAACAAAATGGATAAGGCGCACAAATGCACCTTTAAGGTTCATATCAGTGCAACGCTGACAGATGTGAAGCTAGGATACAGAAGGCTGACGGTGGAGGGAGAACATGTTCCTGCCGATGTGGACTGGGTGCCACCGAAAGCCAGAGAGCTTCGTCCGGCAGAAGAAGTGAAGGACACCATGCGAGTCCAGAGGGAGAGGTTTGGAACAACGATGCGCTGGACCGTCTGGTGTGCCATAATGTCAGCAGCCTCATCACGAAGCTGACTGGCATCCACCCAGACGGCAGCAAGACTACCGCAGCTGGCCTAATGCAGCTGTGGGCGCTGCGGGCCAGTGACGACAACGCGACGGAGAACCTGCCTGAGACTAAGTGGTCAAAGGAGGCTCGCTACCGCCTCCTGGAGGGAAGGGTCCTGTTCCTGACGAACGCCGTCCAACGCACCGGCAGGGACGGCCTGTATTATGTGCTACATCGGAGTGAGAATGTGCCTGACAACGAGATGCTTCAGCAGCTTCATGCACGGTAAGAATATTTGTCATTGCTTTAACATTTAACTTATTATGCTGTGTTGCAGAACATTTACCTTAATATGCTGTTTTGCGAACGAATGAACAAATGACGATTTTTACTGCACATTTTCATGAATGAATGAAAGACCTTTATTGTACGTTTGTGCTCTAACAAGGTACACAAAGTACAGGTCATGAATAAACAGGGGAAAAGAATACACCAATAACACTTAAACTAGACATACTAATGTGGTCTACTATTTACAGGTTCAACTTCCTATAGCTTCTTTAGGCAGTTACAGATGTAAGAACATAGTGGGCTAATGATACATTGTCAAGTTTCATACGGAATGAGTATTTTTCTATTTTGTCTAAAGGTTGAGAACTTATCAATCATGCACGTATAGAGGGAATCCCTCTCATTTCTATATAAAGTACAATCACCTACTAAATGGCATTCATCCTCAAAATTACCTAAATTACAAATGTGTCTGCCTTTTTCTAATCACATACAAGTATTTTTAAAAATTTTCTGTTTAACGTTTTGTTTTATTCATGATTGGCTAGGCTGGTGCCAACCGGAATACTGCGTCGGAATGGGTGCAACATCGCCAACGTGAGGACCGGGGAATGCACCTGCATGGACTACGTCTGGCGCGGCCCGGGGATGGACAGGTGCAAGCACGTTCAGGCCGCCGAACTCTTCCACGCTGGGGCGAACCGCGAGGTACAGAAAGGTCTGGTTGCCAACTTCCTGAGAAATCGTGAGAGACTTCAGCCGCCTGAGCGGAAGAGGCCCGCATTCCTCTCTCTCGACGACGACACTGTGTTCTCGGCACATTGTGAGGAGAACTACATCCAACCCATCACTGCAGTGCCGGAGAGGGATCCAACACAAGACGGCAGGCCGGCTCCACTGCACCGGAAACGACCATGGAGGAGGTTGGCCACCGCCGACAGCCATCAGCCTCGAGTGCCTTCCCGCGCCAGGAAGACCAAAGGCGCGAAGCCACGACGGCCAGCCCGACTGGCACCCACCAACCGCGGCGGAATAGACGCACCAGAAACAGACGAAATCGCGTGCGTCTGTGGGGTGAACGAGGAGAGCGAAGAGGTTTTTGTGAACTGTGACATCTGTGGTCGATGGAGCCACACAGAATGCTACGGCTTGGGGGACGACGTTACCAAGTTCGTGTGCTGGGAGTGCGGTGACCAGCCAAGGAAGAAGCGCCGTCGTTAAGGCACAGGTCTACTTAGCCCTCCAGTAGAATAATTTTTTATTATTTTTTCTTGATATACAAGCAAGGATTTCATATTCGATTTCTGTTTCATCGATGATCTGTACATGAATATTTTGTACATGATACTTGATACAGCAACTGAGCTCTGTTACTGACAGAACAAAACATGGACACTGATCTCGTTTAACTACTAGTACTTGTACATATTATACTAAGTAGAACCCTGGAAATACAACGATCTCGTTTAACTACTACATGTACATATCTAAGTAGAACCTTGGAAATACACTGATCTCGTTTAACTACATGGACATGTACTGAAGTAGAACCTTTTCTTTATTTTCGTTGTGTAATTCTTTTAGTTTAAATGGCACGTTTACTTACCTTTGGCCAGGAACTGTAAAGTTACCGCTTATTTTTCGAGCTCTTCAAAATGTCTAACGTATTTCTACGTACTTACAGTCGCGTAACGGAAGCCGGCTACCAGCCTTGAGCAGTTTGTACATAAACTTTTTATGTTTATTTTTATTTTTTTTATACGAGCAAGTAATATCTAGCGATAGTTTGTATATCATGACTCCATGCGTGAACCTTAGACTGCTCTGATACTGATATAAATGATGAACACCTGAAATGTGTGTTGCTAGTACGATTGCAAGGAACGTATGTAGTTTTATGATAAACACAATAAAGAATCTTTCCAGAAATTATTATGTATCGTCGACTTCAATGCTATTCTTAATATAAGACAACGTAAGGTTCCCGTCCCCCCTCCGTAGGGGCTCTAGACGCAAGAAACATCGTTATCACTACTAGTCTAGCATGGATCTAAGGTTGTTTTTTTCCTTTTTTTTCTATCAATCAACACTTGTAATAAAAGAAAAAAAAGATAAAACCTCTCCTTTCGAACGAGATGGTATCAACCAATGACGTTTGTTTTACCCTTTGCCCCGGAAGTGTTTTACCCTCCTCTCTATCGACGCTCTGGCTGAACGCTTCAAGGTACAAACGTAAAAAAAACACAATATACGTACGTTGATATAGCAATGTGAAGTAACCATACTTTCGAAAATGAACATACGTTCCCAGTACTCGGTTTCCAGTGCGGAATTTCTTTCGTAACTCGTTTTCCAGTACGGAAGGAACGTTCAGTTCTCGGTTTCCAGAACTGATTCAGAGTTTTCCAGTACTGAAGTCGCCTCATATCTGGACGCCCAGTTCTGACAGAACTTCCGAACTGGAAGTTCAGTTCGGAAGGCACCTTCAGTACTGAACACCGAGTACTGAGGGAGGAACCCGTTACTTAGGTACTTTTGGGTCACCCCGGCTCCGACTAAAGGTTTATCTACAGCATAAGTGTTGACATAGGGCGTCTGGTCTGTGATTACTGCAGTTTACCGGTTTTTTAAAACACCAGCTGACGTCAATGACGTCGTCGGCGTAGGTAGGCGTCGACCGGTGAGATAGGTATCACACCGGCGTTTCTTTGTGTACAGGTCAAGGGTTGGCCAAGTTCACTCGGGCAGCGGGGGTGTTTCGGATTGGAATAATCTGTATTTACTCGTGGATTTGAACAACCAGAGGCTTAGGTTGACATGCACTCCCCTGGTCGATTATCCATTCTATCTGGTCAATTTTTACTGATTTTTAAACACGTTTACTGAAGATTTGTTCAATGGAACCTCCATCAGCACCAAGGCTAGGACCATTTCTACAGAGCAACACTTACAGTGTTTTAGTCCATGGGGTGAACAGGAAAGGGACTTACTGGTACATAATAAACAGGGTAATCTACACGTAAATGAAGACAGCAAAAAAGAATGGACCAACATAAATTTATTTCATAAAAAGAGTAACGTTACATCCTTGATACATTGGTCAAATTTTTTTAGGAAATCAAGTATTTACCATGTTGTAAACTTGGTTTTGAAAGTACCCAATATAATCTCATAATATTGTTCTTGGAATGACAGAAACTTTGTTGTACAATATACTTTCCCACAATTTTTCCAATTTTTGTTACATTATCTTTGATGCCCTCATTTTACAAAACACTGAACAAAGAATTCAAAATGATTTTAATAACACAAAGCAGTCACGGCACGAAAAACCATATTTAAGCATGCTTAAATCGTGCTTAAAGGCGGCGTAATTTCCATCTTTACGCACCTTTCCGGCACCTTTCCGTGTACGTAAACATTGTCTTTACGTGCCCTTTCCGTAGTACTTAAAGATACGTATTTGCACTACTTTAGCGGTGCCTTTACGCACCTTTTATGTCCGTAAAGGCTTTGTAAATTATTCCTTTAAGTATCGTTTACGGACCTTTTTTGGTCGGAAAGCATGCGTTTACTTAAAATTTAAGAGGTCTTTCAGCTGCCTTTAAGTCGATCGTAAACATTGTCTTTACGTGCCCTTTCCGTAGTACTGGAAAGATACGTATTTGCACTACTTTACGCACCTTTCATGCCCGTAAAGGCTTTGTAAACTATTCCTTTAAGTATTGTTTACGGACCTTTTTTGGTCGGAAAGCATGCGTTTACTTAAAATTTAAGAGGTCTTTTAGCTGCCTTTAAGTCCCTCGTAAACATTGTCTTTACGTGCCCTTTCCGTAGTACTGGAAAGATACGTATTTGCACTTTAGCAGTGCCTTTACGCACCTTTTATGTCCGTAAAGGCTTTGTAAACTATTCCTTTAATCACTGTTTACGGACAATTTTAAGCTTTAAGTTGCCTTTCCGAACATTTGGATCGGCTGTGCATAACCTTAACTTACGTCGGTATATGTGAATTTGATGACAGAAACAGATATGATCTGAGAACAATTTATTGAGTAAAACATACAAAATACAATGATTCCTAATAAAATGTTTTAGAAGAAGATGTTAGCTCATACTATATTGTCACATTATTACGTATCCCTCCCCAGCTGCAGATTACGTATAATGAAAACAGTTCAAAATAATACATTCCTAAACTAAGCTCACCAATACAAGGAATTGACTACTTGTATCTCCAAACATATATTTGATCAGCTCCCTCGTATACGGCGTTTTGTGAAAGATTTCTCCTCCGTCCTCCTGGATGTTGTCAGACAGACCGAGCCGGGCCGAGAGTCGTGTTGTCGTTGCCGCTGCTTAGAAGCCCCTGGATTCTTTGCGACTGGGCCTCCACCAATTTCAACATATTCTTAAGAAGTTGAAAATTTTTTCTTGCCTTTCCTCGCTCCATGAGATTCTCAACTTCAGCCATAATGTCTCAATTAGAAGGAGGGTCGACGTATCTTCGAAATAGACGCCATAAAAATGAGTTGAGTCCGGTAGATTTGAACCTCGCTGTCTTGTATCCCATTGGGTACCGCCCTATCACATGACACGTTCCTCATTGGGTGTCTGCATATGGATACTTTGTAAGTTCACGCGAAGGACATAAAGGCAATGTAAGTTTTGTCATGCTTCACAAATAAAGCAAAATGAAAGTGTGAAGCCGGCTGGGCGATAAACTCGTTTATCTATTTGCCATTTGGAACATGGTTAGACGTTAAAAAACAAGCTACGAAACGGAACATTTGCCTTTCAGAGGCCTTTACGAAGTCGTAAAGTCAACTGAAATATTTTCCGACCTTTAATAGTTCTTTACATATGCGGAAAGTTTGCTTAAATGTCTTTATATATTTACGCCGTATTTAAGCGCGCTGAAAGGTGACGGAAAGGCGGACTTTGTCTTTCAGTGGCCTTTACGAAGTTGTAAAGTCAACTGAAATATTTTCCTACCTTTAATACTTATTTACGTATTGCGGAAAGTTTGCTTAAATGTCTGTATATATTTACGTCGTATTTAAGCCCACTGAAAGGTGACGGAAAGGCGGAATGTACCTTTCAGCAACCTTTACGAAGTCGTAAAGTCAACTTAAATATTTATCCACCTTTAATACCTCTTTACATATTGCGGAAAGTTTGCTTAAATATCTGTTTTCGTGCTGTGAGTACCAAAGAATAACACTGATTTTTAAAATCTGACTTTCTCCTATTGGAGCTGTCATGGTTAACAGCAAAGTACTCAAAATCAAAATTGCACCAATAATAAAGACATATAACAAGTGTACTCTATGATACTTGTGAATAACATTATGAATAGAATTCTGACAAAGATTGTAATCTCACTGGCTTAGGTGGGTGTTCCTGTATCATAAATGAATCAATCAAACATAATTTCACCATATACACCTGCTACTCTGATCATTCTACTGGTATCCATTCTCAACTTTCTAGCCCCTAGGAATTTTTTTTTAATGGAACTTTTCTACCACAGGAATGTGAAATGTAGGCAGTATCACCTTGAAGAATTCTTACATTTAATAGGTGAAGATGAACAGGGAAAATTGCATCATTATTGCATCATTCATTTTATGATGTCTGCTTATAATAGTTCTCCTTGTACGGATATGCTTGGGCCTGTAGATGGTAAGGCCTGACAAAGTCTACATTTTGTTTTGCTACTTTTCCAAATCATGTCGGAAAAAAGTAATGATTTCATAACTGTTTTGCCATATACCGGAATGTTATTTCTGAAATGTAATCCAAAGTCACAAGTTTATCACATCTTGGACTAGGATGGTTGAAAAACTTTTCCTTATGAAAATTGTCTTGGAAAATCTGACAGAAAAATTAACCAAAGCACTTGATTGATCTGGCCCTTATAGAAAAAAGATTTCCCTCAACCTTTCCTACAGTTCATCCTTGATGGCAGCTTTGAATGAGCTCAGAACATTCAGGCGATTTTTGATGTTTTCTTTCTGAGTTTTGCTAACTTTTCCCTCCTGCAGCTTTTTCACCCTGGTGATTTCTGTGTTGACGAAATCTTTGCCCTTTTCCTGAACCTTTTTCATGATTTTGATGTACATTTCAGCTGATTTTTTCTCCTGTGCATCTTCGAGGGGTTTTGCCTCTTCTTCAGCCTTGGTGATGATTTCTGCTAGTTTGTCGTCTGATGCCACCATGAAATCCATTGTCAGCTTGTCAAACGCCTCCAGAGTAGCTGGCAGTCCGATCCACAGGCCGCTGTTGTCCTTGACAAAGCGGAGAAGGTCATCATACTTGATTTCCCCTTCGTACGGGATTGGTTCATCCTTACCCTGTAAAAGAAAGTGAAATCAAAGTCTTACGTCTATTGCTTCAAGCCTAGAGTCTCATGCACATTCACAGATCTCATAAAATACAATAAGCCCATCATTGTTAAGAAATTTTCATTGTCATCATAAGATGTAATGGGTAAGTGCTGTGGCTACAAACCTGCATGATCAGTTTGTACTTTGGTGCGTCTTCTACGTCCACACCAAATCTTTGCCCAAGTTTTTCATTTTCCTTCTCTCCAAACTCTGAAAAGATAGCAACATACATGATACATACATACAATATTGAACTGTGACATCTTTTGTGGGAATCTATAACAAGAGCAAATTCAAGTCTAATTTTTGTTCTACAGTGAAAGATCTGGGAATAAAAGAAAGGCAGATTTTTCTAATCTTACTTGAGATTCCGACTTCAGCCACCAGGAGGTCCTTCTGAGTTGACAACTGTTCTGCCAGTTTCTTGAACTCGTCCTGCTTGTCTCCATATGGGTACTGCTCATCAAACTTCACCAGGACCACAGGGAACTTGGGCACGATCTGAACAGGAAGAAGACACAAATTAACATTAAAATCCACAAAGCTATTATTTGACAGGCTAAATTGTGTTTCTTGGGATTGAGAGAAGTTACATTGAATTCAGTAAGGACCTGCCTTTGCTTGATACTGACATCACCTAAAAGAGAGATAATAATCTACTTCTTGGACTCTTTTAGGACAGCTTTGTACAACTTGCCAAAGGTTTAGGACAGATACAAAATGTTGTGTATTATACCTACAAAATATACTATAATTTAATACTGTATCCATCATGGTTGCAGCAAAGAGAAAAAATAAGTAGGGAATGGCAGTTTTAATAAAAAAAAACAGGTTTTTCAAAAAGCAGTTGTCATTTAAAAATGCTGTGGTCTAACAATCTTGTTGACCTTGACTTAAAAGCATATTCTTCCGAGATGCCAAATTGGCACCTAGAAAAACCGGTATAAGATGACTATCAATCCAATATATGCATAAGTCAGGCAACATGCTGGCCTGGAAAAAGTACCAAGGACATACCACCACCAGCCAGTAAAACCTGGCCCCTTCAGTGGTGGGTTCGCTGGGCAGCTGCGCTACTATTAATATTGTATTATAAATCATGATTATACATTATACCAGCAATGTATCAGCGTAGGAGAATAGGGCAGCTCCCTATGTGATTCACAGGCCTGAAAGTCTGATTTGAAAATCAGATATATCTGAAGCCAAATATGCCACATCAAATTAAATTTGTCAGTGTAATATCATAGTGACAATGTTGAAAAGAAATTGATAAATGAAATGTCCCTGAGCCAAAAGCTAATTATACCATACTTATACAAACTGAATGTTGTTGAATCAGCACAAATTAAACAAGTGAACCATAGCAGGAAGGGCTGTCAGATCACATATGATATCATATTTCATTAATATGATAATGAAATTATCTTATTAATGGCCAGGTCTTAAAATGATGGCAGCCATGCAATGTACGATTTTTGGGGGGCTTCTGGAGAGGAATCAGGACCAAATCTGACATTACCACAATCATAACTAATGATTAACCATAAAATGGCATTAAAACAACCAAAATACCATCTGTATAGACTACGGAACACAAGTTAGTAATTGATTACATGGATGGTGGAACTGCCACGCCCCCTCCAACCATCCATGAAAATCAAATTAATCGGATTTCTAGATTTATAAATTTTGTACCCAACAAAAATATCGCTTGATACAACTTTATCGTCGACAAAACAAACAGTAAAGGTGAACAGTACACACGGTGGTTAAAAGATCAGAGGTTGTTATCATGTGAAGCCCTGGCCAATGAGAGAAACCCACGCGGTGCGCGAGGCGAAATTGGTCTCGGCCCATGTGATTTTATACCAGCAAATAAATCAGTCTCTCGTATTCTTGAATTATTCATCGTTATAATGGCAGATTTTGCCTAGCGCTATAAAAATCGTACCAGAAAAGACCACGCAACAGAAAGAAATAGGTTTAAAGTGGTTTGGTGAATTCTAGAAAATAAAAACAAAACGCACGTGTTTTTCTACCCGGTGTTTTCGTTCGATCCGAAGTTCTGGAACATTCAGAAGCGGAAAGACCACAATGAAAAACGCTCTCCTTTGCGCTTACAGAACAATATTTTTCAAAGCAACCCACCTTGTCGAATGTGGTAACATCCAGTGGAACTGATCCCTTCACCAGACCCCCGAGACTGGGGTTAATTTGAAGGGAAACGGTGAAAACAAGAGCGAGAATCCACAGCCTTCCTCCGCCAGCCATCCTGACTTCCGGATTTGAGAGCTACCACCGCATCAGCACAAGGAGCAAATCAATTATTTCCAGAAAAAGTATCCATATTGGCATCTTGAACCTGAACACTGTTATAAAAGTAATAGCATATATACCGAAAGGTATTAAAAGATGGATGTATTTTTCAAATATGAACAAAAGTTGCGTTATTATCGTTATTACCCGAATTTGTATCTGATTATTGACTGTTGCGCTTTGCAGCGGTGCTACCTGGGCGCTGTGCATGCCGGGATGTAATATTGATTTGGCGCGCTTCCGGATTCCTCCGCGCTCGGAAAGGGTCAGGTAAATATCGTCTGTTTTTCCTCAAATTCTCGACCTAACGTAGCATCTAATCGGAAAATCCTACTATTGGGCATGCACGTAGCCTTTGATGTTTTATTTTACAAAGGAATACTTTTAATTCGCGCAGAGTTCCATAGTTTTGACTCGAAAACATCACTGATTATGACATGATCGATGTTCTGTGGTTTTGCTCACCTGAGCTGAGGTGACTGAAGCTGAAAAACATCAATTTATTAAGGAAATATTTGTCCGTTGGAAATGATTCAAACTTACCAGCAATCGAAACGCACAGATATGCTAACACTTAAAACCTTTATTATAAATATCCATTCCCAAGAAGGCGGTGTCTGTAAAGAAAATGTTTTAGTAAGAGTAACAAGTGTCATGGATTTGCCTGTCAATACAGGTCAATGTCAACATGTAACTTATTGTAAGCTTGACCTTCTTTGAACACTTTCCGCGTTTTGAAGCTTGGCCTATTGACCTTACAGATTCAAGATCACTGATTGAGTCTTAAAATAAACAGAAGATTGTCAAAATGTCAAATGTAGTTATTTTAAGATCACATGATAATAAAATTTGTAAAAACCCGTTCAGGTATGACTATGCATGTGTGTAGCGAAGGCCCAAGTTGAAAAGAGTATTATCTTTATGAAATGCTTGATACATGTCCAGATGTTTTTTGTTAATGTTTTTCACATATTACCCACAATGTACCTTGGTACGTAATAACCACCTCAAACCATGAACCTGAACTTTATTATAGCACAGGTGTATTCATCAATAATTTTTTCCTTGAATCTGTAGACAACTAGGTGATCACAAAAGGAACCACACTGTCTACTGTAAAGGCTGGACCAATGCATCATGGAGGGGGGAAGCAGGCAGGGGGGTCAGAGACACTGCAGCTGTGGGTGAGACCTGAGCCCTTCACCCTGGGGGTGCTCCCCCTCCCCCCACATCCAAAACTCGGGCTACATGTAAGTAGTTTTTCTCTGATAGTAGTTATTGTGTTACAGGTTAAATGACAAATATGTTACCATTAAATATGTTTGTCAGGTAACTCAGGTTGCTTACAGTGTAGCAAGGGTAGGATATTATTATGACTTCATCTTTCAAATCTGATGAATTATTATTGTTCTTTTTCAGTACCTTAAGAAAATTTCTGTATATGCCAAAACCAAAGGAAAGCAGGGATTTCCTAGACTTAGGTGAGTTGTCAAGCACTTTTGGATTGTCCTGTCTTTTTCACTGTTTACAAACTAAAGAGCAACATTGGATTGTGCCGAATCAAGAGTGAAAGACACATAACATTGGTTGTTTTCATTCCCCTTCTTTTCCACAGCTATGCAGTATGGAAACATGTTGCCTGCAACAAACTCCAGCTGTCAGAGGATTTGGCTTGGGTGTAAGTTCATTTGTCATGAAAGACATAATTAATAGAGGTTCATTCTCATTTCTGTATCTACATGATTAGAATAGATTGATAATTTGTATGTCTAGGTTGACATAGTTGTTCAGCACAGATGCTTATTTGTTTGTTTGTTTATTTGTTTTTAGGTATTTTGAGACATACGATCTTCTGAGTCATCCTAGTGCAGAAGATCGGAGTGAACAAGAAGGGGTCAGTCCAGGTCAGTTGTTGCAGCAGCTTTACTTCACCCATCTATGCACATTACAAACTGTGAACATGTATGAAAATGATACAGTTTTGTGTTAAAATCTTCACTAAGAACTAAGTAAGAAGGGTGGCTCATGGAGGTTATATCTTGTTGTCTGTCTGTCTGCATGTTCTTGACCTTTTACCCTCTATTATATGACAGATGATATCTTACTTTCCATGTCAATTTAGGAAGAAAAAGTGTGGAGACGTTTAAGTTCCTGCTGTTTCTGTACATCCAACAGTCCAACAAAATCTCCCTCCGAGATTCCTCACTGGTCACAGGAGAAGAGTATCCTTTTACAAGCTATCACATGATTTTGTCGTGGTTTTTAATCCGTATTGCAAATACTAGTAAATTGCCTTGTGTTGTTATACTAGTATACATGTACCATCTTTGTGTGTATGTATTGCATACAGTTTGGAATGTTATTCGTTGGGACACATCATTAGATAAGTTATGAATGATACAAAATGAATGTCCTTGGTGATGGTGAATTAAAAGTCCTTTCTGCACTAGATGGTGCATACTAGTAGTACAACTTTGTGCAATCGCTACAGTAGGGTCTAGTCCACTGGTACTGTGGTAGTGGTGTGTATGTGTATGTTCATACTGTAGTATATACAAAGTACATGTAAGAATGCAATATTCCTTAACTTGAGCTTCCCTCAGATGGCCAACAAGATCTCGCTCCCCCTCACCAGACCCAGATGGAAGAACATCCCATGGCCCAAAGGTAGGTCTATCATCCATACAAGTTTAGTGTTTTTTAAACCCCTAGTTAAGAAAAAATAGAAATCTAAATGAGCATATATTGTATTGCACTTGAATGTTATTGCCTGCATAGATCAGAACAGACATCTTTAGATGTATGATGTGTACTTCTTCCTTTCTTTTTTGGACTTTATTGGGTTTTCCTTGATTTTGCACAAGGTACTGAAACTTCAGTTGCTGTGCTTCATAAGAATAAGAATAAGAATTATTTTTTCTCTTGTCCCTTTTAGGGTCTGGATGAGCAGAACCACCTGTTGTTTGTTATAAACCACCTGGATGAGATGATGGGGCTTTTAGTCGAACCAGGTGGGTCAGAAACTGATAGATGATTTTTCTAATGTCTATTTGTGGAAGTACCTGTAACCATTTTTAAATTCATACAATTTGTTGTCTCCTTCCACCACAGATCAGTATGGTGATGGTGTACATGACCAGTTACTGTCAGTAGAAGCTGTACAAGCCCTGGGCTTTGTTATAGAAGGCTCAAGTAATGGCAAGTAAGTACACTCTCCATTCTATAATCTAAACTAAACTGCAGTTTTATTTAATGTTAATTTGTGGCCTTATGCAACCCTGATTGAGTGAGTTGTAGTAATTTTTGACAACATCCCTATATAACACAATGGTAATGTCCCACTTGTTCATCTTTTCCTACAGACAAGTAAAGCCGGTTCATACCATTGCAATGCAGCAGGGAGTACAGCAGCAAAGTGGTTACTCCAAGGTGAGTTTTCAAGTAATACCAACATCCACTCTGCATCTTTTTCAAAGTCATGTAATGCCATTTCCTGTTGTTTCCCTGATTCAAGACCTGAAGTTTTAAATGTAAAAGTAGGGAAAAAATGCATAGTTGATATTGAGAGTCTTACAGAATGATTGTGTTGAACATTTTTCTCTTAGATTTCGCAGAGTTTCTCATTCCGAAGTCTTCAAACATGGGTGAGGAAGCATCTGGGTGCAAACTTGTTTGGTATCACAGCCTGTATAGCTACAGGCAGACGGCTGTCATGGACAAAACCAGGTAGGCTAGTTAGAACACTTTTGTGCTCTATTTTTGTCCATTCTAGCTGGGCACTGGTGGTGTAGCATCTAGAAAATACCAAGCAGATCTGCTTTGTTTCTCTTTAAGCTTTGTAAGTTTGCATTGCAGTCCTTGTGTTGACAACATTGATCACAATGATTCAGTTTTAGCTGTTCTAAAGATATACTCAGCATAGCTGTATGTAACACTTTCGCTATGCCCACTTACGCTATCCCTGCACTTTTCCAGTTGAACAGGATGGAAGAACAGAGAGTAGCCCGGGAAAGAGAGGACGTGTAGCCACCAATGCACACATAGCCTCTAAACAGTCAGTATCTGTTGCTTGTCACTGTTTTTTATTTATATAGCTATTATTAATAATTATGAATGCAGAACTGTTCTGAGGCAACATCTATTGTCTTTTCTTTAATTCTTTTCTTGATTACACTTGTAGTAACAAATTTTGTTACACAAATTTTGGTATACTGTTAGTATACACTAGGTATAGCGTATAGTAGGTATAAGGTCGATTGATTAAGGTAAATACACTCAGTGAAATCAATTTCAACTTTACTTCCAGAAACAAGGTGTTGATTCTGTCTCAGGTGTGCAAGCAGACTGTTTCTCAGGTAACGTTGGTCAGTTTCTTCAAAAAGATTGTAGAGTTGAATTGAAAAAGGAAAATGTATGAGAGGAATCTCAATGTACAATCCCACATCTTGGTACAGTAGAAGTCTTCATACAGTTGTATGTCACTGAGGTTAAATGATAAGTAAATATTTTTGCTGCAGAGTTCAGAGGTGGTGACTGAAGCACACATCAAGATCCACAGATGTCACTTCTCTTATATCTACCTGCTGTCTCCACTCAGGTGAGTACAGGTGGGGGTCTCACCTGTTAGTCGATCCTAAGAGGTTCCTCTTACTACTTTGAAGTGATGGATTGAGATTTTCTGGGTTACTGTGATAAATCCAATTTAAGGTTTTCCTTCAAGTAGCAGGGAATGATAATTTGAGTTATGGAGACAATGATGGAGACAAATAACTTCTAACAATGATAGATAATTTGAGTCATGTAATAATTTTTGAACAATTTTTTTTCAGATCTGTTAGTATAGAGAAGTGTAAGCACACTACAGTAGTGCTTGGACCGGTGGCGACCTGTATCAACGTGGTGGGATGTGAACACACGACCATCATAGCTGTCTGTCGCAGAATCAGTGTCAGGTATGTCAGTGTGTGGTGTTAGTAGTGTGGGCTGTAATCGATACTGAATGTGGTTTACAGTATCAATGGGAAAAATAATTTAAGGGACCACCAAAAAGTGCATGGCCACGTTGTGGTTGCATTAGTGAATTTCTGATTGCATGGAGTTTATGTTAACTTATTGCCTTTGTAGGTTTCGTTTCCAAGTGTGAAAGCACTCAGCTTTTTTAGCTCCTTTTCTCACATTAGAATATTTAAAGATATGTGATTTACTGTTGAATGTATTAGTAGTCAATTTAGCTTTTATATTGTAAAGCCTTTGTTAAAAGTCAAAGCAGCTTCTATACAAAAATATGAAAATAATGCCTTCAAGGGTCATTTGCATACCATTAATGAGTTCTTGCTGTTCTTTATTCAGTTCTTCAACGCTGTGTACTTTTCACACTTTGACCCCGTCTCAACCTCTGGTGTTCGGTGGTAATGACAGCTTGACCTTTGGCCCCTACCACACCCACTATCCTCAGCTAGAAAGTCACATGACCCAGGTGGGGTTAGGCACAGAGTCCAACTTCTGGGACCAGCCTCTAGCGCTAGGTAAGGTAGCGCTAGGTAAAGTAAAGCTAGGTAAGCGTCCAATTTATTCTCAACTGGTGAACTAACAAGTGTGGTGAGCACCTGTTTCTTCACTAATACACTGACATGTATTCAGTTGTTATTGTGTTGTCACCAACAGCTGAAGGCTTTTTGTTTGTCACTAATTCTGTTACTGAACACAATTATTGAACACAGTTATAATCACCTGCATTTTATAAATGTGTAATGTGTCTCTGTGGTCAAGCTTTGCTTGGTTTTGTTGCTAACATTTGGCTTTATTTGAACTTTCTTGAGACTTATCATACTGATTGATTGCTACATTCCACCATTTCAATTGATTAATGCAAAGCCAATTGATAAGTATGACATTTTGAGGCCATTCAAATTTTTAAAGCAGAAACAGGATTTTGACTGATTTAGAATTTCTTAAGCACCTTTGCAGTGCCCAAGCTTGGGATGGAACTTTATTTACAGTGTCACCTTTAAAGAAGAATAAGTCATTGCTTTTGCCCATCTCCAGGCCCAGACAGTCAGGAAGTCCCTGTGTTTGAGATCATGAACCCGAGAGACTTTTACGTCTTTGTGACCCCATTTGACATGGAGGGAGACACCAAGGTGAGCTGTGAGACCTTCACATTAATCACAGGAACATGAAGACAGAATGGACTTTGTTAAAAAAATTGTGATTGTCCAATCAGCATCTCATCCCAAAGCCTGCCCACCTCTGTCAAAAGACATGCAGCTATGGCCACTCTTTGATTGGTTGAGCTGCTAATTGCCATTTTCTCATTGGCTGAACTGCTAATTATGATGGACAGTCAGAATGGTTCTATGCTGTCTCCTACAGGAGATCCCGGGTGGCCTGCCTGAGGAGTACGAGCGAGCGCTGCACCACCGCGAGAGGGACGTCAAGAGATGGCAGCGCACGGTGAAGGAGGCGGGGCTTAGCAAGGAGCAGAAGAAACAGTTCCAGAGTATCGTGGAGGCAAAGTTTCAGGTGAACATGATTTTTTTCGTCTAATTTTTTTTCCATACAGAAATGCATTGAGTTGTAATTGTCTAGATTTGAAGTTAAAGAACAGGTCTTCAGTAGAAAGTGCCCAAAGCCAAAGAATTGTGTAATCTTCATGAATGTACACTTCTTTTGGATTCAATACTAATTTTCACCCTTCTTGCTCTAGGCTTGGCTGGCAGAAACGGGTAACAAGAGGCAGCTGGATGGCCTAGTGCCTTCCTCCCCCACCCACAGGGCAGCAATGGACAGTCCCAGATGACCACCCACCCATCCACCTAGCATCAATGGACAGTCCCTATAAAATAGATTTAAATGTATTCCTTATTGTGTAAGTGAGATGTTAGAGATGAAAAATCAGTTCTATTGTAAGATAACAGCCATAGAAAGTCCACAAGTTCTGAAAGTCACACAAAATGCAAAGCTGAAGTGAACGTTCTTAAAGAAGTTGTATTCAACCACTGTCTGGTTGGAATTGATAATCATTTAAAAGTTATGTATTTTGGCAGCTAGTAAAGAGTATTTAGACATGTTGCACAAATAAAAGCATTATCTGAATGTCTGTAAATTACTTAATTTACTTTTACACAAGATCTCTGTATTCCTTGCTTAACGTGCCATGCCTTGTAAAATGCCTTGCCATAATGCAAGCTGTATACTTGCATAGATGAATTTATTCTAACCAAAAATAGCTGCAGTAATTTTGAGATTGCCATAATGGTAAAGAAAGGTAAGATACATTGTATTGTGAAGACCTTTTTCTGAAAATCCATGCTAGAAACTTCATTGTATTTGTTGTACATTTGCCATGGAGGGTTATAAGGGAAATGTATGTACACAATATTGTGCAATTATATATTGTGTGATGTGCTTTTGTCATGATTTAGAGTTCTACTAGCTTTGATTTAAACTTTCCAAATTTAAGAGTTTACTTAAGTAACTTGCTGGAGCAAGGGTATTGATAATGATAATGATATATGTTGTGTGCCAACCTGTAGATACAGTTGTGATTGCCATTTCATGCTTATTCCTAAGTAAATCCAAAAATTACTTTAATATATCAGATAAAATGAACTGTCAAAACCTAAGAGTCAAAAATGTGTCAAATTTATTCTCAGTGCATGTTGATGACTCTTCAATGCTAAGACGACTGCAGTTTGTTGGCTTAGGTTTTTATAGTCCTTCTATTTCTGGGAAAGAAGTTTTTTGTGCACAATGTAAACGTAAAACTTGCACTACATAGATACTTGTTGCAACAAAATGTGATATACTCACTGTGATTTGATTAAGAATTAGAAAGAACCTATGAGCATAAGAAATTGCAAGACAATGTGTGTAAACCATAAAAATGTCTTTACATCTCATCCTATATTACCTGACTGTACATTGACTGTAAAACATTTATATCTAGATAATAGCAACAAATAAAGTATTGAATCTATACCTGATATGGTATGTGTAAGTTCCTTTTTTGACATTTCCTGTTGACGCACAGTCCGTAAAGCGTTTCTGTGTGTTTGAGACAAAAATGCATTAAAATCAGTATTAGAAGGAACGAGAACATCATCATGAAGAAGAACAAATTTGCTGATTGAGAGCAAGTATCTATAGCTGTCTGAAAGATAGACGCCCTTGTTGACAAGTTTGGAAAGGTCATCCGTCGATGCTACCGGTGACGTCATTGTTGTCAACACGACTTTGTCCCTCTAGCTCTAGCTGTAGGCCGCACAGTCACCCAGGTAGCAGCTTTGTTAAGCACACGGACATTTGTACCGTGTATCTTATGGTCATTCCTTCCATTCAAGTTTTCGCTGACCTCGTTGGAGAATTCGACCACGAAATGATGGCAGCTGTAAGGACTTTAGGAAGTTGCCTGTTACTATTTCAGATTTTAGCTTTGCAGGTAAGGTGTTTTCTCTTTGTTTTATTTATTTATTTAGTACCAACGTAAACAGCTGAAATCAACTTTGAGTAACCCTAATTAAGATTCCGTTTGACTTGTCTACATCCATCCCATTCCCTCTGTACCTTTATTGCTAAGAGCCTTATATTATTATTACATTAATATTTAGAACAGGCATGTTGCCACTTCACAACAGGAACAGAACTTACCTGCGCCACTTTCGGGTTGGGCTGTCTATCGCAGTAATAAATATATTGGAAAATCTCAAGTTAAGGCCTTAAGTTTAGCTTTATCTACACCCTTCCCCTTCCCTCTGTACCTTTGCCAAGAGCCTTATGATTATTACATAAACATGTAGAACAAGCATGTAGCTCGTGCAACTACACAACACGGGAACAGAATTTACCTGCGCTACTTCCGGGTTGGGCTGTCTATCGCACTATATATAAATGAATATATCGGAAAATCTTATGTTAAGGCCTTACGTAAAGATTTATCTTCCCCTTCCCTCTGTACCTTTGCCAAGAGCCTTATGATTATTACATAAACATGTAGAACAAGCATGTAGTTCGTGCAACTACAGAACAGGAACAGAATTTACCTGCGCTACTTCCGGGTTGGGAAATCTATAGCACTAATAGATATATCGGCAAATCTTAAGGCCTTAAGAGGTATATCTTGCACTATTTTACGCGTTATTGTTTTCCCAAATTCTATTGATGTGAAAAGTGGATACTGGAAGTGGATTGCAGGTTATATAGCCCGCGTAGCAATTTAATGTTTATCTAAACTGCACATTTCCACACAATACGTTATAAACGCACATGCTTTTACGGTTCTCGTGCCTATAGTATACTGTCTTAAAGTCTGCAAAAGTACTTTTCTGAATACATGAAACCTAATGTGTATATAAAATTCTAGGGCATCTACTGTACTATTTATTAATCTAAAAATGGCATATTATTGCTTTGTTCTTGCACTATGTGTGACATCTTAACTTGATAGATGATAATAGTACGTGTATAGGTAAGTGTAAGTGGTCTACCCGTATACTATCAACAATGTTGGATATCATATCACGGCAGGTCGTATCTCAAACAACGCCTCCGGGTTCAACACCAGGTGGGTGTATCTACATGTATATCGAGACATATTAATGACAAAAACAGAAATATCAGATCCTAGATATGGACCTGCCAACTCGAGTACTGTTTGTACCATTTTTTAAAATACTATATTCTATCTAATCCTTTCCTGATTACTGATGACCATTTTGCATTTCTTACTTCTCAGATGACAGGGAACTGCCAATGCTCTAATGATTAATCTCAGAACTCTCGTATTTATAGGTGTAGCCCTCCCTCCTGGAGTCATAAGCATTTCACCGTCTGAAGTATCAGAGAACAGCATCAGAATCACCTGGACAGCTGCAGCTGGAGCCAAGGACAGCTACAGTATCAGCATCTCTCCTGACACCGGTGTCACCAACCCTACTGGAAGTGTGAATGCCGGAGCCCCACTGGAGTACACCTTTACAGGTCTGACAGCAGGAACCCTGTACACCATCGCTGTTGTAACTGTTAGCGGTGGTGCGAATAGTATACCAAGGACAACAACACAGAGGACAAGTAAGTACCTACCTACAGAGGTTTATACGCCCCAAATGGAGTCAAATATATTTACATAAATGTCATCTATTGCCGTATCTATTCCACAGCTGTAGCCCAGCCAGGAGAGATTATCATCCCATCATTCGATGTAACGGAAACCAGCATCAGGATCACCTGGGCAGCTGCAGTTGGAACAGTATACATCTACGATATCGGCATCTCTCCTACCGCCGGTGTAACCAACCCTACTGGAAGTGTGAATGCAGGAGCCACACTAGAGTACACCTTTACTGGTCTGACAGCAGGAACCCTGTACACCATCGCTGTTGTAACTGACAGTGGAGGGGACAAGAGTGTGGCAAGGGAAGAGACACAGAGGACAAGTAAGTAACATACTTCTTAATTGAAGTAGAAATAAGAATAATGCTTAATGTCTGTCATCAAAACCATTCCACATTTGTAAATGTTGGTATAAACGGTTTGATTATACAGCTGTAGCCCAGCCAGGTGCCATCAGTATTCTACCAGCTGAAGTGACAGAAAACAGCATCAGGATCACCTGGGCAGCTGCAGCAGGCGCCAAGGACAGCTACGGCATCAGCATCTCTCCCGACACCGGTGTGACCAACCCTACTGGAATTGTGAATTATGGAGACACACAAGAGTACACCTTTACTGGTCTGACAGCAGGAACCCTGTACATCGTTGCTGTTGTAACTGACAGTGGAGGGGACAAGAGTGTGACAAGAGAAGCAACACAGAGAACAAGTAAGTAACATGCAAGATACTAAATTACCTGACAGCTACATAAGTGAGGTATGTCTGATAGAATGTTCGCATAGATTATCCTCTAGTCTTGGCTATGAATTGCCTGTATGTCTTTAACACTGAAAAATGTTGATAAGTACATTTCTCTTGTCCTTTCACACTGCACAGCTGTAGCCCAACCAGGTGCCTTCAGCATTCTACCAGCTGGAGTGACAGAAAACAGCATCAGGATCACCTGGTCATCTGCAGATGGAGCCAAGGACAGATACAGTATTAGCATCTCTCCTGCCGATGGTGCCAACCCAACTGGAAGTGTGAATGTTGGAGCCACTCTAGAATTCACCTTTACAGGTCTGACAGCAGGAACGGAGTACACCATCAGTGTTGTAACTGTTAGTGGTGGAGTGAACAGTGTGCCAAGGACAACAACACAGAGGACAAGTGAGTACCTACCTACAAACAAACAAACAGATGTTTATACGCCCCAAATGGAGTCAAATATGTTTATATAATTGTCACCTATGGTCGTATCTGTTCCACAGCTGTAGCCCAGACAGGAGCGATCATCATTGTTATGGTGACAGTGAACAGGATCAAAATCACCTGGGCAGCTGCAGCTGGAGCTGTAGACAGCTACGATATCAGCATCTCTCCTACCGACGGTGTCACCAACCCTACTGGAAGTGTGAATGCTGGAGCCACACTACAGTACACATTCACTGGTCTGACAGCAGGAACCCTGTACACCATCAGTGTTGTAACGGACAGTGGAGGGGTGAAGAGTATGGCATTGGAAGCAACGCAGAGGACAAGTAAGTAACATGCAATATTTTGTAGGACTAGGGATTTTAAAAAAATGGTTGATGGTTAACTATTCTGTTTTAAGGAACTCAATTTAATAAGCTTTGATCATACAGCTGTAGCCCAGTCAGGTGCCATCAGTATTCTACCAGCTGAAGTGACAGAAAACAGCATCAGGATCACCTGGACAGCTGCAGCTGGAGCTGTAGACAGCTACGATATCAGCATCTCTCCTACCGACGGTGTCACCAACCCTACTGGAAGTGTGAATGCCGGAGCCGCACTAGAGTACACCTTTACAGGTCTGACAGCAGGAACCATGTACACCATCAGGGTTGTAACTGACAGTGGAGGGAATAAGAGTGTTCCAAGGGAAGCAACACAAAGGACAAGTGCGTAACGTCCACTAATTTGTTAGACTAGAAATAAGAATAATACTTGATTTCTGTCATTCTTCATCATGTTTTTTTTTTATCTAAAAAGCTTTGATTGTAAGTTACCATACATCATTCCACATCCATAGATGTAGCCCAGCCAGGTGCCATCAGCACTGCATCAAATGAAGTGACAGAAAACAGTATCAGGATCACCTGGGCAGCTGCAGCCGGAGCAGTAGATAGCTACGATATCAGCATCTCTCCCGACACCGGTGTCACCAACCCTACTGGAAGTGTGAATGCAGGGGCCACGCTAGAGTACACATTCACTGGTCTGACAGCAGGAACCCTGTACACCATCAGTGTTATAACTGACAGTGGAGGGGATAAGAGTGTGGCAAGGGAAGCAACACAAAGGACAAGTGCGTAACATCCACTAATTTGTTAAACTAGAAATAAGAATAATGCTTGATTTCTGTCATTATTCATCATGCTTTGTTGTTTTTTAATCTGAAAATGTTAGTAAAAAGCTTTGATTGTAGTTTCCATACGACATTACACATCTATAGCTGTAGCCCTGCCAGGTGCCATCAGCACTGCATCAAATGAAGTAACAGAAAACAGTATCAGGATCACCTGGACAGCTGCAGCTGGAGCTGTAGACAGCTACGATATCAGCATCTCTCCCGACACCGGTGTTACCAACCCTACTGGAAGTGTGAATGCAGGGGCCACAGTAGAGTACACATTCACTGGTCTGACAGCAGGAACCCTGTACACCATCAGTGTTGTAACTGTCAGTGGAGGGGTCAAGAGTGTGGCAAGAGAAGCAACACGGAGGACAAGTAAGTAACATACAATATTTTGTAGGACTAGGAATTTTAAAAAATGGTTGATGGTTAAGTATCCTGTTTTAAGGAACCCAATTTAACAAGCTTTGATCATACAGCTGTAGCCCAACCAGGTGCCATCAGTATTCTACCAGCCGAAGTGACAGAAAACAGCATTAGGATCACCTGGGCAGCTGCAGCTGGAGCCAAGGACAGCTACGACATCACTATCTCTCCTGACACCGGTATCACCAACCCTCCTGGCAGTGTGAATGCTGGAGACACGCTAGAGTACACATTCAATGGCCTAACAGCAGGAACCCTGTACACCATCGCTGTTCTAACTGACAGTGGAGGGGTGAAAAGTATGGCAAGGGAAGAAACACAGAGGACAAGTAAGTAACATGCAATATGTTGTAGGACTAGGAATAAAAAATGGTTGATGGTTAACTATCCTGCTTTGATCATACAGCTGTAGCCCAGTCAGGTGCCATCAGTATTCTACCAGCTGAAGTGACAGAAAACAGTATCAGGATCACCTGGGCAGCTGCAGCTGGAGCCAAGGACAGCTACGACATCAGCATCTCTCCTGACACCGGTGTCACCAACCCTACTGGAAGTGTAAATGATGGAAACCCACGAGAGTACACCTTTACAGGCCTGACAGCAGGAACCCTGTACACCATCAGGGTTGTAACTGTCAGTGGTGGAGTGAACAGTATGGCAAGGACAGCGCAGCAGAGAACAAGTAACATTACTAGTAAGTGTTAAAGCTTGTCAATATGGTTTTCATCGATTTCTGTCACCTTTGTCCTCGAAATCGTTACAATCAGATTCTACTTTTGACTAAGATGCACTCGCTGTTGATTCATCTTTATCTCTCTATCATCAAATCTTTCCAGCTGTAGCACAGCCTGGGGATCTCACCATAGCTTCATCGGATGTAACAGAGAACAGCATCAAGATCACCTGGTCATCCGCAGCAGGAGCAGCAGACAGCTACAGCATCAGCATCTCTCCTGCCCATGGTGACAACCCTTCGGGGAGTGTGATCGCTTCAGCAGCATTAGAGTACACCTTCACTGGTTTAACAGCAGGAACAGAGTACATCATCATTGCTGTTACAGTCAGCGGCGGGGTGAACAGTGTGGCAAGAACAACGACACAGAGGACAAGTAAGTACAACTCAGGGTAGATTTGTGCTTCGTTTACAGTCACTGCTGGATTACTCGATGATGTTTTTAAATGACGGTGCCATTAATATGTCTTATACATTTATAATTATATCATTTCATTTCCCTGACATGCACAGCTGTAGCCCAGCCTGGGGTCATCAGCATTGCACCATCTGACGTCTCCGAGAACAGCATGAAGATCACATGGACAGCTGCAGTTGGAGCCAAAGACAGCTACATCATCATCATTTCTCCCGACAGTGGTGTTACGAACCCTACCGGCAGCGTAAACAATGGAGACACACTAGAGTACACATTCGCTGGTCTGACAGCAGGAACCTTGTACACCATAAATGTTATAACTGTTAGCGGAGGGGTGAACAGTGTAGCCAGGACGAAACAACAAAGGACAAGTAAGTATTAGGTCCTATGCATTCTTGTCAGACCATTGTTGTCGTCCTCTGTTTATTATCATCAGTTATCAACAATGGTATTTGTAACTGCCTGGTAATGATGGCCATCATGTTATGCGTTACAGCTGTAGCCCAGCCTGGTGTGATCAGCATTGTGCCATCTGATGTGACAGAGAACAGCATCAGGATCACCTGGACAGCTGCAGCCGGAGCCAAGGACAGCTACAGTATCGACATCTCGCCTACAGGGAGTGTGAATGATGGAGATATGCTGGAGTACAGCTTTAACAGCTTGACAGCAGGAACCCTGTATACCATCAGCGTCACAACTGTTAGCGGTGGGGAAAGCAGTGTGGCAAGAGTGAAAGAACAGAGAACGAGTGAGTTTTTGTTGTGGTTGTTGACAAAAAATATGAAGAATGAGAAGAAAAAAGAAATTGGTGGAAGATTCTTCTAAAGTCATTTTATCGATGCGTTTGAAAAAAAAAAGGTACAAGCAAATCTTTCACGTAGGAATTAATAGAAAGTTAAAGATCCTTAGTCTTTCTATCTTCTGAGTTTGGAACGTTTGCGAATTGAACGATGAGAACAGCTTCCATGAAGTTAAACGGGTTCGATGTAATTTTCGCCAAAACAGATGCGACAACTACTAGTGCTGAAGGTACAGCCACTTTTCCACCGACAACGGTCACTGGAAGCCCATACTCATCTACAAGTTCCCCCGATACAAGTTTCGGTTCTCCTGCATGTGGTGCGGAATCAGGGGTGTATGCAGGTATCGCTGTCGGGACTCTTGTTGCTGGTGTTGTGATCGGAGTCCTGGCAACTCTCCTGGTACAATACATGAGGGCTAAAAGAGGCAAGTAAAGGCAGTCGCTCTATCTGGTTGTTCAACATCTACTATGTCTATCAACTATAGTGATTATGGTGATGTCACTGGTTCTGTTGAGCTAATGTTTATAAACTCGTATGTTATCATTTTCACTTGAACTTCCATTATGCAAACAGAACTGACGTTTAAAGACTGTGGTCACTTTCTCTTTGGTAATCTACGTACAACACTAAAGGATCGAGTTCAAACTGATCCTTTAGTTTTTTTTAAAGAATCGTAAAGGATCCTGTATCACTGATCTTACGCTCCGCCCGTAATCATGTGTATGTCCCACATGTTTAATCTTAGCATCTTCACAAGAGACGGAGGTGTATGAAGACGTGGTGACCCGGCCTGCGCCGACCCGTCAGTCGACGTCTGCGTCAAAGTACGGCGAGCGCGAGTACGATATCCCCATGGAAACCGTTCCACCACGCCCTCAGGAAGAGAGCCCCTACCAGGAGCTGAAGCCAGCGGTGTATGAACATCTGAGGAAGCATTGAGCAGAATTTTAAGAGGAGTTTGCGGATAAGCAGGAAATGTACTTGGATCTAGGTAATACTTTATAGTAGACAAAGGATGCAGGTATGTTTCTACGTGTTTCAAGAAGAGAGATTAAGAAACAGTGGTTATTAGTAGATGAACAATAGTACACATGCGTTATGTTAATAGACAGAATTCTATTATTAATTAATTAGCGTTTGAATGTAGTATTGTTAGCGTTCTGTAGGTACTCCATGTCTTATATATGCCCTAGACCACATACATGTATGGCATGTGCATTTAATCCATTTGAACAGGAATATGCAATAAAGAGCTAGCATATCATATCATCATTCATAACGACTGTGAACTGATTATATTCCAGCACGTCGGCAGAATCCCATTATTCAGGTAATATCGGCAGGTAGATGTATGGTATGGAAAGTTATTATCTGCGATATCGATTATCATTTAATAGGTAATCTTTGGATTTGCATGTAACAAGGTATTATCATGATCTATTGTTGTAAGTATAACAATGACACTTTATAAACAAGACACCTGACCATCCCCCATTGGACTGATAAAAAGCCGCTGAGGCCCTAGGGTGTACATTGTACGTTTTCAAGGTTATATTCAAATTAACTTATTAAGATTCAAGAAAAGAAGAAAAATGTGCCCTGTATGAAATGAGCACGGTAGTACATATTCCCCCCGTTTGTTGTCAATACCGATAACAATAACAGTACTCTAAATATATTGTATTCTAGGTGATTAATCACGAAAATGCAGTGGTTAGGATGACCATATATACACTGATAAATGCATTAACCGGAAACTAAGAATCTGTTGTAACCAACTAGTTCAAATAAAGGAATATTTTAACGAGCGTGCTTTTGAAGTTTATTTTGGACACTATAACGTTAACGTTACGTCATTAACTGAAACACAAAAAAAACCTTCTGTTACAAAACTCTAACTTAAATGTTCTTTTGCCTGATGGCAAAAAAGTTGTGTGCATACTGCTAACGCTGACCAAAACGACGAGGACAGTGTTAACGTTGTATCACACATGACATGTCCTCGGTGCTGATAGTACTTCCGCTTGAGGCTGAAATGCAAGGCGTGATCAGCACAATTGTAAATGTATTTATCATGACCGCCTGTCTAAACGTGGGGCTACAAACGTGTTTTGCATGTCCCCAACATGGAATCCCCAATCCGATTACAACAGGACCGCCCAATTTTATGGGTCCAATTGCATCAAAATTTCCCGCGCAAAAGTAAGAGGTCAGTATTTAATACTCAAATAGTGTCGCGCTATGACCGATAGTCGCTATTGGCACAGCACTATTGTTACCTTCAAAACGCGAAGTACGGATGGCTGTACGGCTTCTTCAGACTTTTATCCCTTTCAGGTAGTTAAAAACAATAGACATTGTTCCATAGTCTATCTGAGGGTTTTATAGAGATCTGTTTTTAGGATCACTAAGTTGACTAACACCAGTGCGAGACAGTAGAGGTCAAAGGTTAGCACTTCCGGTTTCTGTTGACAAACACCGGCGTGCTTTTATTTGATCGCGTTAGTTTCGGTGATCTCATGGAATCGACAAAAGGAAAGGTTTCGCTGCGCAGTAGAGAACGATTTTACGTTCATGTGGAAACAGACTACACAACGAGGAAGCACAAGTCAAGATCGGGGATTTGAATCTACACAATCAACGTCTAGAGCTGAAAATCAGGTATTATGTATTATGTTATGCTATGTGTGCTTGCTTTTGCTCTTCAAGTTCTACTCAAGTTACAATCAATTAGAAACTAACGTTATATGCCTTGGTCAAACCGAATTGAAAGTATTGGTACTGGACTCTGCTACCCCAACTCATTCCCCTTGAATATTGTTAACGCAAACTTTTATCTGATAAACAGTTCTGCTGAAAAATATCACTTTAAATGCATGCAATAATAGGACGGTTTAGTCACTAATTCGTACTCAAAAATTGACATTAGTTATCCTTCAATGTTGCTAGAAGCTCGAAGGACCCTTGGCCTGTAGGCTGTTCCGAAAATGGACCAGTCTAGAGGAAGAGGAAAAGGAAGAGGAGGAGGGCAAGGCAGAGGCCGACCCCGACCCTGGGAGTGTGAGAATCCCCAGACCCAGGGGGCCTCTCCTAACGTACCCCCCATGGTGGGGGGAGGGTTAGGTGGGGAGTGGCCCAGTCTGGAGGATACACAGCACAGTCCCCAGCAGAAGAGGTTCAGAAACAACCAAGGGGTAAGATATAAAATTTTATTGAACCTGCTTTTTTAATGTATGTCTGTCAGAGCTTTTCATCATCATGTAGAACAAACATGCCAGTAGCCAGGATTTTGAATGGGGGGGTTCTTCCCACTGTTTGAGGCGACCTCGAGCGCCGAAGGCGCGAGGTTCCGAGGGGGGTCCGGGGGCATGCTCCCCCAGAAAATTTTGAAAAATGAACCTTCTAAAATGGCATTTCGTGCGTTTTTGAGAGGATTTCCAAGACAAAGGGAGCAGTTTTTCTACGATTCCAGTCCATCTTTTCAACAAAAATCTTGGACCTTTACATAAAAAGTGGACCAAAAAGTGGACCTTTACATAAAAAGTGGACCAAAAAGTGGACCTTTGAGCCTTGTGGGGGGGTTCTTCCGAACCCCCCTGGCTACGGGCATGACAAATTCAACAGTGTCTCAATATGTAGGACAATAGGTCTATTGTTTCAAAGTATTACAAGACAAAGAAGACTAGTTCATTGTTTTTGAAATGAGCACTGATTATGGTGAAACAATGACTGGTAAAAGGATTTTAAATGTCCAGAAGTGTAGAATTTCTTCTCTTTACTTATCCAATGTATTGCAGTTACATACACAGTGTAAATATAAGGTCTTCATTCATTCATTCATTCATTATTTTCTTCCTGTTTGGTCACACAGTTTGGACATTACAGTGCCCAGATGTCCAACTACTCAGGCAGAGGATATCACCCTTACAGGTATATGTTTATGCTCAAGACTGATTTTTCACATTTCACCTCAAAATCTGTCATGTCTGTATACTCATATGGTTTCATCCAGGTACAGTATATTTTGCTGACATGCTCATTTGTATTCCCTATGACCATTCTCACCATTCCCCATGTTGTGATCAGGGACAGGAATCTGAGTGGTCCCCATGGCCGGGCTGACTACATGCCGACACCAGGCAGCTCCCAGTCTGACGATGTAGAGGAGTACGACCCCACACAGCCTGGTCTGATGGAGCATGGCAGCGGGGGCAACAGGAGGAAAAAGGACAAGAGACCAAGGTAGCTTAACTGCTATACAAATATGCAGTATACATGTAACGTTACATATTTTGGCTGTAATCATTTTCCTTGCAACATACAAAGGAAGGTTTGTATGTTGTTTTTCCAGGAAAAAAGATATCAGGACCTGATAAATGAAACTAGATTATTTCTCTGTTGCTGATGTTTTCTGTAACATAACACCAAACTTCTATCAACATGTTATGTACAATGTAAACACTGTACATGCATGTACATAGCATCTGGCTTTTCTGTCATGACCAGAGGAGGATAAGCTAGCATTTTACATGTGCTAGGCCCTGTGTATCTTAATGTACAATGATGAGTTACAAAATGAAAACAGTATACATTGTAACATTGGAGGCATATATACATTTTTAACAAGAAGAAATATTGTCATGTACTGTTCAAACACTTCTATGAGAATTATAACTGATTTTGTTCTGTTGCAGGTTTTCTCCCCTGCCACTGCAGTCCCAGTTTGTGACACCACCCCCCTCCCGCAGCCAGCACCACCCCCCTCCCTACTCACGGACACCAGGGTCCTCAGGGGGGAGGGGAAGCAGTGGTAGGGACGGCAGCGTCTTATTTTCATTTCTGTCTTTTCCTCCTTGTATAACCAAAAGTACCTGTGTTCAATGTTACAACATCAGTCAGAGGGATGAAGATTAAATAAGAAGTACATATACCATAGAAAAACATATGTCCTGTTAAATAAGAAATATATTGAGCCATAGAAAAACAGCTATTGATGTTAGACCATGTGTGTATCATTTGAAAAGTTTTGGTATTCCCAGTCTCCGGTATCATTTCCATTTTATTCTTAGATTTGCTTGTCTAAACTGTAATAATAATCAGTCATGTCTAGTAACTATCTGAAAAAAAGCTTCAACTGTTACTCCTCAAGATAACTCATTCAAAACCAAACTTAGCAAACATAACATGAAGCTACATGTAGCTGTCAACATAAAAAAAGACGTTGTTGTGAAACTTAATTCTTGTGTTTTGCTGACCAGGTGGAAGTGCAAAGGCCATCAACAAGAAGACCTTGGACAGTGCAGCAGCCAACTATGTGTTAAAACTAGCAGAAAACAAGACAGCTGTCACTGTAGATAAAGTGGTCGACATGCTGAAACAGCATTTTCAGGTACCCTTCCTTTGAACTATAGCTCTATCACCTTTCTAGTCAAATGCTTGTAGTGATATAAAACTGAAATCAGTCAGGGAGAGTCATGGAAGAAGTTATATTTTATTAGATGTGCCTCGTAGAATGCTTGTATGATTTGCAAGCTACCATTATTTTTAAAGACAGTTTCTTATCAGATTTGAAGATATCATAACCCCTCTGTTCTACATGTAGTTACATGTACAACATTAATAATCATAATGTCTCAGTCAATACTACTGCACAAGAAATTGGTTTTGACTGATATTAATGATTATTAATAATTATTATTCTGACTGACTTAATAATTATTATTCATGTCCTGCATGACTAATCTTCATAAACATAACATTGATAATCATTTTCTGACATCTCATGTTTTTCAGGTGACCCGTTTTGGGGACTTAAACATAAGAAAACCGACAGAAATCCCCACCCTGGATGAACTGCATAAATGCCAGTCCAAAGTCAACGCGTACATCCACGCTTTCATCATGACACGTTCTATCGCCACCCTCCACGAACTCAAGCACCACCTCGCAGACCTCTTCCCGCCAAAGAAGTCTTTCTCGGAGCTGAACCTGGGACCACTCACCAAGCAAGGGCTGGTGTATGAGCTGTTCAAATTTCCACAGAACATTCCAGATGAAGACATTCCAGGTACAATGTAGCTTGATAACCTACATTTGTATATGTATGTATTATGAAACAAGTTTGACCTGCAATTTCCAACCCAAAAAATCAGACTTACCCAAATTTTTGACTGTACAACTCCAGTCTTTGTCAAGGAATGAGCAATCCACCGCTTCCTTGACGTCATGCAGATAACACGTGACTCCGTGAGCAGTGGATCATAGGTTGCAGAAAGCCTGTGGTGCCCCCCGTCTCTTGAGGGATGGTTCTAATGCCCTGATATAGATGGCCTCTTTAATAATCCCTCATGCAAAATTTGGGTGTCCAATTTCTTGTGTTGGAAATTGCAGTTCAAACATGTTTCATTATTCCTTCTACCAACACAGATGAACTCTTATTTTATTTTTTTTTCCTTTCAATTATGATATTGCTTGTTAAGTATAGGTGGTTTATGTTGTGTTGGTTATGTTTGCATTATAGGTTTTATTCATGACTCCAGGAAGACTAGTGTAGTATTCATTGTACTCACTAATGAAGATCTTTCACATTAACAAAGCAACTAAACAAAACAAATATTTCAGACATATCAACGATAGACATTCTGAAGGACCTGAGGAAGTACCTGACAGTGCATGGCTGGAGGCAGAAGGTGAAACTGGAAGACTTTATGGAGTTCCTGAGGAAGGAACATGAAGTCAAGTCTCCCTACGAGCTGGGAGTCAGAATATCCAGTGTGGCACTGGGTATATCTGTAAGTATTGGTCTTTGTCCTTTCGCATGTGAAACATATATACAATGTACTAATCATACAAGCCTCAAACTGTGCCAACATTTCATTAACCTTATGTCCAAATCTATTTTAGCTGCAGAGTCTCTTTTGTCTATTTGCACAGAAGACTCGCTAGCTAAAATAAGTTTGGACACAGGGCTAAGATTTCATTTCTAGCTCATATTCATTATTTCTAATAATAATAATTAATAAAGATTTAGTGCTTAAAGTCAATAATGTTTGTAAGATGTAATTAATAGTTGAGTTATTTAGTGTTAGACTGACATACACACTCTTAAATCAGAATTGTATAGTTGGCAAAGGGAACCTTATTTTATTTTTTGATCAATTTGATTAATTGATATGTAATTGATTTGTTATCACTTTGATAAAGGTAGACTTGTACATAAACTCAAGCTCCTGGCCTCTCATGAACAGTTTGTATATTATATATATTATATATATTATTTCTGTGTGCTTAATGTATTTTATGTGCAAATAAAAAATATATACTATAAACACAATACTTAGAGTATGATAGTTTGACCGTTCATCTTACCCCTTTTTGCACAAGATGACAGTTGATGTATTATTCTCCTAACAGGTAATAAAGACAGCCCAGCGCCATGAGAAGGAAGTGACCACAAACGTGCGAGCGAGGCTGGCAGCAGAGATGGAACAGGACATCGAACAGCAGCTGGTCAAGGTCAAACGTAAAGTCCTGCAGGCCTCCGACCCAGACAGCGGTGAGGCTCAACTTAATGGACAGTTGTTAGTTGGAAAAAAGGCTCTAATGATTAAAAAATTAGGAAAAATCACTGATTCAAATTTTTGACCAAACCTTTTTCTTCATTGAGTTGAACTGAACTTCTATTTCTGACACATGCATGACCTATAACATGACATCAAGGGTAGCATGTTGGCAGGATGTACTGCATCTACTTGAAATCTTAAACATAATCTTTAACAGAAGGCATCATTTAAAGTGTTCACATATCTAAGGATGATATTGCACCTAGGCTATAGTTTTCAAATGTTGTGCCAGGAAACAGAGGAAATTCTGATGCAATGTGCAAACATTCAACAGAAACCATGGTCTCACTCAGTTGCGGTACATGGTATCAAAGGCTAGTAATACATTAACATTGGTCAGTCCATGTGAAGTCGTAAACACAATCTCAGTCACAAGGTTACAGAAGGTCATGTGATTTCTTTCCATTGTCCCAACAGATGGACATGAGAGGAAACTGCGTTACGCCAGTCTGACTGCGACAGATGCAGTGTTGGAGGTGTACGAATGCTGCTACGAGATGTTTAACCCCAGTATGAGGAGAACCATAGATGACTTCTTCCAGCAGGTAAATACAGAATTTTACAGATGTGAGCAGTTTGTAAGGCTAATGTCGAAGCATGATGCTTTTTTGTTAGCTTGTAGTGCAGTTTGGCTTTGCATGCTTGGCTTGGCTCTCATATTTAGCCAAGCACACTGGTTCACCTCAGACTCTACCCTTAATATGTGTGTTGGGTACAGTCATATAAAGTTACTGTAATATTTGAGATGCCTTTGAAACTTTTAAGAAAGATGAACATATATACAATGTAGAAGAAAAGTTTTTAATAAAACAATTATACTAGTGTCATATGGCTTTTGATATGCCTTAGAATTATGTACTCCATTGTACCCCCTTTCTCAAAGGTAAGAAAATTGATACTCCTTTCAATGTGTACTATAATCATGATCAATGTATTAAATGTAAAAACAGGAAAGTATTGCATTGCTTCCTTTCGCCAGCTCAACACCATACAAAATTTAGTTTACTTTGGCTCTCAAAATATGAGATCTGTGAAGAGAAAAAAAGGATGACAAATGTCACCCACAAGATAAAGTTTGTAATCCTTTGTTTTCTCTGTGAACCTCTTACCTAGGTGTTGAGGAACCCGTTGGCTAAGAAGATTTTCCAGGTGGCCCTGTGCTGTGGGAAGCTGGACCTCCCTGATGATGCCAGGGGTCGAGACAGCTCCTCTTCAGAGGAGGAGGATGATGAGGAAGAACAAGGAAGTACCAACCGGAAGCCTTCTCCACCTGAAAGTATGTCTTAATTTTGGCATATTTTGATTTGATTTTTGATTAGATTGTGATTTTTGATTTTTTAGAATTTATTTATTTTTACATACATAATAAAAGATAAAGTTCACCAAAATATAACACAACAAAAAGTAAGAATGCAGGGATCGAGAAAAAGCCATGATAATAGCTTGTTTGACATCTCCTCCCATCATGATTTAACATTATTACAATTTTTTCAAATCAAATATAAATGAATAAGTAGTGGAAAAAGTAAGTGAAACAATGCAATGAATCAGTGAATCATTTAAACAACATATGATATTGAATACTAATTTGAAGTAAAAAAATGTTTTATGCTGGACAAATCAGTCAATTCTTGTCTTGGTCCGTGCACTAAAAGTAAAAGAGCAAGAACAATATACTTGGGAGCTCAAGCTACAGATTTTTTGTCCAAAATGTATAATGAAAGGAAGACACTACATGTACTCTGAAAATTATGGTAAGATTATTAAGCAAAAACAAAATGTAGTATCACAACTTGAAGAGCATTTATCCTTAAAAGTAAAAATGTCTGACAATGGAATGTGAATGAGTGTTGTTTGTATTTTCCCAGGTGCTATACTGGAAGAACTCCAGAAGTACCTTGACAAGTGTGGAGGGACTCTCACCTTACCCACCCTGGCCAGGATAGAGGCCAAACTGGCCGAGAAGTTCCAGTTTCAGGACTTCATGTCCATGGGCCACGGTAGCTTCATCACATTCTTAAGTCACCATCCACAGGTTAGTTATACATGTATAAGCTTTGATTGGCTACTGTATGACCAAGCAGCAAGCCCAATAGATTTTGAACAACCACTAGGCACATGCATTGTTATATGTATTTATGTATGTATGTATGTCCTGCAGATGTAATAAGTTGATGACTTTGATTTTAATGCTGCTGTTCTTATCTTGTGTAGCTTGTTGTCCTTGTCTCAAGGGTTAGCCCTTTAAAATTCTTGTAACTAGTTGATATAACTAGCAACTTGTAACTAGTTGATATAAGAATTGAAATCTGTCTAAAGTTGCTATCTCCAAGAAGTTGAACTTTGTTTGTGACATATAAATATATGATGTACATGTATGTTATATAGACTTTGTATGCCTATATGTTTATGGACTTCAATGATGTAGTCTACTTATATATCTTGTTATATTTTGTATGACCCTGACCTCTTCCCTCATTCGTTAGCAGGCTGATTTGAATATTTCGTGACTAAATAAAGACTCAAACAAGTAAACAAATAAACAAACAAACAAACAAACAAACAAAATGCTGTGTGTTGTAGGTCCTGGAGGACTTTGGAGGCAGCCTGCTGGGGACTGGAGTAAGCACAGGGGGTGGAGGGAGTGCCTACCACCCCTCACGACAAGACGTCTTGGAGTTCATCAGACAGTACGGGAGCATCCAAACAGATATGGTAAGGAATGGGTCAGATGGTGGCCATTTCTCCAAATCATCAGCTGTTAATGTAACATCTTTTATCATCCAAATGTAGTTGTATTACTGCTTAAATTACATACTTAGAATAAGCCCAGGGCCCCACTGCAAAGCAGTGCTTAGCCACTGAGAGGGCCACCCTGGCTAAAGAAAACAGAATAAAAGAAAAAAATAAAACATTTGTAAAATAAGTACATTGTATGTTACTTACATGTATATGTCACATGTTTGGTCCTCTGCCACATAATATGTGTAGTTTTCTATTGGACTGTGTACAGCACAGTTTGATGTGGAATGATCTTTGATTTGATATGTACATTTGACAATCTTAAGTTTATTATACATATAATATTACTACATCAACAATAGCTCTGACCATATTGGGAGTTAAAATGTGTATATATAATATATTATTGGTATTGTATTTTTGCAATGGTTTGTACATTCTTAGTGCATGGCCTTGTAGTTACCATATGTATCTTGTTTCATGTGTACAGCATTCATTTGTGTATCACATTTTTTCCCCTTTATGTTGTACAATATGTACCTACAGACACCATCCATTGAAGCAGCCCTCTGCCACCACTATGGGGTGAGAGAAGTGAAGGACCTGGGCTACGGGCCCCTCCCCAAACTCATGACCACTGCACAGAAGTTCACCCAAGGAAACAGTCCAGTCATGTATGAAGGACCTCTCTGTCCAAAGACCACAAGGTTGGTACATACTGTAATTCCTCCATAACATTTTCACAGTCACTTCTGTAGCATGAACTTTGTTATCATTACTGTCAAGAACAGCAAAAAAAGACTTACATTTTCATAATGTTTTCATGTAATGTTTTAATGTTACTTTATCTTTGCCTATTAAATGAAAACTTCTTCATATAATTCCTAGAATTTTTTCACGGTCACTTCTGCAGAATGAACTTATCATTACTGTCAAGAACAGCAAAAAAGACTTCCACTTTCATAATGTTTTCATAATAGCAATATTTCATCTTTGCCTAAAATGAAAACCATATAACAAGTTAAGAACACATAATGTACATCAGATTTGTTTACAGTACACAAACATTCAAACATATCACTATATATCTAGAACATATTATGCTTGTTCTACTATAAAATGTAAGCCATTCAAATCACCAGAGCAAAAATCATGACGACTTAAGTTAAGTTGCCATTGCTGCCTACATTGCTCTTGCATGGTTTATTTCTGAGGCTTGCCTTTCTGTGTCTGAAGCCCATGCAGTCTGTAAACTAAGGGTCACTTCTTTCTACACAGTGGTTTCCATAACACATAGGTACAGACCTTGCACAGTTGGTTCTGTGGAAGTGGTTGCAACCATCTCAATTTCCTCCATCTTGTTGTTATCTTGCTTCTTGCGCTCACCTGCGCTACTCTGCAAGGTATCCTGTGGATTTTCTGACTGGCAGGTACATGTACACGAGCGAGGTAGCCACTGTCTACAAATCTGTAGCTGTTCTTGTATTGACTCTTTCAGATGGGCTAGTCGACTGATGCCTGCCAGTGGATTTACTACCGAGTTCAAACAGAAAGCCCAAACCGCCCACGGCATAACTTGTTGGTGCAGGTTTTTTTCTGGATAGAATTTTTGTAAGACCCACTTGACTGACATTACCATCAAAGCCAACAGCCAGAACACGACGGCAATGATGGTGAAAATCATGACTGTTCGAGCTTTGTGTACGCTGGATTGGTCTCTCTTGTTAGCTTCATCTTGACTTGCAGATTTTTGCTTCTCAGACTTCGTTCTCGAAGTGCAATCGCTTTGCGCATGACTGGGGCGAAGGAGTTTCTGATGTCTCATTTTCTGTCGTTGTTTTGTAGATTTATACACCAAAACATTCAGGACAAGCAACATGACAAATAGGAGAATAAAGAGACATACGTTCAGTATGAGATATCCCTGGGTCACAGTTCCTATGCAATGGCCATGTCTCAAGTACGATTCCTCCAGACAGTTCCACCAAAAATATGAAAACGAAACAAGAGCAAAAAAAACCCAGGAGCACACAATTGCTACACCCGCTGCATTGCGTCTGACACGAGCACCCTGATTGTGGTAGAATATTGGGTATTTTATGGCCACTAACCTGTCCAAGGCTAGTAAGTTCAGAGCACATGCTGACGCTAGCTGCGAGTACTTAGTGAGATTTTTCAAAGCTAACATAACGTAAGGTCCGTAGTCCTTTACACTGCTATGGACATGCCAAAAAAGCATCACTCCTGCTAAGAAGTCTGTAACAGCAAGATTTGCTACATTCAGATACATAGGCTGGTGAAGCTGTTTCTTTCTTACAATTCCCCACAGCACAAGCCCATTAGTAACTACAGCCAAAATGCCGAGAAGCACATAAAAGACTGTCACTACCGTACTGAAGTTAACCTCTTTGTACCAGGAACAGATGTCGACGGCTTGGCGATACAACACTCGTTGGTTCAGTACGTACCAGGTGTAACATTGGAATGGATCTTCAAACTCCATCTCTGTGCGTCCCTCCATGGCAGAAGAGCTGTTGTTTGACATGATGTTGTCTTCTCTCAGGCGTGTTTACAAATCCGATGGCTATCGCTGTCTCCTGTTCCGTCCTAGACGCACTGTGGCTTCAATCCAAGAGTTCTCAGTCTTCTCGTCCGTTTTTTTCTCTCTCAGGGCCGATGTTGCCAAGATTTGTACAGTTGCTTGTCAAGATGTGTTCTAGTTGGATGGTTTGGGTTCTTTTCTGTTCTGCTGAGTTGCTGCTACAGTGTTGCCCCCATCAGCATGCTTCACCAGTCATATAGTCTGAAAAGTGAATCAGATATGGTTCTTAAGATGTGGGAGACCTCCTAATATGGAAGAATTACGCTACAGTTTATAGGCAACAACGTCAGAATTTCTCTGAAGTATTTCGTTTCATAAAAGCGGTGTCCTTGTCTGTGACCTGCGGGACAGTTGCCAAGTTACATAAAACCTGGTAATAACACTTCATCTTCCACCTGCAATTTCCTAACAAAAAAACTTTTAATGCATTAAGATACATTTGCATGTAATGGGCATAACACCATGCCAATCACAAGACTGCCTTGACACCTAAAAGTTTGTGTGCGGTGCTGTACAGATGTGTTACACCTAAAGTTGGTTCCCCGGTTGTATAAAACAAACAAACAAACAAACAAACAAAATATAGCTATGTATTTGAGGTGTTCCAAATTGCAGGTGTTGAAATTTTGACAACTTGCAACTCTACAGGTTACATATTAAGAAATTTAAAGGATCTCAAACTTAAAATATGTACATCCTGTCTCTAAGTACCCTATCTGCACAAGGACGTTTAAAAGGTCCAGAGTAGGTAATTTGCAGAACTTGAACCTAGGGGCCACAGACCGTAATATCCATGATAATAAGACCAGCTTTTTATACAGGCTACAAAAGTATCTGCTCGCCGTCTGCAATTTCCAGATAAAAGCCCTTAAGCTTCTTCCCGCTGCCTAACAATTTTGGCGGCAACTTCAGCAGAGAAAAGGTTAATGGATTTTAGAGCATGTCCAGATCCTTTCAGTTCCAACATCAGACTCACCAATGGAGACTTGATGACTGTGCAGATACTGTATTTTTAATCAAAACCAAAGAACAGTCTGAAATGAAAGTAGTACAGTACTCTATCTGCGAGCCATTGTTAATTACTGCAGTGGATAATCCAATTTTTCACAATTGGGAGCCCTAGTTTTAGCGTGCTGTATGGAATTCTGCATCTTCAAATGTGTTGAGAGTATATAGATTGTAACAGATTGTAGGTTGGTGACTGCTTGAAGTTTATAAGAAAAGTTTTAGTTTCATCACAGTTTTATACAATAAATGCATACAATGAATTAATTTGCTGCAGATAAATCTGATTAATTTGGTACTGAATTAGAGGGATAGGAAAGCTAAGAAATGACATATTTGAAATGGTTCAAGTTAAGTTAAACTTTATTTAGTGGTTTCTGCAGTGAATGTAAGGGTTGTAAGGTGTTCAAAAACTTGCATTTTCCAAGAACTATCATAGAGTGGAACTGATAGCACAGTTAGGGCATCATTTTAAGAAAGCTTTCAACAAAATTCAGCAAAGATTGTAACAGGTCATTTCGTGTAATATAGCTAGCTGCCGCTGCGCCACGTGGTGTGTACACCGAAGGGCGATTATACCGAATATACCAATACGGAACAACCATAACCACAATATCTCATTTCCACATATAAATATACTCTAACTTCTTAAAAATTATTTTCCACGGTAGCTTCCCCTCCAGTCAGAAGACGGTAGGATTGCTGGGCAGCAGGACAGTAGACCAGGCTCTGATGTGCCTGCTGAGTGCACCCCTGCTGGAAGACCTGGAGAAGTGGTCTCACTGGTCGCTGGTGTTCCAACCCCAACATGGAGACCTCAAGGCCTTCATAGAGAGGAATTCAGAGACTGTCATCTCTCCTGGTGAGACTCTACTTTACTAATATCATGAAATTCCATCATGTGTTGGTAGTTGACATATAGTACAGAGCTCAGAGTACAGTGTCAGCACTGTCATTGCCCCAAAGCTACGAATGAAAGCTCTGAGCTATAATTCTATGTAATACATTGTAGAGACAATTCCCTTTTACTTAACCCAAAGATTGTATTATTAGTATCACTCATTTAAAGTATTTTTCAAATAGATGTGAAACAAACAAATGTTGATGTGTAATAGTTATGAAAGAGAAATGAACAGCTGAATTAGTAAATTTTTAAAAGAAAATCTTTGGTGCAATGTGCTCACTAATTTCTACAGTAAAAAAAGTCATATAATTTGCTTGTAGTCTGTGTAACACAAACACTGCTGTCTGGGGTTGTACCTGGCTGGTTGGATGTTGGGGCAGGCTGCTATGAGCATGATTTAATCAGGCTGATACATGTATGTTGTGAATGTCAAAATTTGAAAGATATATTTTTTTTTGCATCCAGGTCCAGATCTTCGAGTGTTGAATGACCTGGGCGCCCTTGAAGTAGCACCAGGGGTGCTTTTGCGTACTACGACACAGGCTAGCCCAGAAACCTTTGCAGAGCATGCTGGGAATGGTGATGTCATCAGTGCTGCAGGGCACCTGGTTTCCATAGTGATGACCAGCAGTGGTGTCAGTCATGCTCCTCTTGCTCTGTTGGCCAATCACATGGAGGCAGCTCTGAGCTGCCTGGTGGTAGATGGGACACATGGAGCACCAGGTACACTGTGCAATGTTTGTTGTTTGTTGTCTCCATTATTGTTCCTGGAGTCCAAGGTGAATCATCAGACAGTAGTATTTGTGATAGTGTGTATGAGACTAAACAATATACATATAATGTAATTTTCATATGAAGAGGAAGGATGTAAATTTTGTGTCGTGTAGTTCATAGATTTATTTGTAAACAGTTATCGTCATAACATTTTCCCTTGTTAGACCTTCCAAATGTTTTTTTGTTTTGTTTTCTCTTCCCAAATGATGCATTTTCTTCATACCTTCAGGTGCACCAACTTCAGATCATGGGACGGCTGGCAACAAGGCTGTGGAGTTTGTGCTGGGTTGTCTGGTCAGAGTTCCCACAGTCCTTTGCCAAACCCTGGCCAATCAGGTCAGTGACCTCAAGATTTCAGTCAAACCTTTTGACCTCTTACTTATAAAAATGTTGTACGTCATTTGACTGTATCCTGCTTAATCCATAAATTACAACAAGAAATTAACCTTTCTGTGAAATTTGTCTCAGAACACTAAAAACTTACTTGTTTTACTTGTAGGTGTTTCTAGAGCCACTGGGCAGAGTTGTTGGCATGACCACGTCAAAGTCCTTGTTGCTGGGAGCCTGTGGAACAGATGAGCAGCGCAGTAAGCTGCACTTCCTGGGACTGCTGCTAGGGGTCGGGGAATGGCAGCAGGATGTGCGGAGGAGGGAGGTCAAACCTGTCAAGGTCAAGGTAAGGTGAAATCCTTGAGAGTAATTGTGTGATAATTTATTATTTTATAATATAATATTTTAAAATAAACTCTTCAAATAAGTATTGATGATCATTTATGGAAGACAGAACGTCTTTGAGAAAAAAGAGTGGACTTAGTCTGAGTGAACTGCTCAAAATGATGATGATTACTATATAGGATTCATCCTCTGTGCCCAAGTTACAAGACATGCTCTCAATCAGCAAATCTGTTTGTTCAGTCAGCTGAAGATGATTTTGATGAGTCATCAGTGACAAGCATGGAGCAGGAGGAGACAGAGGATGAAGAGGGGGAAGATGAGAAGGAGAAAGAGATGGAGGAGAAGAATGAAGAGGAGAAGGATGGAGAAGAGGAAGAGGAGAGTTCCAGTGAGGAAGAAAGTGACTCAGAAGAAGATGAAGAGGACAAGGAGAAAGACATTGTTAAAGGTGCCATTTTTGTCAACATCTTTTTAATATTAAGAAATTGAACAGGAAAACAGTAAAACTGAATTTTGATAGATAACTGGATCATTATTGCTCCAAGTTAAGCTTGATATGGATGATAAAGGTATAGAAAATCAAATACATTCATGGCAGTACATATGTACTACAATGCACTACAATCAAAAGGTGAAATGATAAAATTTTGTGTTGTTTGCATCAGCACAAAAACCTACCACTAACACAGAGGAAACAAAGATGCAGGAGAGTGGTACTAAAGTTGAAGATGGAATGGAGGGAAAAGAAGAGCAGGAGGAGGAGGAACGAGAATCTGAGGAGTCATCTGAGTCTGAGACAGGTTCAGAAGAGGACAGTGAAGCTTCAACAAGCCAAGATGTACCAGATGTGGATCCAGAGACAAAGGTGCTTGTGACAAGACAGAAGGATTCCTAACTTCTGAATCATTCCTTGTATGATATATAATTATATTTATAATTATTGTTACTTACCAGTGTTGATAATTTTACAAGATTCATGTATATCAGAGGAATAAGGGGACAAATCATCATTTCATGAAACCATTGATTTCAAGACAGTAAAAGGAAAGCACAATCAGACTTAAAATTAGATATGCATTTGAAGTACATGTAGAAATACGTTGCTTCTTGGTCATTGTCAGATCTTCTTAGATCAAAAGCTATTCATACAGGGAGTATGTAAGGAACACAGTTTCTTCTGTATGTGTACAAACAAACAGGCCTGTTGGAAAGTGATTGAAGACATCCGTAGGAATGAGTTTGGGGTGGGACTGAAGCTGGAGAAGAAGGGTGAAGACCTGGTGGAGAGACACAAGAAGCGGATTGGGCGTGGCCTGGAGCGTCTGTCTAAGGAGCTGTACACCAAGGACACACACTTTGTCCTGGAGCTGGTCCAGAATGCTGATGACAATGAGTATGAAGCAGGTGGGGAGGGAGATTTTTGATGATGTTCTTACAAATCAGCAAATGACTGGGTACCATAGTTGTCATGAAAATGGGCAGATATATTCTTACCTAATATTTTTCTTTTCACGCTCTTTAATTTGAGGATGTCCACCAGTCATCACAAAGATAAATTTGTTTTGCTTTATCAGTCACTGCACTGGTGAAAAATTTACTCCTATCATACTATAATATTGTTCTGGGACAATGTTTTGTAACAAATTATACAAACTTGCAATTCTTAGAGACGTCTTCTTCCTGGGTTTGCTGTGAGGCAAAAAGTCAGGGCTACAATGTATGTAACACATGACTGTGACAGTAGATATTGGAGATAGGATGATAGCAAAATTTGTTTCTGTCAGGGTTATGCAAGGGATCACAAACAACTAATAATAATATGCAGAACTAGTAAAGACCTGTTTTTCCTCAGATGTGTCTGCCACCCTGGTGTTTGTAGTGGAGAAGGACAGAGTGACTGTACTGAACAATGAGGCAGGGTTTCAGGAGGCCAACATACGGGCCCTGTGTGACGTGGGCAACAGCACCAAGGGCAAACACAAGTTTGGCTATATTGGTGAGTTAGGAGTGCTTACTTACATGAAGGATAAACAAAGGCTTATCTTACACCAATGCAATATTACTGTTACTTCTTTGCATTTTGATACAATGTCACTGTTGCAATTGTATTGCAATGGCACCTATTTAATACCTACATGTAACTATTCACAGAAGTGCATGATACTACCATACAGTACTTTTATCACAGTATAAACTGTTGTACAAAAAAGATGTTGTGTATGCCTTCAGAAGGGCAAGTAATCATAAATAAACAACTAACATGAAAGTAAGCAATGTCTATGAAGGCCAATGTATGTTTACCTTCTTCTAACTACAGAAATTGGATGCATTTATGCACTGTTCCTACTGTAATTCTTGCCCATTTGAATTCTTTCCTACACATATAGGCCATAAAGGCATTGGCTTCAAGTCAGTGTTCCGAGTGTCGGACAAGCCTGAGGTCCACTCCCGTGGGTACCACATCTGTTTCGATGCCAGCAGTGATCCCATGGGTTACATCCTTCCCCACTGGCTACAGGAACATGGCTTCCAGCTGACTGCTGACGACATCGAAGGCACAGAGAAAGTTACAGACACACCACAGTATGTACATTTGTACAAATGTATAAACATGTTACAGTAAACCTACTTGGTATAAACTGATGAATTTTGATGCAGAAGGGAAAACTGTCAAGGATGTAAAATAGAAGTAAATCCTCATTATGACTGATTGGGCTTATGACCTTCCCTATTCATATTGTTGCTTGATGTATGTATCTTACTTAAAAAGATACATATTACATTATAGCAAGGAAAGAAACACTTTATAATTTGTACATAAAACATTGTGTCCATCAAGATATCACAAATAGAATTGATGATTGAGCTTGAGCACACAAATTAGCAAGATGTTGTTCTAACAGTGTATCAGTTTCATATATACATAATATATTCTTAAAAAAGACTAACAATTCAGTCTGTCCATAGTTACAGTACCATTATTTTGTTGTCTTTGCTTATTGCAGTTGGGAGACTAGAATCACCCTCCCCCTGAAGCCTGACCTGCAGCTGTCCCGTTCCCTTGGCAACCGTTTCCATGACATCCAGCCCTCCCTACTGCTCTTCCTCCACAAGCTCAGGAACATCACCATCATTGATAAGGTAAAGAACAGATGAAAATATTACATAAGCCAACTATGCCAGCCTCTACTTTAGCTTTAATCCACATAATATTGCAGGCATGAACTTTCAGGATCCATGTACATTTGTAAATCCTTTTGGATGAAAGTAAGACTTTTTTTACAATATGGCCTCAAATTGCCAAGTGCCAGTTGCCAAGTGAGCAGAGTATTCTTGGGAGATTGTGAGATCCCATCCAAGTCATACCAAAGACTTTCAAAATGGTACATGCTGCTTTCTTTTCTTAGCACTACTCAGCATTTGGCAAAGAGTATGGAAGTTGAATACAGCACCACGAGTGAACTATCCCCCTGCTGTAGTCATCCAAGGGCTACTAGAACAGAAATGTCCATCTGGTGCAGGAAGAACTTTGACTTAAATAAAATGCAAACTTTACATAGTATTACATTGTATCTCAAGCATTGAGAAAGAAGAACAATTTTTAGTTTAGATACATTTGTAAACTGATGTCCTTGTCTCCTCATAGATGGAGGGGAGGTGCCACTGTATGGAACGGCATGATGTGAAAGACAATGTCATTGAGATTCATCACTCCGGAGGTCTGGAGCGCTGGCTGGTCGTCAAGAAACTCCTGGATGCTAAGAAAGTAAGGAAGGATCTTCAGAAGAATCAGAACATCTTGTAACTATGCGTACATGTATAATTATGTACATGTATTATTATTTCTGACATCTGTCCCTAAGACAGTATTACCGGTATGAAGTTGAAGTCAGATTTAAAACATGTAGGACATTGTGGATTATTACATTTCACCCATACTATATTATTACTATAGACTTAAAATCTAATCCTGTCTTGTGGATGTTGACATATCTAGCCAATGTGAGAAGTCACAAATGATTTAGATTTGACCTTCATGACTTAAATGGTCATGATTTTATAACATTTTGTAATTTCTCTGAATGTCCAGGTGAGTAAGGATGGAGTAGAGAGTACAGAGCTAGCCCTGGCCTTCCTGCTGGAGTCTGTGAGGGAACAGTCTTACCAGCAGCCTGGCCTGCCTGACAAACAGCCTGTCTTTGCCTTCCTGCCGCTCAGAAGCTATGGATTCAGGTTCATCGTACAAGGTTAGGAATTTCATAAATCCTTTAGTATCATAACATTTTTTTTTGGTAATTGTGCAATGTTGAAAGCAAATTTATGTTTGAGAAAATATTATATCTGTGTTTACCTTTTTTGTTTTATATGTAATATTGAGATGCTTAGAATTATAAAGCTAAAAGATAGAATTATCTGCTAGTTTCTTGCCTTGGAAGCCTGTATAATGCATGCTTCTTTCTTATGTTAGCATGCTAGATGTTATTGCGACCAGATCTGAATTGAGATCAGAAATACCTTTTAGGTAGTCTGTAATTGGTGTTAAGTTGATGATTCTGTACTATAATTTGTATTGTCATTGATGTGTCATTTACTACAGTATGTGTCAGTTACTATGTATAACAGTGTAAAGTCTACAGTCATGCACATATTTAATGTCAGTGATGAAGGTTTAGTTTTCTGCCTGCCCCTGTAGGTGACTTTGACATCCCCTCGTCTCGTGAAGATGTAGACAGAGACAGTCCATGGAACCAGTGGCTGAGGGGAGAGGTCCCCGGTCTGTTTGCCCAGGCACTGCAGTCATTCAAGGTCTCTACTGTCCTTGTCATTCCATGATGAAATGTTCTTCCCTGCTCAAAAAATTATTTTGGTGTCTAACCTTCAGTACACATATTCTGTTCTACCATAACAAGTGGTTACACTGTAATGCAATTTATCTGAACACAGTACTGCTAGTATATTACCCAAAATTTAGACTTTTGTTTATTTATTTATTTTTTTGTTTATTCATGGCATTCTCTAAACGTGTGACTGCTGACCACTTTTCATTGAAGTCATGAGGCAAGATGTCAGGGTCAGACAAAATGAAATACTAGTAATCTATGGTTTCATGACTGGGCTCCTAACAAATCCATAAACACATACTCACACAGAACTATATAGATAGACATAGTTTTACAAAAAATATAGATATAGCAAAACACATTTTTAGCATCATATAGTATTCAAACAGTTGTACCTAAGGTGGATTGTAGAGATAATACAGAGGTCCAACCATCTTCTATAATAAAGTGATGTTGATATAATAAAGATGATGATGATATGATAAGCTGAAAGTATGAATTTGCTTATGAAGAATTACCCTTATTATTACTATTAATAGCTTCATGATTGTTTTCTTTGTTCTGTAGAACCTGGAGGGACTGAGCGGTGTGGAAGCAGTGTGCAGGTTCCTACAGTTTGTGCCCATGCCTGATGAGATACTGGACTTCTTCAAGCCTGTGGCCATGCAGATTGTACAACATATCAAGGCACAGGCCTGCATGCCTGTAGAGGCAGAGAATGGTAAGGCTACAGGCTTTTAACTAAAGCTGAGGCTGCTAAAGGTTGTTTCTAATCACAGTACAGAGCAAGAGCAAGGACAGCAGAGAAGCCATGTCAGTTGAATACTAGTATCAGTAAGTGACCATACAACCATATAGAATTATTTAGAAGTCAGTGGAAGGCATTTCAGCACCAGGGATATCTACCACAATGTTAGGGTAAGGGAAGAAGACAAAGCTATGTCATTTGTTTATCAGTAAGTGGCCATACAACCACTTGTTAACAGTTATAATTCAGTGGAAGGCATTTCAGTACCAGGGACATCTACTGCAATGTTAGGGTAAGGGAAAGAGATAAAGCCATTCCATTTGTTTATCAGTAAGTGGCCATGCAAACACTTATAAGCATTAATTTTGTAATTCATTGGAAGGCTTTTCAGCACTAGGGACATCTAGTGCATTGTTAAGGGTAAGAGAAAGAGACAATTTGAAAGTGAACAAAAATGTCATCTTAAATTTCCTATCTTTGTATGGAATTACATATAGATTAAAGATTGTTCTAAATGTCATTCTCCTAGGACAAATTTCTTGGAAGCTGCCATCACAGACCATCCTTTCCCATGATCCTCTTGTGAAAGATGTAATTGACAGCCAGTTGCTTAGCAACCATCTAAACCTGTTCTACATCCATGGTGACATGGCTGCCGTGCTGGAGAGATACCCTGCCCTCTCCACTGTGCTGGGCATCCAGAAACTGTCCACCAATCATCTGATAGAAGTGGGGAAGGCCATGGCCTCTACCTTCAAGCAGCAGCCTGAGGCTGGAGGTAAGGGTTGGGCCCTCATTTGCATGTCATTTGCATCTTCATTCTTGTACAGTGGGAAAAAAAGATGGTCAGCTACCAACAGGAATATGTAGTTTGTTCTTCTGAATCATTTGTGTATAGACCTTGAATTTTATTTAGTACAAAACTGTCCTAAAGAAAAATGTCATAACTAGCAACTGCAAATATCATGTAATCATGATGTGGAACTTTTTTCTATCAGTCTGACCCAAAATGTGTTACCACCGCAAAATCATAATACTGCCAATATGAGTTTTATATATAGTTCTGCTGTACTAGTACTGTATTGGAAAATTCTTATAAGACATTTAGGTCACAAATAAGCATATAATTTGTGTGAGGTTAATTAGATACAGTACCAGTACTTAGGGATTAGGTATTTTGGACCTGTACCTAATCAATTTTTCCGGTACAGATACGGTACCAGCTCTAATTGTTGTCATCTGTTCTTGTTTCTTACAGAAAACCTGTTTACGGTGACGAAGGTTGCCAAGTGGCTGGCCTGTGTTCACCGTGCTCAGGAGCAGGAGTATAACAGCTCAGATGAGATGGTGAGACAACTGCAGGACATCTCCATCCTCCCTCTCTCCAGCGGCAAGTTTGCCTCTGCCAACGGACCCACCATCTTCTTCCCACTGTCTGAAGGTCTGATATGTGTCTTTTATATCTTCTATTCTGTTCATAATCTTGTCATAACCATTGTTTTTATTCTCATTTTAGCATTATTATTCATTACCCCTGTGTTCCGACGAAGTGTTTCAATGTATGTGTTTTAGATGTTATGTTAGTATACAATCGTCATTGTATGTTTTGAACACTGAGTCAGACAAAGATCACTTTTTTCTTTGATACTGCTGACTATGACTCCTATTTGGTAGTTTTGCATGTGTTTGTTACAAAATATTTATCATGCAAGTTCATCAGTGTTGGTAGAAGTTGTTTTGAAACAGATTTGAAGGTCTGTAATGTCCAATACAAAGAGAACAGGACTTTGATTGTTCAATTCAACTCCAGTCTTTGTCAAGGTAGAGAAATTGAACAGTAAAAAACTTGAGTCCAGTTTTTTTGTTGGAATTCAAACCTGAGTTACTTATGCCCATGCTTTCACCCACCTACACACTATAGGCCAGGTGAAGGGAGTGACGTCAGTGTTAGCGCGGGACTTGAACACGGTGCGCCCCGGCCTGCTGTCTCTCCTGGACGATGTGGGGAACTCCCATGCCAGACTGATGCTGAACACCCTGGGTGTGAAGAAAATATCTCCCATAGATGTCATCAACCATCACATCCTGCCTATACTGGAGTCTGAGGAGAGGAAGGTGGGTATACCTTTGTGTTTATTACCTCCATGAAAAATAGAATGGCTGACTGGATTGGTTTGATATTTGGCATGTCATTAGGTTGTGACAAAAAATAAAAATGAATAGATTTTGGGCTGCCTGGTGGCTTTTCTAGGTACTGCAGTGGAATTTGACATACGTACATGTATGCTTTCATATTTGTTAGTTATTTATAACTAAAAGCACCTGGCCATATGATGAGTATTGTAATTATTATTCTGAAAATGCTGTTCTGCTAAGAAGTTACAGGGGATGGTCATTGGGAAGTGTTTTTGGATCACCCCTTCTGTCTCTTACTCTGATCTTACTATCCTTATGTGTTGCTGAACTAATGTGTTTCATAATAATGATTACTGTGCCCCCCCCCCCCATTCATCATATGTGGATATGTTTGACCTTGAGCAAAAGATTGAACCACAATCTTAGCTAACCGTAGGGCTTTTATGGTCTGATCTACAAAAAAGCAGTGAGAACAAAAATTAGATGATACAGATTAGTTGAAGATATGAACATGTATTAGAATCAAAGTATCAAACAATTGATATGTTAAACATTTCTGTAGGTCTCTTGAAAGGTTACCAAACACAGTTTTGATTGAATTGTTGTCAGTTGCATGATTATACATTATCAGGTACAATGTCATGTACAATTGCATTTAGTCAGGCTTTTGTCAACTAGTAGGACAGCTAAGCTTTGAGCAGACCTTTACAGGTTAATGATACTAAATGTTACAAGTTGCTGTACAGTACAACATTCTCAAAGTAATATAACTTCATTCATCACTAACATTGTACAAATCATAGCCATCTTCATAGCACACATATTAACATTAAGTCAAGATCTTGGTAGATTCATCTAAAATGAATTTTGATTACTCAAGCTAACAATAAGCAAACTTGTAATGTGTCTTATGTACATTGTAATACATGTACTTGCTATGTAATAAAATTATCTTATATTGGAAGTGTACAATGAATGATTCCCATATTGGCTATTAGATAGCAGTATGCAGTACATTTCTGTATTCAATTTGTATTTTGCAAACATCAGTCAACAGATCATTTAGATATTACAGGTCAATGAAATATTTTGTAGTCACTTACTTCAGTAGGCTGTTACAGTAGCAGACCTTATCAGTATATAATGATGTTGCTCTTATTTGGAAATATATACAATTGTCTACAAAAGAAAAGATATACATTAATAGTCTCAACATATTAAATCTTCAACCTTTTCTTCTTATTGATTTTATTTTACATCAAAGTTTTTTGAATATTTGAATTTTTCTACAAAAGAAAAGACATACATTAATGGTCTCAACATATTAAATGCTCAACCTTTCCTTCTAATTAATTTTTATTTTACATCAAAGTTTCTTATGTAAAATGTACATGTAACATCTTTATATGATACATGTCTCTTATCATCATCATAAATTAAAGCAGTTAGGCCTCAAGATCTCTCTACAATCATGATATTATATACATGAAGCAGTGTATATTCTTAGTCAGTACATGTACTGTACTATACAGTATGAATAATTAATCAAATCATAAAGAATTTAAGGACATTCTTCCTAACAGGATGTCATGACTGAGTACTGGCATTGAGGTTTTCTAAATATAATGCAGACAAACTTATGAGCCAAGTCTACATGTACAATACAAATTACATGTACCAATACAAATTGGATGTGCTAAAGAGAATACAACATCTGGTATATAAACTGTCTATACACTCAGTATTATGAAGTAATTCTGCCATATGGTTGAGCTCTTCATTGTTACCCACAACACTGAAAAAAGATCAGAATGTGTGCACACTTGTTTTTTGAAAAAGAACAAGTGCACTTGTCCATATATATATATATAAGCTACATGGACCTGTTTTATTTACATAGATTGAGATTTTACCATAACAGACTTTTTAAAGCATCATTCCTACTGTAACTGTAAAGTTATATACATGCTTACTATTAGTACACAATGGGCATTGGTGTGCAAATAATTCTGTACATATTATACACTTTGATAACATTTTGTATGGATTTACAGATCTTTTTGATGTTTTTAGAATATCGATCTCCTTGTCGATATCGATATCCTTTTTTCGATCACTCAATCTCATTTTTGTGATCACTCCTTAATCATTTTTGAATACTGTTTGGCTTTTATTATTGAGATGGTACTTAATCTTCTGGATGGTCGTAGGGAGTAGCATGATTATTTTTTGGCCAGTTTCATGGTTGTGAAGGTTTTCTTAGAGATGTGTAGAGGTGCACATCAATCTCATCGTCAGAATCTGACTTGCTCTCTTTCCTAGCAGCAGGAAATTTCTGGCCCTTTTTCGGGGGAAGAGGGGGAGGCTTGTCATCCTCTACAACTTTGCTTGTGCTTTGTGGTTGAATGGTCTCATATGCATGCACAACAGGCTGCTTTGGGCCTGCATCTGAACGCTTTTGGCACTTTGCATACATGTTACTCACCCGCTTATTTTGGGCCTGCCCTGTCTGATCATGGCTGTCACTTATTACAATCGCTGTGGCGTCTGCTTTTGGTACCACAACTGTGGGGTCTAAGGCAGGAGGAGCATTCTTGGCTCTGCACTTGTACCAGATGATAAAAATGATGCAGCCAATCAGGACGGTGCCGGCTACTGCCCCACAAACTGCACCGACCAAAACATTCAGGGAGAAATTAGGACCATATCTTTCGTGCTTCTTTGAAGTGCCGTGGACGGCAAGAGGTTCAGTTTCATTTGCCATCATGGCAACTGTTACAGTTGTGGTCACATTCCCTTGAGTTTTGAAAGGCTGTGTGTCAAATGTAAAGCCAAGAAGACTCATTGTAGGGACAACATCGGCAAAAGAAGAAGATGTCGACACTGCAGATGGGCTGAATGGGACTTGGGTATCAGCAGGCTCTGAGGCAAACACTGAGCCATCAGAACTTGCTGTTGACTGGGCAACAGCAAGTTCTGGCTGGTTGCCGGCTGTAGTGCCGGCTGTAGTGCCAAATGTGGACACTGCAGATGGGCTAAATGGGGCCTGGGAATCGACAGGCTCAGAGGTAAATGTGGAGCCAACAGAACTTGCTGTTGACTGAGCATTGCCTGATGTAGTGCCAAATGTTGAATCATATACTGCAGATGGGCTAAATGGGGCCTGGGTATCAACATGCTTAGAGGTAAATGTGGAACCAACAGAACTTGCTGTTGACTGTGCATTGCCTGATGTAGTGCCAAATGTTGACTCATATACTGCAGATGGGCTAAATGGGGCCCGAGTATCAACATGCTCAGAGGTAAATGTGGAGCCAATGGGATTTATTGGTAGCTGAGCCCTGCATACAGCATTGCCAGATGTTGATACTGCAGATGGGCTAAATGGGGCCTGGGTATCAACAGACACTGTTGATACGGTCAGCTCTTCACAGAACAGATTGATATCTTTAAGCTTTTTTCCCCGGAAGTTTGGGGGTTTGGTACAGACTATGTCGTCTTCAAATGAATGAGACCCTGTCATTTTCAGCCTGAAGGGAGCCATCCCACAGTCACACTGCCAGGGGTTGTTGTTAATATTTACCTCAGGGATGGATCCCAACACGTCATAAGCTTCTGGGGAAAGGACAGCTATCTCGTTATACTCGAGGTGAAGGTGGCTCAGATTTGAGAATGTAGTATTACTCAAATGGAAAGTTGTGATCTCATTTACATTCAACTTCAAACGTTGCAGCTGGGGTAGATTCTGGAATGAATTGGGGTGGACAGTTTTTATCTGGTTTCCGACAAGGTACAAGTACTTGAGATTTGGTACATCAGAGAAAGTGCCAAACTGAATATGGTTAATTTGGTTGTATTCCAGTTTCAACAATTGCAGCTGGCACAGTTTTGAAAATGTGCCCGGCTGAATGTTATTCAAGTTGTTGTTGTGGAGATACAGCTTTTCAAGCTGGGAGAGGTTTGAGAAAGTGCCCGGTAGAATCTTGTTTATCTGGTTTGAATTCAGGTACAACTTTCGTAGCTGCTGTAGGTTTGAAAAAGTAGTAGGGTGAATGTCAGTTATTCTGTTGGACTGCAGGTCCAGTGTGTGGAGCTGGGTCTGGTTGACAAAAGAAGATGGTGGGAGGGTTCTAATCTTATTGTTATTAAGATATAGAGACTCAAGCTGCTTGTGATCAGTAAAAGTGTTAGGGGAGAAAATCGCTATGCGGTTCCTCTGAAGATGCAACACCTGAATTTGCTTCAGACCCTCAAAGACACCTTGTGGAATCAATGTGAGATTGTTTGTCTGAAGGTACAAATTCTGTAGTAGTGGGGTTGGACGGAATGTTCCTACTTCAATACTACCGATGTTATTTTCACCCAGGTTAAGGTACTCTAGTTTACCAAGTCCCACAAACATGTCAGCTCGCAGGCTGGTCAGCTTGTTCATGCCAAGTTCCAACCTGTCTAATTTGGTCAAGTTTCCAAATGGCTGATTTGTTATCTGTGAGATACGATTACTTTCCAAATTCAAGGTCACCAACTGCCCATACTTTGAGAAATCTGAATGACTCAAGCTTGTGACCAGATTATTATGCAGTATCAATCTACGAATGGATGTCTCAAAGTTCTGTGGAATGCTGGTGAGGTTGAGATTGTTGCAGGTGCAGGTTGTAAACCGGCAGCAGCTGGCCTCTGGTATCTGGCCGTGGAGCTCATTCAGGAGGAGGAGAAGGAGAATCAGCACGTGTTGTGGTTTTCTTGCCATGTTGTAAGTTGTCACCTAGATAGAGAAAGAGAATAGGAATGAGACAATTCAGTTCATGCCAGTGGCAATGATAATGTATAAGATATTTTTATGGCTCTTCGTAGCAAATGTGCATTGGACACCAAATTTGTAGTGTGTTTTTGGCACACAGACAGCTTAGGCTAAGACTATTAGTAAGAACTTGGTGGGCGTCACTCCACTGTACAGAGAAATGATAATGTCTACCTAACATAATTCCACCAGGTCCACCACCTAAAAATGCATTTAGACAGATCTCCAATGCAATGTCAGTCAGTAAAATGCACTGCTGCTTACCTAAACTGTGTATACCTACATGTAGGGTTTTCTACATTGTACACTCAGCATCTCTCAAACAATTTATTTTTCAAAGTTGCAGATTGGAGACTGCATGAATATATAGGGAATTCAAAGCTGTTGAATATTCGGATCCTTATTTTGATTTGGTCAAGAAATGCTTAGGAGAGCAAGCAGTGGGAATGGGCCCAACATACATCCCGGTTGTGCACTGTATTTGCCTTAAAATATAGTTCTCTGAAATAATGTAAGTTGCAGAAATAGAGCAAAGCAACTCTTGCATTTATGTATATGGGGCGTGAGGAACCTCACATCGTGTTAATTTCCTTATTTTAGGTACCCCACATAGCTTGATTTAAGCCTTGGAGAGATATTTGAAGAAGCAAAAATAGAACCATCCATTCTTTTTTCCATGTTAGCTTGCATGTGTGGGGCAGGTACATTTTTGTACATTTGTGGGAAAATTGTAGAAAATTCTCGAAACCACCGCATGCCTAATTTGTCTGTCCTGAGACTCCACTGCGCAGGACACATTGCACTGGCAAAAATTCATGAATCTGAAGCATATGAATTATGAATGCATCTGCATCTGCCACAAAAACATTAAACATCATGATGATCAGAGAATATTCTACTATTTTTCCCACAAACAAAGTTTGTAGGAACAAACAGGTGAACACTGACATATCGCAGTGTGCCCGAGTCCTAAAAGGAAAACCAAATTTCTGTAAAAGCAAAGGTACGGAAGTGTAAAATATGAATACATTTTGTGGAAAAAAATCTAAACCCAGGGTTATTTTTCAATGCCTGCTCAGTCAAATGTGTTGATGTGATTCATCCAATTTTAAAAGGAGATAACACGTAAATCCATAAGTCTGAAGGTTGATAGACAGGGTTTAAAAGATTAAATGTATAAAAATTATGCAGGTCACGTCATGTAGGGCTGTTACAATTGAAAGCTGAGCAGGTATTTCTGATGTCTATACATTTGTACCTGTGCCTAACCTAGTACAACAGTCTGTGTTCCGCGTAATATTTTTTGAGGGCCTTTGTTTGCTGTACTAACTGTTACCACCTCTTTCGTTAAAACAAAATTGAAATGGTCGCTAAAAGGTATCCAGTACAACATGTATGATAATGATTCATACTTCAATCTTCCAGTGGCAGTTGGCTTTCCAATCAACACAAAAAAACAATCATAGGCAAGAAGGGGAGGCCAATGAATGATACAGTTATTATGATAAACATTGTCTGGGGCATTACCATAATTTTCAAATGGTACGTGTGCCAGTGTAGGGGTTATAATATGCAGAAAAAAAAGGAGTTTGAGTCCTGAAAGATAAAAATTTAATACTGTATTGAATAAAAATAATTGCCTAATGCTGGAGTCAAATTTTCAATGGGGCCCATGCGACACGTTCCCAATCTAGACGAGGGGAGAAAAATGAATGATACAATTATTATAATAATTGTCTGGTGCATTACCATTTTCAAATCGTACATGTGTACGTGTGCCAGTGCAGGGGTCATAATATGCAGAAAAAAAGCAGTTTGAGTCCTGAAAGATAAAAACTTGTACTATACTTGTACTTGTACTGTGTTAAAAGTCATTGCCTAATGCTGGAGTCAAATTTTCAATGGGGCCCGTGTGACATGTTCTCAATCTAGATGCCAGCCGGCGGGCGGCTGTCACAGTCACAATTAGGTTATGGCTTCATCCCGGCGTATTTTTCTTGCCAGGACTTGGGGTGATTTTCAGTTCGAGTTAAAATCAACCTGGTGCCCGCATGGGACAAAAAAAAGGGTCCTCAGCCGTCGGGATCCCCCACCAGGCCCCGTTCGGGCCCCGTCCAATAGTACCAAAAAACAGCCCGCCTGGGCGCCGCACATTCCCCGGTCTTTAATTGTGACCTAGGAATAAGGAGTGGATTTCTGGAACGTACCAGAACACAGTGGCAATGCTTTGGAGGCAGTGGAATTTAAGATATGAAAAGTTGACTGTCTACAAATGTAGCATAACATGTTACATACCATCCTGGTATTTCAGTATTTTTATTCCTAAAATATAAAGAGCAAGTTTTAACATTTATTGTACTTCATAGAATAAGGAAATTTGTAACATTTGAACTGTATTTTCATTACTAAGGCACTAAAAGAAACCCATGTTTTGGAACAAGAAATTTTTCAATGTAGATCCTGCTGTTGGATTTTTCAAGAAGCTAACTGGTATTACGTTAATGCACATGTCTAGAGAATCTAATGTATACTTACAAGGATGGCCTTTTGCTGATTTCAGAGTAGGCTTACCTTTACAGTTTACAAACTCTTTTTTCTCTCTGGTGAGAAAATCTTGGACCTCTTCTTTTTTGTTCGCTGCTGCGCTCGTGAAAAAGGTGCTCTCAGTAGCTGTTCCTGCGCAGCAAGTGACAAACAGCGCCGAATCAGTCTAGCTTCACCCTGTCATGTGTTTCTGTAATTGTCTGAACCTGGCAATCTGAATATTGATGTTTAGCAGGTTGTTTACGCCCAGTTTCTATTCAGTGACATGTTTTGTGACAATTTCTGAGACTATTAAGAAATATATCATTATATCATCTTCAGTATGATAAAAAATTGAGCCTGTTTACAACAAAATGTCACACTTCCTCGTACAGTTTGTTTACATTCACACTCAGAGAAATACCTTTTACATGATTTCATCGTGACATTTTAAAAAATGTATATTATGCATTACATGACCTTTCGATAGAAACCACCTTTCTTGGAAGCCACTGGAATTTTCCACAACCTTCACCTAAAAAAGCACCTTAGGTGTTTATTTTCCTTCAAAAGTATACCTGAACATTTACTCTTAGAAATGGTAAGAAATGAAAGTTGGGCAAATACTGGTGCACAATTTTACGTGAATAATCAGGAATAAAAAAATATTACATGTTGTATTACTAATCAAAAGTACATATTCATCCTACATGAAAGAGTCAAAGAACAAGAAATAGTCATGCCTCTAAGTACCAGAGTTATCATCCTTAGATTTAGGTGTTTAAAATCTTGTTTTTACCTACTATATATAAGAACAATTGTAGACTGACAGATGGGTTTTCCTCTAATACGTTTTTCAGAACAAAACCAGGGAGCTTCTGATTGGTTACCTGGTGTTTATCAAGAGCCAATGGGATCAGCAGCCTGGACATGTCGACCTTGACCGGCTGAGACCGGTTGCCCAGGTGGTGACCAACAAGGGCCTGATGACGCCCTCCTACCAGCCTGTCCACTTCACACCTGCTTATGGCAACAGGCTAGACCTACAGAAGAAACTGCCTGGTGAGACCTTGTTTCCACAGTTATTTTCAAATTTGCAACAGGACTGAGTGGGCAATGTGAATTCATCTGTCCTTGGAAAAAGCCTTCCCTATGATAAGCGAGATGACCTGTATACATGTACATGAGATGACCCATGTACATGTATACAGGGCCCCACCGAAAAGCAGTGTTACCACTAAGTGGGCAACCCTGTATCAGAAAATAAATGAAAATAAATAAATAGAACACTGTGCTTGGCAAATGCTTCACAGTTTCAGTCCCTTATATTCATCTATAGCTGACAAACTTAATAATTTTATACACAGTATGTTGTGAGAAAGAGATGCAGCTTAACATGTACACGTTATTCATATTACAGAACTACACTGTATGTTTTGTGGTTTTTAGATATGGCTAGGTATGTGGCTATCTGAAACTGATGTCAATTGGACTCAGATCAAGGATACTAAAAATGCTATTGGCTCCTTGGTGTTCCTCCATAATGTACCTCATACAATGATTTCACCTGGCCTACAATGTGTACACTTTGAAATGACATGCATATTGTATTATTATGTGCTGCTTGTAAGATAAAACGTGTGTTGTCTCCCAGGTAATGATTGGACGCTGCTGGACAGCTGTTACCTGGGCACCCCCACCCCTACACAGCACATCATGCAGACATGGAGACACTTCTTTGTCAAGCTGGGAGTGCAGGACTTCCTGGCTTTAAAGAATGAAAGGGTCAAGCTGACCAGTGAACAACTGGTAGGCCAAAGGCATTTAAGTTCTGAAAGATGTTTGTTTTATGAGCACTAAGAAGTTAAGGTTCAGTGTATGATGATGATGATACGAAATTTGGCAATATTTGTACTGAGCAAAAGCATTCAGTGAAAGGAGACTATTTTTACCGGTAGGTTTCTAGTAAAACATATTATTAAACAAACCTACAAATGTATTGTTGTTCATTAAAGAAGTTAATAAACAAAAAAAATTCAGAGAAGCAAGAGTCACGGTGCTAGTATACATTTGTGCAAGGGATAATGATTTTGTGAATTTGTAAACCAAAGAGTCTCATTTGATTCAATGGAATTTTCAATTTGTAGTCTTTGGTACTAAATTTTTATCCTCTGTTCTTTCAGGGAAAATCTCCATGGAGCACATTGAGTTCGTTCTGGCCTAAGTCTGACCAAGGGTATGAGGTAGAAGACTACACGTGTGCAGAGTTCTACAACCTGGTCATGGCTGACCTGCCCACTGATGCCAGGACTCAGCAGATGCAGATTCTGTTTGAGATGATTGACAAGGAATGGGACGGAAGCTACAGGTATGTTCGGGTCTGTAACTTGTTATGTTTACCGATTCGATTCCCTTGTTCGATTCCCAGTGTGGGAACCAGTGAGACAACTATAGGGGTGAGTAGAAACATGAAAACCCCTGGCTCCCGGGAATCAAACCCGGGCTGCCAGCTAGAGAACCCAATGCACCAACCGCTAGGCCAAAAGGTCTGGACCTGTGAGACAGCTGGTAGCACTTGAATCCCAACTGTTACACTGTTGACAGTGAATGTTACAATGTGTAAAACAGTAAGATAAAGGCATTATGGATTACTTCTGAATCATTATTACACATTGCCAGAATGCTGTATGTTCTATGTTGACTGCAGGAAGTACTCCACAGCCCAAGTGTTTGACCAAAGTGGAGTCAAACTGTGTGACACAGAGTCCTCCTTCCTCATCCATATCAAGACCATCCCGTGGGTTCCTGGGATCAAAGCCTCAACTCTCCCCACTGTTGCTCGAGATGGCACAGTTCAGCTCTTCCACAACCCTGTGTTCATGCGGGGAAGCGAGCTGTACGAGAGAACCCATGAACACCTCGGCTTGCTGGCGCATCACGTGCCTTACCTGAACGCTGCCGTCCAGACTGAGACAAGCAGCTTTGGCCAAGTCCTTCCACTCCAACAGTCCCTGACAACTGACAGGCTATTGGCCATCCTCAAAGGTTGGTGCAGTGGGGAGAAAAGTCATGCTGATCAAGAAAAGGTATCAGGGTTAGAGTTCGCAACATCCCTGGCTCACATCAAGTTTGTGTATAACTACCTGCAGCAAAACTGCAACCCTACAAAACTGCAGGAGTTTTTCAGCAGCCTTCCAGGCATTTTTGTTCCCAACGTAGCTGTCTGTAACATTGACGGAGTCCTGCATGGTAAGTTCTACCACAAGTCAGACACCTGCTGGGTGGATACTTCAGGTATGTTCCTGAAGTACCAGACACTTTCCCGTGGAAGGATCGAATGCAGGAAGATCTTGCAGCCACTGTACAACGATTTAGCCCCGTTCTTCTGTGCGTCCGTGAAAGTGGAAGATTCGCCGTCAATTTCAGAGTACGTGAACCTCCTGGAACACGTGGTGGACGCGGTCGGACCACCGGACAGTAAGGACGTACAGGACGTGTTCACGGTGTACGCCACGCTAGGCGCGAAGTGCATCAGCGCCTCCCCATTCGGAGCGAGCATACAAATCAGCGAGCAGAATGTCGTGGAAGCGAATGTGAAGCTGTTGATCAGTGAGCTTGAGAAGAAGCCGGTTTTCCCCACCAAGGAGAAGAAGTGGGTCTGTCTGGAGGACAAACCGATGATCGCAGACGATCGTCAGCTGGAGGAGCTGTTCCGAGGGAAAGACGACAGAGTGCATTTCCTCAACTTCTCAGAGAGGGCAGGGAAAGGTATGGGATGAACAATGTGGTCTGTAGAGTGTATCATGCTCCCCAGGTTTTGTATTATGGTTTCAATGAAGGATATATCTTGAAGTTAAAGAAATGTGTGTGTCAAAAGGTTTGCTACTTTTTGGTATGACCATGTTTTTCAAATGTGAATGTGACTGTTTTTTAATACTCACACTTCTTATCATCCATTATGATTGTTGGGGAATGTGTTCTGTTAGGTTATATGAATCTGTTTTAAATCATTTCTCTTTTTTGCAGGGAAACAGGTGCCTTACCAGAAGGAGTACAGAGACATGTTCCTGAAGGCCTGTGGTATCTGCCCTCTCAGCCAGTGTGTTCAACAAGAATACATCCCGACACTGTATATACCGTGTCCAGCATTACAGAAGTATGTGTTTTAATTCCATACAGTGTTGCAAAAGTTTGTAAAGTATTGTACATTTGCCTGCCTTTATATGCTGAGAAATAGTCTCTGGTAATTTGATTATTTTGTTTTGATTTATTGAAATTGTAACAATACAATACATGTGGAACATAGGCAGCTGTTGCTGGTGTTGTGTCCCGCACATACAATGTAGAAACAAATGCAGGATGGACAATAGTCTTTTTCACTTGAGTTAAGTGAGGAAAGTGATGTTAAGTCCCAATGGCACAAGATCAGTTGCATGTCAGGACTCGAGCCCGGGACCTCTTGGTTCCGAGTCGAGCACTCTGCCATTATGCCGCAAGACCCCACTAATTTGAATGCTGTTTATCCAGCCTTGTGTTATGGACAATTGTGTTCATGTATTTACTATTACAATGTTCTCCTAGGTACGTACACATGGTGGTTCCATACATCCAGCGGTTCCTACTGTCACGTGAAGAACACCTGGAACTTCACGACCAGCTGCTGGAAGCAGGTGTCACCACCAACTTACAGGCCATGATGTTTGGACAGGTGCAGAGACTTGAGGTAAGCTTTGCATCTGCTGACTTTGCTTCTTTCATTGTTCCAAGAACCTACATGTACAGTACTAGTATATTAAGTTTTTTTATGAATTTAAACATATTTTTTTACAGGGAGATCATGATGATAATCATGATGATAAGTTTGATTGGTCTGATTCAACTTCTGACATGCTCATGACAACCACATTGGAAATTTGTGCAAGGTTGTGTTAAAATTCATTCTGTTATAAACATGCAGGTCTAAAAAAGGAGGGGGAACAGCAATTGTTCTTCTTTCTTATCTGTTCCATTCTATCCCCAAAACTAGGTTGTGTTCAGACTGCAGCCCTTTGCAGACATTGTGGAAACCAAGGAGGAGATTTGTGGGCTGAAAGATAATAGGGAGTTGTACATACAGAGGGATAATCTCACAGGTAGAGTCTTAGTCACATTCTCTTGATCATCCTCATGTTTTTATTTCATATTTATCTTCTGTTTGAGTTTTCATGAAGTAACGGGTAATGTTTTTACCTGTCAGAACAATATTATTATAATAACCTTGATGTGTCTTTACAGCTTACTCCAGAATACACAAAGAACTGGCCAAGCTGTTCAGCCGTGGAGACGCCAAAGTCCAGAGGGAGGTCACCAACTTCTTGGATCTGCTGTCACCTGTAGTTCTTGGCCAATCACCATTGACCATCGAGTACTTCCTGAACAGTCAGGACATAGATGAACTCCCAGAGGGGGTGCAGGTGTGGGAAGTACCAGCCCCTGTGCTTCCAGTGGAGGAGGAAGAAGAAGAGGAAGGTAATGAATTGGTACCACAGAAAGTCTACATTGTGCATTGAAAGTACAATCATAATGTTATGCATAATAGTGTGTTTCTCTGTCATTGAACGGGCCTTATAACCTTCCTTTTCTATGTCCTTATCTGACCTTGATGCATATTGTTTAGGAATTCATCAAAGCATATAACATTATAATAACAACAATTAACATCTTTTATTTGTACACATACATTGTGAGATGCTTGTGCATGTACATATGTTTCTTAAATTGGAGAGAGACATACATGTAACGTTACTAAGACTATTTCAATTAAAGCCCTGGTTCAGGGAGGTAACTGTGGCAACTGGGCAATTGTTTTTGTAGAAGAAGAAGAAGAGGAGGAGGAGCAGAAGGATGCAGAGGAAGCTGAGAAACCTGCACAGAAGCCTCGGGAGGGTCTGTACTCCTGGCCACCCAAGTCTAGTCTCTTCAGACCACAGGCAGGAGCACCACAAGGTAAACTGGACACATCAAAGTCTTCCACTGTAGATGGGGAAGGGGAAGACATTACAGTTAATGTGTATTTTTTTGTATGAATATACGAGTTAAGAAGAAAATTGAGTGATTGAGGAAGGAAATAAGATGAGAGGTATCTCAATTTTGAGATTAAGTATCACAAATCTTTTGAAATGTACATTTGTACTTGTTTTTGGACAATGACACAGTTCACTCCTTCATTGATTTCTGAAGGATTTAGCTTTCTGTAAGTGTAGATTAAACATCTTGCTGTGATTCTTCAGGTGCCAAACAAGATGACACTGAGGAGAAGTGGCCGACCCCCGCCCCTCCTGAGGAACACCAGAGGGGGGCACAGCTGTTACAGGAGGAAGGAGACACCAACGGACAGAAGGAGAGAACAGGAGAGGGGGATGGACAGACTGTGAGAGACCCCGCTCCTCGTACCGAGAGGCAAGCATCATCAGGCCCTCCGGGTCAGGGTTCTGTCTCCTACAGTGATGGGTCGTACCACGTCAAGGGGGAGGTCAGGGTAGGGGAGCCCACAGGGAGGACGTATGAGCGGCAGGATGGAGACAGAGTCGGCGGTGGGGCTCCTCCGGAGGGGAGAGTGGAGAGAGCTCTGGAGGAGGGAGATGGGAGAGTTCCCAACAAGTACGAGCCTGCCAGGATGGGAGGGCAGGTCAGAGCAGAGGCAGGACTAAAACCACAGGGACACCATGAGCAGGTAAGGACAGTGTGTTTTTTGTGTATATCATCCTAGCTATATAAGTTAAAGATTAAATTTGTTTCTATGGTCCCATCATTTATGACAGAAATTTGCCATTCATATTATTTCTAACAAAATGTAGATGAGTGTATAGAAGAGTGTTAGGGTGTTGACAGCTGTCAGTATTTTCACTGTGATCAGTATCTCTGGGCAATTTAAAGTACAATGTGTACATTTGTAGTTTGCAGGAAGGGGGGCCTGGGTCGTGTGGTGATGACTTTATATTACACTATGCCATGCAGTCATATGGATTTTTAAAAAATGTGCATGAATTTTTGCCCTGTGAAACAGGTCAGTCAAGAGCAGAGAGGACAGCCAGAACAGAGGCCCATCCCCTCAGCACCCATGGATGGAGCTCAAGGGGACGTCACTGACACAGCAGCGCCTCCTGTCAAGAGAAACAAGGACTACAGCATGAGCAGTGATGAAGAAACCTTGTCACCCAAGAGGACCAGACTGCAGATGGGACCACCTGTCTGGACTACTGGTAAGAGGAGAATTAATATCTTGTATAAGTTTCTGTTTCGATGATATTGTTTGTGATTTTTGTGTGGTATATTGTAAGAACATTGGATATGGTGATAGCAAAAATTATTATAAACATAAAGAATAACAATTTTTAAAGCAATGTTCTCTTTTTTAGCTGCATGCCAGAAACAAGGATTGAGCATGTAACATATTATCCATTGCAACTCTATTGTATCGAATTGACTGCTTGTAGTAATGGTTTTGATCAGCAGTACATTTTGGACTGTTTGCTATGACCTAGGGTCTACATTTGAGGATGCTCTGGAGTTGCTGGCAGACAGCTCAACACTGGACATCCCTGACCAGGACCTGGACATGGATGCTGATGGTATAACTACATAATCAGTATTTCATCAATAAGCAAATGCACAAACAATTGGGCGTAATCTGTTACAGTTGTTACAACTAACTATTGTATATTAATATATAGCAAAGAGAAGCAAATACCACTAGGTTGTGAAAATACCAATAGCTTGTGGAAAAAAAACTATGTCTAAATAGAGATATGCCAGTAGTAGATATACCGGTAGGATAAGAATTGGAAATGAAATTTTGATGTTTTTTAGCTGTAGAAATGAATAGAGCTGGAAATGTTGAGATGGTTTTATTTGGCTGTATGTAGATACTGGAGCCATTGGGAGATGGGGGGAAACACTGGTGTACAATTTCCTGACTCAACAGAAAGAGGAGTCCCCAGGACAACAGATAGACATCCTCTGGGTTAACAAGTACGAGGAACAGGAACTGCCGTATGACATCAAGGTACCATCATCTGTAGTCTCTTCTTCATGTTAGTTATACATTATTCACTATTGATATAATTGCCAAAGTCTATATGTTGCTGTATCAATGCACATTTCAAGAAATTGTCTTTTGTACACTCAGGTAAATTCTTACCTGATTTAGGTAGATCCTTACCTTACTAGTCCTTTATTTTGTAAACTGTAAAGCTCAAATAAAAATATCTTACAGCTCATTATATTGAACGCATAGTTTACTAAGTTTCATGGTGACTAGTGGGCATCTCCCACCATTTGTGGTTTTGAGAGTTGAAATCTAGACTGTGCAAGTTCTTATCAACAACAAATTGTTCTGATAACTCCTTGGAGCAACACAAGTACTCATTACATCATGTACATGTGTACATCCTTACTCAATATGCTGATACATAGCCCTATTTTGTGTGCATCTAGATAATCATCAAAGATAAGCCAGAGGCCTGTTCAGACCAGGATGGCACACCAGCTGAACAAATCACCATCCTGTACGTGGAGGTGAAGTGCACCCTGTCCCAGGGGAAGGAGTATTTCCCCATCTCCTCCAAACAGGTACGTATGTGACGTCGCATGGTCAGAGCATCTGGCTCAGAACCAGAAGGTCCAGGGTTCGATCTCCTGACATGCTCGATGTTTTGCCCTTGGGAAAGGCAACCAACTTGCTTCATTTTATTTATGGTGTAGTGATGCCAACCGGGCCAGTAACGGCTTCATTTAAGTCATCCCAAGTATGCAAATATTTACTTTATTAGTATGCGACATCATGTTGCTCATTAGCATACAGGCACTCGGAGCCATACATTCCTTCACAGAGACATGTCATACAATGATACAATAAACATACTCTTTCCTCCTGTACGTCCACCAGGCCTCTTGACTAAAATGTTTAAAGAGTGTCCTAACATTGATGAGGTCACACTCGTTTGTAAAAGAACTGCACATCTGCCTCTGAGAACTGTAATCTTTTTTATTCCAAACAGGTGGAGTTTGCTATCGTGGAGGAAGACAAGTACCACCTGTACCGTGTGTACGGGGCGGGGGACGCCGACCGCGTCCGGATCTGTCGGATCAGAAACCTGGCCGAGAGGATGAACAAGAAGGAAGTCAACCTGCTCATGTTACTGTGATGTGTGCGCTGCAACAACAGACTGTCCTTTCGTTGGTCCTTGATGTAAATGTTGGATCTGATACTTTACAACATAGTCATTCTTTCCATCAGGCTATCACATTTGACACTGTATAGAAGAGCTGGCAGATTGTAGAAAGTTGGATTTATGTTGTCTGCATCATTCTGTATCACAGGCATATACATGTACATGATATGTCACATTTGTTCATCCACCTAGATCAAGATTTGTGGTCTTTATTTTGCATGGCTTTTTCGTACTTATCAAGGTTTTCTTTTTTGTAAGTTCCACAATACACTTGACATGTGTGTAGTTGTAATTTTTGTGAGGTTATAATGTGTTGGATGTTGCCATGTTGCAAAGACGCTGACATCCATTCAAGCTTGTAAAGACTACATACATATAAATGTGTTTGTCATATCATGCATAAGGAACTATATGATATATCATATTCATAACAGAGCAGTTATTACCATAAAGTGATGAGAAAGAATGACTGATACCAGAGAATGATTTCAAGAAACTTTTTTGATTATTGTGGCTATGTAGCACATTAAAGGGTCGTATTGGTTCTTCTTTTTTGGAGTATCTTTTTCCAAACTCTGACCAAGCCTGCTGCACTCCCGTACGTATTAGCCCTTGCACCTAGACACATTTTATACTGTTTTTCACTCAGTGCTGGGTCACAGTGTATCGTGTGAAAGACATGCACCATTCCTGGGTCTACCACCCTCATGGCCCGGATGTCATTCTTCACGAACTTGTCATAAAGGTCAACATCTTCCAACCCCCATCCCTCAATGGTGGTATCGAATCCGCCAGAACGGACGAAGTCGGACTGATAAAGACACACCATTCCAAACCCGTAGTAACGCCAGTACCCGGTATCCTTACTCATCACGTAGTGGCGCATCATTGATTCTTGCAAGTCTGAGATTACTTGGGAATCTCTAGGATGGGAATCCCTGATTGTTGTCATTGTCTCATTGGTCCGTTTGAATCGCGCACGAGTCAGTCCGTTATGGGAAATCAGATGAAGTGAAGTTTGTCGAGATGCTAATTGGTTAACACTGTGAAATGAACTTTGTCGAGATGCTGATTGGTTAACACTGTGAAGTGAACGTTGTCGAGATGCTGATTGGTTAACACTAACGTCATTGCCTACCTCATCAACCAATGGGCTTACTTGATTTGTATGAGCGCTTATTGATTTGTTTCCGATGACTACGCCTGGATCATATTGACTAAATGTGACTGGGAAGTAAGCTTGGTGTCCGCGAAATGTATTCCATCGACATCGTTCCAAAAACTCTGGTCTAAAAACTAGATCCACATCACAAAAGAACAGAAGCGACGTATTGGTGAATACAGACGCTCCCAATCCGAGTGCGACGCCCTTGGAGAATTTACCATCCGCTGGTAAGATCTTAAGATACGCGCCTGGATATTTCACACTGTACGAGATGACCAATTTCCAAACTTCGGCAGTCTGGTCGGGCTGCTTGTAGGCACCTTTGAACAAAATGACCAGAAGTCGAACGTTTTCTTTAGTCTTCAAACACGAATCCTCGTAACTCTTCATGAATCTTCTGAAGGCTTGCAGACGCCCTGCTACTGGGACAATGACATGTATCGTTTCCTTTTGTCTCGTCGTTTTAGTTCTTGTAGATTCGTGACGAGTTTCGTTATTTTTCTGTCTTAAACCCGTCTTGGCACCATCTTCATTCTCTTCCCGTTCTATCTCATATTCTTGGAATACGGTTTGGCTGAATGGTTGCTGTAGGTATGCGTGTTTCCGCACCTCCATGGTGCTGTTTTCTCCTATGTAGTCGTGGCTGACGAGGTCTAGCAGCAGATCCAGCACATATTCAGCCCCGTACAGAGGATTGACCCGCCGGTAGCCGTAGTAAACTTCCCGGTAGTACGCCGTCCGCCGGTCTGTCCGTGCGTTCACGTTGATAAGGTCCATTGCCTGCAAAATCAGAGGAAAAAGAACTGTAAGACTGCATATCATCAGTTGAAATACCCCCTGATACATTAAATGGGTGACACATGCCGTGACAAGACATACATCCTGTCAAATAAAACCTAACAACGACCTTACGACAACGGTGGCTAATGGTAGACTTGATTTATGAAATAAAATCCCCGATCTCTGGGGCAATCCACAGCTTTTAAGTCAGTCTCACGTACAAATATGGAAATTTTTGGTCAAAGATCATCACAATCCAAAGATGGTTTCAGATTAGGATTTTTTGGGGTATTTTTTCGTAGCCATGAACAATTCAATTGTCTTTATCTTAACCGTGTCATCTGCTCCTAAGCCATTTAAGTGATCCACAAAATACCTGTTGTATGACATGTCCAAGTCCAGTACTCAGAGCCATCGGGAACACCTTTGCCGGGAGAGCCACGTCTGCAGTGAAAATCCGTGAGTTTGTGATAAAATCCCACGACAAAACACTAGCGATATCTTTGGGCACGAACTTCGACAAAGAAGGCTGTTTGTCAGTCTTCTCGAAGAGTCTTAGTGACGGTTCTTCCAAGAGGAAAGTCGCGCGACGAATCTCGCGATGAAGTACGAGAGTACGATATCGAAGGTCTTGTGTCTGCAGAGCGAGGAGATTGTTGTGCAGTCGGTACTGATGAGATGGATTCTTGTTTGGGTGTAGAGTTATTGTTTTTCGCATTTTACTCGGGTCCATATTCTTTATACTATCTTCTCCAGTATATGTCTTGTCGTGGTAGAAAATATCCTTGGCTTCATATGACCACGTGCAGGACACTTTTGCGAATCTTCCAATGCAGCGACCGACTTCAACATCCTCGTGTGCAGAATACAGATTCTTCAAGCACCAAGATATATTTGGCACAACTCTGCGCAACGTTTCCCTACTCATTATCATTCCCGGTCCGCCCATGCAAAAATTCTCGTCCGCGGCAAAACCGAGCTTCCCAAACTCACCCTGTTTGCCGAATCCCGGCTGCCCGATGTAGAGAGGTTTACTAGAGTTCACACTCCGAAGAAATTGTTCCAGCTTCTCTCCTCGGATGTACACGTCATCGTCTGCTCTCACAAACCACTCGTACTCATCGAGAAAATGATCATGCATGTATTTCAGCATCAGAAACGACTTCTTCTGTGGAGGATACACGTCTGTCACTCCCCTGAGGAACACAGTTGGGATGTTGACACCTCCATGTCTGCTACCTGAATGCCCCCCGGCCGTGAAAAATTCCACTCTTCCGCGGATAGTCCTAGCCCAGGTCTCGTACACAGCTACAGCTCGGGTACTCAGATATTTTTCCGCCGTCATCACTCCTACGTACACGTGATTCTCCTTATGTTGACCGCCTGTTGCATTGTTTCTTCTCTGTGAGACTGAAATAGAGTCTTGTACTTCATTTTCTCTGCTGAATGTCTCTTCCCAGGCCGATCTACCAAAGTTGTTTTCACACGAGGCCTCTCGTGACAGAGGAGGCAGTGACATTTTTGTGATGACGACAAGCCAGTTGGACAGCAAGAAGCCGAGTAACACACCTGCAAACAAACTCATTCCCGGCTTGGAGCGGGCCAGCCGTCTCAGAGAAGCCATGCCACCGACACTGTGTAGCTACAAGTGGACTGAGACGGACAACACTCAACGAACTGTTTGGAACAGTGTTATATTTGTCTTACCCCCCGACAGTCTCATTTCTGAGGTAAGCAGCTGGCTTCTGTGATTGTGTCATGTTGTTTATATGTAGGTCCGCTAACAAAAAACATGACAGTATCAAATAAAGGCTGTGTCAAAACAAGAAAACTGACTTAGAAACCAGTAATATGACTACGACGATGAGTTTACTTTTTCAATTGTCAATGTAATGATATTCGCATAGAATTTACCACTATTTCTGCGAAGCTAAAAGACTAAACATAATGTTTCCTTGATGGTCATCAGACGTTTCTAGTGGCTGACCTCGTTATATAAACAGAACGTACAGCATTATTTACATGTTTTCCTGATGTCATGTCAATGCTGGTTTGTAAGGATTCCTCCTCTTCACTTGACCTGCAGATTTCAACAGTGTAGGGACCGTGTTTGACTTGTCGATAGGTACATTAAAACAAACGACAGGAGACATACTTAGTAGCAAACAGTGTCATACCTAGTACCTCCCAGTGAATCTTCGAAAAACATACATAGTTGGCAGATTTTACAGTGTTTATACCTCTGTAAAAGGCAGTTACTTATAGGATGTACAAATAAATATGATACTTTACAAATAATAATTAACATGTTGCATATTACATCAAACAATCGTGTGTTTGACTACTGGCCAACATGGTTTTAATCTATTTGTCGCTTGACTGTCTCCAAGGCTCGTAACTCTCTTGTTCACAGTTCTATGCTATAGTTCCGTAGTGTTGCGCTTCAGTACTCTCCAAGCAAAGGTTGTGGGGAAATGATCGTTAGCTTTCTGGTCGTTTTTTTGTCGCTAGTCCAACCCTGTCGGTGGCCGCGGACCTTCTCTGGCTAATGGATACTGCCTGGCCAATTTGATACTGTCTTTTTGCCACCGAGAGGGATCTGCTTGGAGATTAGCGCTTCAGGCACACCTGTTACTGTAGACTGATCCCATAGCCCCGCCTACGTCCACGTGACGGGACATGTAACATCATTCTGTGGTGTGATGTTTGATATAAGTGGATGAACAGCTAAGTAAAAGGCCAACCTTTGATTTTTAATGATTCTAATTAGGTAGTGAATGGACCTTTCTGGTCGAACACCATAAGCCCCGCCCCAACAGTGTTATATTTTGAAGTAGACTTCGTTGAACACATGTCTTCGCCATGCACGTTTTTTTAAAACTTTATACTTAAACCTAATAGATAATGTGACACTTGTATAGTGTTCTATTCATTGCCTCTTGTGTAGAAAAAAAGACACACACACATATTCAGAATAGTAGCAAAGGCCTTTATTTCAAAGCCTATAACGTCTCCGGATTGTTTCAAGTTTGCCCAGCCACCATTTTCGATAGAAAGCCATCACATACACAGATGCGTGCCCAGTGTTTCAAGTGTTTTTAACTACATGTAGGAAACGTTCCGTACTAGTGAATAACAGGTTGACATCTATGAAATTAAATCAGTATGGCCTTAATAGCTTACTACAGAAGTAGAGTGCAATCTATATCAGGATGTTTAAAGCATATACAATCCGTTGCGGGCGTGCAGGGCGCTCCCTACACCTCAGAGAACACCTTCTGCCTCTCCTGCAGGCTGATCTCGCTCTTGGAGCCCGAGATCTCCAGCTGACGGAACACGAACATGGGCATGTTCCCCTTGACGCCCGCGGCCGGCCTGCCGAAGGTGCAGTTGGTCCGCACCATGGCACGGTAGCTTCCGCCGTCGCTGGTGCTGTCAGAGGAATCAAAGTAAACAGTTCAGCAGACTTCATCGTGAGAAACGCAAAGCCTTTCTATAAATTTCAAATGATATGGCAGATTAGCCAACCGTAGTATGCTATCCCTCCCCCCCCCCCAAAGAAAAATGACCGATCCCGGGACGCCTAAAAAGGAGGTTAATGGCAGATATTTCAATCAATCATCCGCAGGCATCATGTTCTGATGCATGGCGACGACAGTCATGCACAGGTCCCTCCCACAGAACTACAATTTTGTTGTGAAATTCTCTAAAGTTGCAATACACTCACTGATGTCTACTGCCCTAGTCCTTTGAGACAACGCCCCCAAAAAAGTTGGTTTCATCTTCCCCGAATCAGATTCTACACCATATGTCTTACCGGTAGGCCCAGTCGATGTTTTCGACCACGGTGTGATCGTCGACACTGGTCAGCTTCGCCACGGACCTATCCTGAGAGGCCAGGGAGTTGGTCATCACGGGTCCGTTGGTGGGGAAACCGCTGCCAACCAGCTGAAACACAAGGAATTCATTTTGTTGAACAACTTGATACTGTATGTCTGTGTATTGTAATTGATGACAAGATTTTTACGTGCACCCGAAAGAGCATCGATATCGCCAATAGTTATGATTTATCTAAACATCAACCCTGAGTACTAGTACCAAGTATCATAAATACACAATTACACTGGTGCCCGTAGGGCGCGTAGTCCGTCTGAGCCCGGGTCGAGCTCAGAAGTCGGGCAGACACTGGATGTCGCCAGTGAGGTCAAAACTTAACGACCCCGTTTTTTAGACCGTAACAAATGTCGATCAAAAATATAAGAAGGTAAACTGATTGTGACCCTGTTCATACCAGACTTACATTTAGCGGTTTCAACCGGTTTTTCAAAAACCCGGCTAAAACCCTTAGCGTTCATACCAGACTTTTGATAACCGGTTTTGAAAATATCCTGTCCGGTGAATATCCTATTAATCGGCCATGACTGCAGTTTGAATAACCGTTCCTCCCGCTCTTCTGATTGTTGTCCTTGGCCTTCTTACTTGTATGCCGTCTTCAGTTTTTTTTTTTACCTTACTGCGGCACAGATCCTTTATCTTCAAGAAATCAGCCTCCTCCAACATTTTTGTTTCGGTAGAGCCCTCGCCGCCGCGCCCCCCCCCCAGCTTTTTCGAATTCGGCGACTCCTGCTCTCCAAACCTAAGTATCAGGAGTGTCTCGTCCGCCGACCAGGTTGCATATGCTGATTCCATCGCAAAATGAAGAGAAATCATGGAAAAACAGTGGAAACGAACTCAAGTTAGTCAAAACAACGCGATCTAAAAAGCTTGCAGGTCGCACTCGGTCAGGATGCTGACCCCGTGACCCCGGAATTATGACGCAAAAACCGGTTCAATAAACCCTTAGCGTTCAGACCAGGTTTTTCGGTGGAAAAACCCCACAAAAACCCTTCAAAAACCACCTCCCGAGGTGGTTTTTCAAAATCGGATTTAAACCCCTAAAAACCGGTTAATTTGCGTTCACACCAGGTTAAATAAAAACCGGTTTTTGAAAAACCGGTTGAAACCGCTAAATATAAGTCTAGTATGAACAGGGTCATGCTACCCTGTCAGGCAAATTTACATTTCGGTGACTTACATGGAAATCTCCTTTGATCTTGCCGCCCTCGTAGGTGTAACGATAGTTGGCAGTCAGAACGGCGCCGTCCTCAAACTGCATGGTACGGTGCATCTTGTACCTGAAGATTACAGTCAAACACAACATCTTTACCGGGTTGATGAAGAGACAGGATGCGTCTCAAAAGCAAGTAGCAAACTTTTTGTTGTGAGTATTCGTCAAAAGGGACTAGTTATGAGAATTATGCTCCTTGTGATAATGAAGGAGGGGAAAATGGACCGCTGTTTTACTGGCCAGGTTTAGAAGTAGTAGTAGTAGTAGTAGTAGTAGTAGTAGTAGTAGTAGGCATCCTTCCCTCTCGAGAGATGGTTTAACATATTTAACGTACAACCAAAAGACGTGTCCGACCTACCCTCCGTCCTTCATGGCGGCCTGGTAAGGCGACGGTCCGCTGGGGAAGGGCAGGTACTGGTAGAACCCGTACCCCAGATGGGGGCCCACGATGAGCGGGGAGAATTGCAGGCCACCTTTGGTGGACTTCACACGGGTCTCCACGGACCCCTGTAAACGGGAAAAAATGTTTCGTAAGACTTGATGTGACACCGTGAAATTTGAGGAAATGATGCTCTTGAAAATGTCATGAAAAACTACAGCTGTATGCCTATTCTAAAGATGGTAGGAAGAAAATTGCAAGGGAACGTATATAGGTAAACTATGCGATAGCGACTTGTGGACCCTTGTGTCGCATTGAATCAAACCCACTAGAACGACGATACTTTGTGTGAATTCATGATGAGATTATATAATATTAGAAGAATGATTCAAGAATCTTCGGAAAACATGAAACGTCACATGCTGCTACAAGTGTAGTATGCTGCAGATCGAGCGCACTTACGTCGTTCGGGTTGCCGCTACCTCCTCCCACCATATCAAACTCCAAACCGTTGATGGAGCCATGGATGTGCAGGTCGTGGCTTGTCGGCATAGACTGGAATGAAATTGCAGGTACTTGTAGATGCCATCAATACAAACGGCTAGAAATCTAACGAGCAGAAGAAGTTTACGTATAGGGCACTATGGAAGATGTGTAAGGCTACCAGGTTATATAAGCAGGGTCGACGGAGATATTGCAAAGCTACCAATGAGACAATTATCCAACGAAAAGAAAGAAAATAGCGCGATTTAGTCACGAAAAGCTTGTAAAGAATGTCATGGACAAATTTCGTTCGACTTTTGAGTAAAGAAGAGCTGAATCTGTAGGATTTGTGGAGAAACAACCCATTGTAACCAAGTACTACACTGCAAAGTGGCAGCAGTATCTTCGGCAGATTGGTTGCTGAAGAAATCTCACCAACAAAACTTCAGGATTAGAGAACGGAGAAATCTAGAAACCTGAAAATTTCACCTCCAACAAACTTGCGACTGGAGCTCATCCCAGTTTGATGTGAACGAAAAAGAATCAAGATTTCAACAACTCTGCAAATGGCTGAATGATCGAAAAGACTCACCATGATTGCGCTGATTGGTGACGATGTGAAGACTGGTGTCGTCTGGAGAATTGAGAGAACTCTGAAAGTACAGCTTCTCGCAGTATGAGCTGCAGTCCTGGAGACGGTGTATTTATTCACTTTTTCAAAAAGGGGAGGAGTTTTAGAAACAATGCACGGAAGAATCAGGTGAGAATCACATGAGTATCATGTGAAAAAATCCTTTTCAGCAACTGCAATCAAATGTAATTATAAAAACATCCACGTTAAGAGACCCAGATGTGTCAACCAATAATGCAAGGTAATTTTTTGTTCTCAAAAAGGCTGAGGGATTTTAGAAACAATGCATAGGACAATCAGGTGAGAGTCACATGAGTATCATGTGAAAAAATCCTTTTCAACAACTGCAGTTTGATTGACGTAATTATGAAAAAATATCATTCCTTCAAATGTCAACCAATACAACGCCTGAGGGTGATCCGGACCGAGTCGGATCTATTCGGCTCGACCGGACAATTTTATCCAAGCAAGTTAAGTGGGAAAAAGGCCATATATAGAGTTTGTTAGAGTTTGTTCACTTAATTTCAGTGAAAGATATTTCTTTTATCCATGCATGAGCATTGCTGTATATAGTTTCCTTCGTTAAAACATTTCCCCTAAAACGTCCAAATGGGCATTTTATTCATGACATCACCTGCAGAGAAACTCTTTGGCATCAAAACGAGCATGGTGTGTGGGACCCATGGCCAGGTCCGTCCAAATGGAAGATAATGTAATGGTGCCTACAAAACATATAATAGAGTACGCCCGAAGAATGACTGTGAAAACAATAAAATAGACAAAACTTACAAAAATTTGTTCTATTATTTCCGTAATTCGTTGAGTGAGCTGTGCATGTGAAATCGTTGGTCGCCTCTAAAAGTTGCTGAGATTTGAATTTTTGGTCGCGCAGAGAGCTCTCCGCGCTCTGGCCAATTTCAGGTCGCAGAGAGAGCGCAGCGAGAGCGCCGCTAAGTGGAATGTAGGTATAAAGAAAAGATAGATTGTTAGGCATCTTGCGTCCCCGTTAGCGGTTTTTACCTACTTCCGATGTATATGTGCCATTCAATACTTTAAAAAAGTTGCAGAGCTGTATAGCTGCTGCCTTCGGTCCAGGTATACATTAAATGTCATACTGTATTTGAGCCTCAAAGAAATGAAAAAGGTACGGTCTTTGAGTTCCTAATACTCACCATTCCCTAATGTTACTTATAGCTCAATTATCAATGATCCATTTGTCACTTTGCGGGGATGGGCTCTGAAGGGATGGAAGGTTTGTTTTAAGTATGTGCCGTGTTTCATTTCAGGACAGTTTGCTTGAAAATAAAAAAAATCTTAGATCTATATATCTATTATCTCTATCAAGCGGATAGGGTCGATTGAATAAGATGTAAAATGAAACAGCCTTCTCGTGGATTGATTTATGCTTCGGCGTTTGTTTCATGGCATAGAACAATTTGACACACATTAAAGGTCTTGAAATCATGTGAGAATCATGTGAGAATTCTTTTACAAACAATTTCTCAAAGTACTCCAATTGACATTTTACATTCTCCAAAAGACAAAGAACGGAGACAAGTATCTGTAGACCAACGCCTCAAGGTGTTCTTCATGACATCAATTCTGACCACCAACACCTACAATACAATATCTTATGATATCTTTATAAACAACTAAAAGAATAACAGAGGACCTTTGATTCACTTGAAAGTGCATCCGACGTCACATATTCAGATTGAATAAGATTTTTTGTAAAAAGAAACAGCCTTCTGGTGGAACGATTTATGCTTCAGCGTTTGTTTCATGGCATAGAACAATTTGACACACATTAAAGGTCTTGAAATCATGTGAGAATCATGTGAGAATTCCTTTACAAACAATCTGTCAAATTACTGCAAATTGACAAATCACATTTTCAGAAAGACAAAGAACGGAGACAAGTATTTGTGAAACAACGCCTCAAGGTGTTCTTCATGACCTCAAAAACGTCCACATCACTCAAACCCTTCTTATGTAACAAGAATTCGGAGATCTCAGACCTCCGTGAAATATCTAGATCTTGTGTGATGGTGACTGTGTCCTCTTCTCATTCACTATCATGGTGTGTCCCAAGTCTTTATTTATCGTAGATGGGAAACAACACCAGCTGCCATGGAACGAAAACAGCGACCCATGGCCAGATGTAGACTTGACTTATGACTTTCTCCCTCTTGGATAGACTGAATCCATTCATATCCATTACAACCTGTCCCAATGACCATGCGGCAATACAGATACACAAGAACACACACAGAAATACCAAAAACAACACCTGAACGTTTCATGGGGATAACAAACAGATGGATCAGTAACATCTTCATATAAAAAAGTGCTGAGAGGCATGTTCAGAATACGCTAAAATAACCATGAACAATGTTTGATTTTAATGAAGAAAACTGCATTTCATTAAAGAACCGTTTCTGCCTCTGTTAAAAGGTAGTTACTTATAGGATGTACAAATAAATATGATACTTTACAAATAATAATTAACATGTTGCATATTACATCAAACAACCGTGTGTTTGACTACTGGCCAACATGGTTTTAATCTATTTGTCGCTTGACTGTCTCCAAGGCTCGTAACTCTCTTGTTCACAGTTCCATGCTATAGTTCCGTACTGTTGCGCTTCATTACTCTCCAAGCAGAGGTTGTGGGGAAATGATCGTTAGCTTTTTATATATGGCCGTTTTTTTGTCGCTAGTCCAAACCCGTCGGTGGCCGCGGACCTTCTCTGGCTAATGGATACTGCCTGGCCAATTTGTCTTTTTGCCACCGAGAGGGATCTGCTTGGAGATTAGCGCTTCAGGCACACCTGTTACAGTAGACTGATCCCATAGCCCCGCCCACGTCCACTTGTCGGGACATGTAACATCATTCTGTGGTCTGATGGTTGATATAAGTGGATGAACAGCTAGGTAAAAGGCCAACCTTTGATTTTTAATGATTCTAATTAGGTAGTGAATGGACCTTTCTGATCGAACACTATTAGCTCCGCCCCCTGTTCTATTTAGAACACATGCCTTCGTCACGCACGTTTTTTTTTAAACTTTATACTAAAAAACCTAATAGGTAGTGTGACATTGCCTCTTGTGTAGAAAAAAAAGACAAACACATATTCAGAATAGTAGCAAATGCCTTTATTTCAAAGCCTATAACGTCTCCGGATTGTTTCAAATTTGCCCAGCCACCATTTTAGTTAAGATAGAAAGCTTTTTTTTTCATCACATACACAGATGAGTGTTCAGTGTTTCAAGTGTTTTAAATACATGCAGGAAACGTTCCGTACTAGTGAATATCAGGTTGATATGCGCGCGGATGACATGAAATTAAATCAGTGTGGCCTTACTACAGAAATAGAGTGAAATCTATCTCAGAGATAGAGTGAAATCTATCTCAGAAACAGAGTGAAATCTATCTCAGAGATACAGTGAAATCTATCTCAGGAAGTTTAAAGCAAATACAATCCGTTGCCGGCGTGCAGGGCGCTCCCTACACCTCGGAGAACACCTTTTGCCTCTCCTGCAGGCTGATCTCGCTCTTGGAGCCCGAGATCTCCAGCTGACGGAACACGAACATGGGCATGTTCCCCTTGACGCCAGCGGCCGGCCTGCCGAAGGTGCAGTTGGTCCGCACATTGGCACGGTAGCTTCCGCCGTCGCTGGTGCTATCAGAGGAATCAAAGTAAACAGTTCAGCAGACTTCATCGTGAGAAACGTAAAGCCTTTTTAGAACATTAGAGCAATATTGACCCCTGTCGTAAATTTCAAATGATATGGCGGATTAGCAAACCCTAGAATGCTATCCTTGCACCCCCCCTCCCAAAAAAATGACCGAACCCGGAACGCCTGAAAAGGAGGTTAATGGCAGATCTTTCAATCAATCATCCGCAGGCATCAGTTTCTGATGCATGGCGGCGACAGTCATGCACAGGTCCCCCCCACAGAACTACAATTTTGTTGTAAAATTATCTAAAGTTGCAATACACTCACTGATGTCTACTGCCCTAGCCTTTTGAGACAACGCCCCCCAAAAAGTTGGTTTCATCTTCCCCGTATCAAATTCTACACCATGTCTTACCGGTAGGCCCAGTCGATGTTTTCGACCACGGTGTGATCGTCGACACTCGTCAGCTTCGCCACGGACCGATCCTGAGAGGCCAGGGAGTTGGTCATCACGGGTCCGTTGGCGGGAAAACCGCTGCCAACCAGCTGAAACACAAGGAATTCATTTTGTTCAACACAGTCCTGTACCGAACAACTTGATACTGTATGTCTGTGTATTGTAATTGATGACAAAATTTTTAAAGTTTTACGTGTACCCGAAAGAGCATCGATATCGTTAATAGTTAAGATCTATCTAAACATCGACCGAGTATCATAAATACACGATTACACTGGTGCCAGTAGGGCGCGTAGTCCGTCTGCATGAGCCCGAGCCGAGCTCAGAACTAGTCGGGCAGACACTGGTTGTCGCCGGTGAGGTCAAACTAAACGACCCGGTTTACATAAAAAAACATCTGATTCAGTAGCACCAAACGCACAGTTGCGCTACAACCTACGCAATAGGCATCAGCTAGCCTAAGGGTAGACCGTAACAAATGTCGATCAAAAATACAAGAAGGTGATGATGTCATGCTACACAGGCAAATTTAAATTTCGGTGACTTACATGGAACTCTCCTTTGATCTTGCCGCCCTCGTAGGTGTAACGATAGTTGGCAGTCAGAACGGCGCCGTCCTCAAACTGCATGGTACGGTGCATCTTGTACCTGAAGAATACAGTCAAACACGAGGTCTTTAATTTACAGGGTTGATGAAGAGACAGGGTGCGTCTCAAAAGCAAGTAGCAACTTTTTGTTGTGAGTATTCGTCAAAAGGGACTAGTTATGAGAATTATACTCTTTGTGATAATGAAGGACGGAAAATGGACCGTTGTTCTACTGGCCAGGTTTAGTAGTAGTAGTAGTAGTAGTAGTAGTAGTAGTAGTAGGAGTCCCTCTCGAGAGATGGTTTAACGTATTTAACAGTTTTAACGTATAGCCAAAAGACGTGTCCGACCTACCCTCCGTCCTTCATGGCGGCCTGGTAAGGCGACGGTCCGCTGGGGAAGGGCAGGTACTGGTAGAACCCGTACCCCAGATGGGGGCCCACGATTAGCGGGGAGAATTGCAGGCCACCTTTGGTGGACTTCACACGGGTCTCCACGGACCCCTGTAAACGGGAAAAAATGTTTCGTAAGACTCCATGTTGCACCGTGAAATTGAGAAAATGATGTTCTTGAAAATGTCATGAAAAACTACAGCTGTATGCTACCTGTGTATGCCTATTTTAAAGATGGTAGGAAGAAAATTGCAAGGGAACGTATATAGGTAAACTACAGCGACATGTGGACCCGTGTGCCGCATTGAATCAAACCCCCTAGAACGACGTCGCTTTGTGTGAATTCATGACGAGATTATATGTATTATATAATATTAGAAGAATGATTGAAGAATCTTCGGAAAACATGAAACGTCACATGCTGCTACAAGTGTGACATGCTGCAGATCGAGCGCAATTACGTCTTTCGGGTTGCCGCTTCCTCCTCCCACCATATCAAACTCCAAACCGTTGATGGAGCCATGGATGTGCAGGTCGTGGCTTGTCGGGAGAGACTGGAATGAAAGTACAGGTACATGTAGATGTCATCAATACAAACGGCTAGAGTATCTAACGAGCAGAAGGAGTTTACGTATAGGGCACTATGGAAGAAGTGTAAGGCTACCAGGTTATATAAGCAGGGTCGACGGAGATATTGCAAAGCTACCAGTGAGACAATTATCCAACGGAAAGAAAGAAAGTAGCGCGATTTAGTCGAGGAAAGCTTGTAAAGAATGTCATGGACAAATTTCGTTCGACTTTTGGGTAAAGAAGAGCTGGATCTGTAGAGTTTGTGGAGAAACAAACCATTGTAACTAAGTACTACACTGCAAAGTGGCAGCAGCATCTTTGGCAGATTGGTTGCTGAAGAAATCTCATCAACAAAACTTCAGGATTAGAGAACGGAGACATTTAGAAACCTGAAAATTTCACCTCCAAGAAACTTAGGTCATCCCAGTTTGATGTGAACGAAAAAGAATCAAGATTTCAACAACTCTGCAAATGGCTGAATGAATGAAATGACTCACCATGGTTGCGCTGATTGGCGACGATGTGAAGACTGGTGTCGTCTGGAGAATTGAGAGAACTCTGAAAGTACAGCTTCTCGCAGTATGAGCTGCAGTCCTGGAGACGGTGTATTTATTCACTTTTTCAAAAAGGGGAGGAGTTTTAGAAACAATGCACGGAAGAATCAGGTGAGAATCACATGAGTATCATGTAAAAAAAATCCTTTTCAGCAACTGCAATCAAATGTAATTATAAAAACATCCAGGTTAAGAGACCAAGATGTGTCAACCAATGCAACGTAATTTTTTGTTCTCAAAAAGGCTGAGGGATTTTAGAAACAATGCATAGGACAATCAGGTGAGAGTCACATGAGTATCATGTGAAAAAATCCTTTTCAACAACTGCAGTTTGATTGACGTAATTATGAAAAAAATATCATTCCTTCAAATGTCAACCAATACAACGCCTGAGGGTGATCCGGACCGAGTCGGATCTATTCGGCTCGACCGGACAATTTTATCCAAGCAAGTTAAGTGGGAAAAGGGCCATATATGGAGTTTGTCAGACTTTGTTCATTTAATTTCAGTGAAAGATATTTCTTTTATCCATGCATCAGCATTGCTGTATAGTTTCCTTCGTTAAAACATTTCCCCCAAAACCTCCAAATGGGCATTTTATTCATGACATCACTGCAGAGAAACTCTTTGGCATCAAAACGAGCATGGTGTGTGGGGCCCAGGTCCGACCAAATGAAGATAATGTAATGGAGCCTACAAAACATAGAATAGAGTACGCCTGACGAATGACGGTGAAAACAATAAAATAGACAAAACTTACAAAAATTCGTTCTATCATTTCCGTAATTCGTTGAGTGAGCTGTGAAATCGTTGGTCGCCTATAAAAGTTGCTGAGATTTGAATTTTTGGTCGCACAGAGAGCTCTCCGCACTCTGGCCAATTTCAGGTCGAAGAGAGAGCGAGGCGAGAGCGCCGCTAAGTGGAATGGGGGTATAAAGAAAAGATGAATTGTTAGGTATCTTGCGTCCCCGTTAGCGGTTTTTACCTACTTCCGATGTATATGTGCCATTCAATACTTTTAAGAAGTTGCAGAGCTGTATAGCTGCTGCCTTCGGTCCAGGTATACATTACATGTCATACTGTATTTGAGCCTCAAAAAATGAAAAAGGTACGGTCTTTGAGTTCCTAATACTCATCATTCCCAAATGTTACTTATAGCTCAATTATCAATGATCCATTCGTCACTTTGCGGGGATGGGCTCTGAAGGGATGGAAGGTTTGTTTTAAGTATGTTCCGTGTTGCATTTCAGGACAGTTTGCTTGAAAAAAAAAAATCTTAGATCTACATATATCTATTATCTCTATCAAGCGGATAGGGTCGATTGAATAAGATGTTTTGTAAAAAAGAAACAGCCTTCTGGTGGATTGATTTATGCTGCAATGTTTGTTCCATGACATAGAACAATTTGGCACACATTAAAGGTCTTGAAATCATGTGAGAATCATGTGAGAATTCCTTTCCAAACAATTTCTCTAAGTACTCCAATTGACATTTTCCATTTTCCAAAAGACAAAGAACGGAGACAGTTATCTGTAGACCAACGCCTCAAGGTGTTCTTCATGACCTCAATTCTGACCTCCAACACCTACAATACAATATCTTATGATATCTTTATAAACAACTAAAAGAATAACAGAAGACCTTTGATTCACTTGAAAGTGCATCCGACGTCACATATTCAGATTGAATAAGATTTTTTTGTAAAAAGAAACAGCCTTCTGGTGGAACAATTTATGCTTCAGTGTTTGTTTCATGGCATAGAAAAATTTGACACACATTAAAGGTCTTGAAATCATGTGAGAATCATGTGAGAATTTCTTTACAAACAATCTGTCAAATTACTGCAAATTGACATATCACATTTTCAGAAAGACAAAGAACGGAGACAAATATCTGTGAAAAAACGCCTCAAGGTGTTCTTCGTGACGTCAATACTAACCTCAAAAACGTCCACATCACTCAAACCCTTCTTATGTAACAAGAAGTCGGAGATCTCAGACCTCCGTGAAATATCTAGATCTTGTGTGATGGTGACTGTGTCCTCTTCTCATTCACCATCATGGTGTCTCCCAAGTCTTTATTTATCGTAGATGGGAAACAACATCAACTGCCATGGAACGAAAACAGCGACCCATGGCCGGCGCCAGATTAACCTGATTAATGACTTTCTCCCTCTGGGATAGACTGAATCCAGTCATATCCATTACAACCTGTCCCAATGACCATGTGGCAATACAGATACACAAGAACACACACAGAAATACCACAAACAACACCTGAACGTTTCATGGGGGTAACAAACAGACAGAGATGGAGGGAGCGGGCTCTCCTGGTGGGCTCGACGCACTCCGTGTATTAAAGAGGACTGAGAGAGAGAGAGACAGACAGACAGACATACAGAGACACAGAGAGACAGAGAGACCGAGAGAGACAGAGAGACACAGAGAGAGAGAGAGAGACAGAGAGAGAGAGAGAGAGAGAGAGAGGAGAGAGAGACAGACAGACAGAGAGACAGAGAGAGAGACAGAGAAAAAAAGCTATAAAAGCCAGTTATCGATTAAACCAGAGTGACTGCTTGTGACTCATTTTGCAGGCCTGCCCAGTCAATGTATCTATTGCCACCACCAAATGATATGAAGCTTCTGGAAAAAAATGTGAAATTTTGGGCTGAGCCTGTGGTTCACTTAATATAAGCAACAATCACCAGCTCCTCCAACAATATCTACTGGATTTGTAGTATTTTAACGCATGGTCAAGTTGGTGGCCGAGCGGACGGTTTCGTTAGTCCGCGATGTCACCTGATGACCCAAATAGGTGTGTTCTATACAAAACGTCCACTGCAGTTCCAAACAAGCCGCTAGAAGTCCCACACTCGCACCATTAGCTCCCATCCCCAACAGCTATCCACTCCTCAAAAATCATTCACCTGACACTTGTGTAAAATTTTACCTCAAATTTAAACGTGACGATGTAATACCTAGAACAGCCCCTAGAAGTCCCATTATCGAACTTAACCTTCATTTTTGGTGCCACTATAAACCGTTCATTAAATATCATTATCATATAGCCGGACGGCGTGGACCAATCAGAGGCCCGGATACCCGTGCTGTTATTTCCCGATAACAGCACATGTGGTGTTATGGCGGAATAACAGCACATGTCGTGTTATGGCTGATACCATTATGTTATAGGGTATAGGGGCATGCGACTCTTTCTGTAAACCTTTGTAGCATTTTTCTGTCCAATAAACTTTTTTGTTTAGCTTCATTTAAACTACAATTTGCATTAAATGAAATTATCCATATTGTTTTAAAGCGTATAATATATTCGAATGTATTTTTATGTATGTATATATATTAAAGCTGTTGTATTTCAAACAGGAATTGTGTTGATTGACAGTTTGGATAGGCTATATGATAATAATTTTAATGCACTGCCTTTTCCTCGTTGTATATGGTGTCATAACTGCATGGGCAGCTGCCATAACCACCTCATAAACCACCTCGTTCGCTTCGCTCACACGGTGGTTTATTCGGTGGTTATGGCAGCTGCTCATGCAGTTATGACACCATATACAACTCGGGGCAGTGCATTAACCCTTTATTAACAACCATCCGCGTTTTCTCAACTTATGTTGTACACAACCAAAATCCAAAAAATCACAGGAGAGGGCGCAACTTATAGAGAAACGTTTAGGGTCTTTGTGATACATGCGGAAACATCAGCACGCCAACACCTACAATACAGTACTGATAGCTTTATAAACAACTAAAAGAATAACAGAAGATCTTTGATTCACTTGAAAGTGCATCCGATGTCACATATTCAGTCTCACTGGTAAAACCAAAAGAAGCCTGTATGCACTTTACTAATCGCTCGGCCCTTCCTTCAAATTCGGCCTAGCTTGGCGTAAGCATACCGTCCCGCGGAAGGATACTAGTACAATGTATGTCCTCTGAATGTAATGAGAATGCCATGTGTTAGACAATCACAGTAAGACAACTATAACACTTTTTGAGCAGTTCATTAAGTGCTGTCGGTCTCAGTCCACTTGCAGCTACAAAGTTCCGGTGATATGGCCACCCTGCGACGGCTGACTTGCACGCGACCTGGAGTGAGTTTGTTTGCAGGTGTGTTACTCGGCTTCCTCCTGTCCAACTGGTTTTTTACATGTACTAGTATCACAAACATGTCGCTGCCTACGTCACGAAACGACTCGTGTGAAAACAATGGCAGATCGGCCTCGGAAGAGACAGACAACAGAGAAAAGGAAGACCCTTTTCCAGTCTCACAGAGAAGAAACAATGTAACAGGTGGCAAGCATAAGGAGAATCACGTGTACGTAGGAGTGATGACGGCGGAAAAATATCTGAGTACCCGAGCTGTAGCTGTGCACGAGACCTGGGCTAGGACTATCCGCGGAAGAGTGGAGTTTTTCACAGCCTGGGGGCATTCAGGTAGCAGACCTGGAGGTGTCAACATCCCAACTGTGTTCCTCAGGGGAGTGACAGACGTTTATCCTCCACAGAAGAAGTCGTTTCTAATGCTTAAACACATGCATGACCATTTTCTCGATGAGTACGAGTGGTTTGTGAGAGCAGACGATGACGTGTACGTCCGAGGAGAGAAGCTGGAACAATTTCTCCGGAGTGTGAACTCCAGCAAGCCTCTGTACATCGGGCAGCCGGGATTCGGCAAACAGGGTCTTGGACTTGCCGCGGACGAGAACTATTGCATGGGCGGGCCGGGGATGATAATAAGCAGGGAAACGTTACGCAGAGTTGTGCCGAATATATCTTGGTGCTTAAAGAATCTGTATTCTTTACATGAAGATGTTGAAATTGGTCGCTGCATTGGAAGATTCGCAAAAGTGTCCTGTACATGGTCGCATGAAGCAAAGGATATTTTCTATCACGATAGGATAAATAGTAGAGAAGGCGTTATAAAGACTTTTGACGTAAATAAAATGCGAAAAACAATAACTCTACATCCAAACAAGAACCCATCTCATCAGTACCGACTGCACAACAATCTCCTCGCTCTACAGACACAAGACCTTCGATATCGTACTCTCGTACTTCTTCGCGAGATTCGTCGCGCGACTTTTCTTTTGGAAGACCCGTCACCAAGACTCTTGGAGACGACTGGCAAACAGCCTTCTTCAGTGCTACTTAACGTCTTACAAAAATCTGCTTCATTCTCGAGTTTGTGATAAAAAACCAAACCTTTCACAGTCAGTGGCATTTGAGATGGTGTAACAAAGTGGCTAGTTTTAGTTTTTGTTATTATACCTACTGGATAACACATCTGGTTTACGTTTCCTGATCATATTGGTAAAACATACGCTTAACACATCTGCATAACGCAATAACATATCAATAGATTTACATGGTTTTTATTCAAAGGTATCATTCATTGACAATAAAATAGAAGTCTATAACAAATTCTAGTGGGATAATACATCCATAAGTTGCCTTATTTACACTATATAAGGCTATACCTGAATGTGATTTTTCAGTCTTCTTTTCAAAATCAAATAATAAAATGTTTTGCCAAACCAATTACTGACTCCATACATATATGTGAGATTGGTGTCATATTTTTACAGTTTAGAAAGACTTACCATGTTAACCTCTTGCTGTGGTATAATGAAAGTAACAAATAGAAATACTAGTACATGTAGTTCCTATGTAGCTTTATCGGCAAAATGATAGCTTGACTGTATGGCAGTAAGCAACAGTTACTTTACAATTGAAGTTTCCTTTGTAAAAGTATTTACAGCACTTGATTGACTGCTACCTATAGTTTATGCAGAACCCTATTTTTACATTTGGTTAAAATTGGACTTCTCTCCCTTATTTCACTCTTGACATACATACATTATACATACCATAATCATTTAAGCTACTTTGACATATTTGATAATGATATACCGTAGTGAGTGTTGATATAGTGATATGACATGTTGTTTTATTAGAAGCTTGACCAATGCCAAGTGGACAGCATGTCAGTGACTGGGACAACGACCAATCAGTGACCACTCAGGACAGAAGGGAGATGAGGGCATCAAAGAACTTGCTTCTGTCTTCAGACTTCATCTCAATTACTGGAAAAAAAATAAACAGAGTTACAAATTTCTGACACAACTTCTTTTCCAAACACCATTCAGACTTCAGAATTCATTTTGTATAATTCATTAAGGTACTGGTATGTACATGTGTTTTTCAATTTGACCAAAGCACACTATCTATATGTACTTAGCCTTTGACAATTCTTGCGTATCGGGAAAATTCTAGATACGACCAGATTCTAGTACTAAAACACAGTGGCTAATTTCACATAAACTTACTTGAGGTATCAAAGTTGTCATGCAAGGTTCTGGAGTTGGTCTGGATGGCTGCTTGCTCAAAGGCACGTCCAAAGAAGCTATAGAATGAAACAAAAAACATGGTCAAAAATGGACAGAACAACTTAAATATTACTAGTAGTACACTTTAAAAGAGACGAAAGGATGCCAACAACACTTTAAAAGCATGTTGACCAATGCAGATGAGTCAAACAACATTCCTTTCCTTGTAAAACTAAAAGTTTTACATCACTGATTGTTAAGTATGAGAAAAAAGATATTCTTGACAATATCCTCTTGCTTAACTACAAATGTAAGTTACACAATAGACTGGAAGTGCCAGCTTACTTCTTGGTTGACTCCTCAGCCTTGGGAGGGATGCCAATAACCAGGGCTGAGCCAGTTTCTGCATCCAGAGGTGCTGCCACCACCATGGGCAGCAGTGTGCTTCTCCTGCTTCTGGACTGAACAGTGCACAATAGAAAAGCTATTAACATAAGCATTGCCTTACAATGTATTTGTCCCTATTGTTTAACATATTCCAACCCAATGATGAAACATGCAGCAATCCTCCCTTGAAGCTGGTAATCATTAACCAACGTTTGTACTTTTCAAAAAAGTTTTTTTTCCGAGAAATCGCCGATGCCGCTAGAATGTCCTTTTGGGACGTTTCATTAGCCGCGTGGGGAAGCACCATCATTTTAATAATTAATTTTCCACCCTGCTGAATTTTCCATCACTTGCACTCTACTAATGCAGATGTAAGCTAGCTTCTAAAACTGCTTTTTAAAAAAGACTGTTACTGTTGTAACTACTTACTGTGGCCACATATGCCTCCTGCATGAAGTAAGCTAGCATGCCCAGACAGTTGGGTCTGGAGAAGAACTTCACATCAGGGTGACCCTGGGAAAACAAAGTTTTAAACATTCCATCTATTCATTTGGAGCTGATAACTTTGATTTCCTTCTACACCAAATAAGGCCATGTTGATTTGATTATATGGATGACATCCTCCGGGAGCCCCAAAACTGATGCGCGCGTGCGAATAAAAAAAAAGTTTTGCAAAAAAAGTTGTTTTCATTATGAAATCTACGTGGTCATGAGGGTTGAGCAAATGGCACAGAATATGGTTTGGCGAATAATCTAGTCTTCAAGTTCATTTCTTTACAATTTTGTCTTTTTTCGTTTGATTTTGGCATTCTACGACATTAGTATAGTCTTTATTAATTTTTTTTGTAACTTATGGTATATTTTTGCTCATTTTTCAACTGTTTTGTACGATTTACAGTATGGTTGAAAACTTTTTTTTTTGGAAACGGCCGAAAATTCATGCGCGCGCGGATGTCATCCATATAATCAAATCAACATGGCCTAACATATAAAAAACAAAAACCATTGAATACAACATTAAAAGTAAGATGGTATAATGGCTAGAATGCCAAAGACTTGAAAAATATCCTTTACCTCAGGTATGTATGCATACAGGAAGGGCCCAGCTGAAATGATCTGTTTCATGTCGATGAAAGAGTGAACAGTCTGCATGATGGTGGTCAGCTGTCGCTTGGCCAGGTCCAGTCCTCGAAGCAGCTTCTTCACATTTTGTCTGGAAATACAAGTTGCAATCATGTCCAACATATATTGTACGAGTATGACTCAAATATATGTTGGTGTATCAATCAATTTATTGCAATGCATCTGGATATTACATTGCTACTTGATATCAATTTAAGAAATGGGCATTGTAAGCAGCAAGTTACCTTGACAGACAGTCCAAGGCCTCGAGGAAGTATCCAGTAGGACTCTTTTCTGCCTCCTAAATAAGACATACAGCATGTAATAGCATGGCTTAGAGATTCAGAAGTATACATTACACTGCAATACACACATCAACATAGAACCACTACACAGGATTGTGAAGACCAAAATGGAAAATCATGCCAATATCTGCTTGAAGATTATATGTTGTACAGCCATTTGTGTTTGAACTTTTTGAATACCACTTACCACACACTCCATTAGTCCATTGACTGCATACACTACATCAGCTGCACAGAGCTGGGGGAAAGGTAAATGTATGGGGTCAACACAAAGAACCAATGGCAACAACAATTAATTTTCTTAGTCTCAGACATCTCTTGGTAAAAATTCAGCACAAAATGCTTTCGAGAACATAATGGAAAGTTGAGAGAAAGCTATTTATACTTGAGGTAATTCATATATCAATGTCATATGATTGCAGACTACATTCTTTTTTTAGTATAAAATATATAATTACTCACCTTGTTCTTGTAGCCATACTGTGCAATAAAGGACCCAAAGGAGATGTCATCCAAACTGAAAAATAAAAGCATTTAATATTATATTATATTATCATACATCTATATATATGTATGTTTTAATACAGTTATACTAATGCTTAACTTTTTTTTACTGGAACACATGCTTGTTTTTCTTCCTTTGTTTTTGTCTTCAAATCAAAATTTCTACAGACAAGCTTAACGTCTTGACAACTTTTACAAACTACAACATACATTTGTATAACAACCCCAAACACAAAAGACCTGGAAACATAATGCATTTTATTGCTTACCCATATTTCTCACATGAAGCTGTGAAGAGTCCCTTGAAACTCTCTTTCAGTCCCATGTCCATAGAGGTAAACTTCTGTTTCACTTGTACCAGGGGCAACCTGAGTAACAGGGACAGATGAATCATTAGTTAAGAAATATTTTGTCTGCATTAAAGAAAACATAGAAGTTTTAAAAATACTAATTAAAAATACTAATTGAAAACTTTTAATGTGAAAATACAAGTCTTACCCCATGTCAGCCAGGAACTCGTGCATTTTCTGCTGCCCTTTCACAGTCCACATCTTAAACCTGTCAAATAAGTACATACATGTGTCGTAATATCGTCATAACAAGATGAGACTTTTCCTGTTTATTCCCTTTCCAAGCATGTTAGAATAAAATAATTTTACAGAAATTGTTACATCTCATGTAACTTAAGTCCTCTTTCCCTCAGTCCAAGCTAGAAATTTAATAACTTACAGGATACAGCAGTACAATCTAGTTAAAATCCCTGGTGGATGAGCTAATCATTTGACAAGCCAACAGATTCTGAAGCACAGACTTACTTGCAGGCTGGGTAGCTTGAATGCTTGAGACTCTCGAACAAAGACCAGTGTCTGTACAGGGCCAGCTTCAACCTGCACTTAAGGTTAAGGTCTAACAAAACAGTATATGACGTGCGTAGTTGTGTGAGTAAAGATCATTCAATCTACTCTAAAACACGTATATAAACAGAATTTTCATTTCTAATATCCTTTAGCTGTTAATCTGTTCTGATATACAAATATCTAGATCATCACAGAAAGATACTTGTCAGCTGAAAATATTTCCTTGCATATGTTTGGTTTGTATATTTTTCTGTTATTTGCTATAAAATGCATAACGTATATCAAAGGATACTCTTCGTCAAAGTAGATCCTCATACAATCCACTGACACTGTGTTGTCATCATCTTCATTTCTGTAAATAAGTATACATAAATGAATTAAGTTATGAAACCACTGTGAAGGAATGGCACTTATATGAGATGTAGTATAACTTGGGGATCAATAAATTTTAACTGTGGTGACAAAACCTTTAATCATTGTTAGCTTTTACATAGATATAGTTTCTCTTCTTACACAAGGGTTTCACAGCAATACACTCATCACTATTTCATGAAACATGACGAAGTCAACATGGTAAAATCCTTTGTAAAAGGTTTATCACTGTATTTTCTAACACCCACCTGTGATTGAGCCTGAGTGTGTGCTTGTGCAGGTCTCCAACATCTGTCATATATTTACCTCTGCAACATGAAAGACATATCACTGTGTGTGAAACAGCAGAAACTGATCTAACAAAGAATAGAATTGAACAAAACCTTGATATAGTCTTCAATGTATGTCAGCCTTACCTTTCTACTCTATTGTTGATGTACTGGTCAGTAAGTCCCACAATACCCCACCTGGTAAGAAAGTAGGAAAAAACAATGATCTGTAAATTCTCAAAGTTTTCTAAACTACATTCACAAAGAGGTATTAACAGAGGAAGTCAGCTTAATCCTTAATTAATTCAAAGTCTTCTCATTGTATTGTTACTGTACCATTTTTACTTATCGCGAGCGTGTTGCTATAACATGTATTCTACAGATGCCTTTTAGGGAGCTCTAAGATAGGAAGTGACATACTGGTAGACAGTGGTAGTTCCTTATAATATTTCATGAAATCAAACATAGTTCATAATATATGTGACATAAAGTACACAATGACAGAACAGTTCTCACCACAGCAGGTCATTGCTGTCCTTGGACATTTTCCAGGCAAGGTCAAACATAATCATGGCGCTCTGGAAATGATAGACATCATCAATAGTTAACTTTTCAATACAATGCAAAAATGTTCATTAGAAGAGCCTCCTAGCAGACAGGTCAATAACTACACCTAAGTCGGAGGCAAAGACTACTAGTATTATATAACAGGTACATTTACTCACAGATGTTCCATATGTTGAGAACTCTTCATAGTCCAGCAGTATCTGTTTCCTACAGGATGCAACAAAAGTATTACAATTAGAGACAAGGAAAACAATACAAGCAATTTTGTTAAAATAGTTTAACTTGGAATTTTGCAAAAAACCAAACCATCTGTAAGATCTGGCCCATTGCACTGTACCAGTACTGGTACTACTGAAATGTCTGTGAGCAATTTCTCACTAACCTCTTTTCTTCCCACAACCTCCTCTCTCTTCTCCGCTCAAGAACCTCCTAGAAAAATTGTCATCAGTCACTTTCAGGAGTATGGAACTAATCAAGATACCTTTACACACATGATGTAAAAACAAACTGTAGATTAAAACATTTTCTATAAAATTTAAAGACAAGTCTCTAAGTTAGTCTAACCTCATCAAGACGTCTTCTCTTCCCAGACGGTGCAGAGCTGTCACTCTCATTTCCGGAATCATCATCAGACTGATAAAAAACAACAACACAAAAGTAGTTATGTCACAGTATTTCACAAGTTGAATAATGTTTAAGGGAACAACCAGTCTACTTCTTCTATGACATGACTCTTACTTAGTATGTGTAACAACATGTACATGTATGTTGAAATATTATATTAGCATTACCTCATCGTCCTTGAATAGATCATCGTATGCTGGAATGTCAAAGTCATCATTTGAGTTCATCAGCAACTTAACCTGCAAGGGTGAAAGATTTCCATTACTAATCAAACTCAAAATGGGATAAAAATACAGTCAACAAAAGGTACTAAAGCATCAATTCTCTATTGAGGTGAAGCATAATCATACTTTTCTATTGGCTGATAATGCAATGTGGCTTGCCACGTATGCATTTTTAAACATTTTGATTAGTGCCCAATATGGCTATTGCCAAGGGTGGTCTGTAGTGTCTGAACTCTCCACAGACATGGTTATGAACAGATTTCAGAATCACATCAGGATTTGAATCACAAACCTCTGCCTCTATGTTTAGTACATTAATTGAGACATTTCAATGAGAATGCTGCTATTAGAAAAGTTTGCTGTCACAGCATTAACTGTCACATACACTCACCTGATCATCGTTGTACACATTCACCAGATCGACTGGTCTGTGGCTGCAACAAATAAAATTATTTCATCAGCCATTTCTTAATCAAGACAGTACATGTACATGTAAAAGAAATCATAAAATTTGTTATAACTGAAACATATATCATGGTATGTCCAAAGGATGGTCCATACCTGTCTGCTATGAAGAATATGACATGTTCAGCTGGCTGTAGTGTCTCCAGGATGTTGATGTTTCCACCACAGTTGATCATCACAACATACTTCACCTAATAGATATCAGTACAACAGGTAACATCATCATGGATTTAAAACAATCTGTAGTAGTAATCAATTAACTTCTCAATGCTTGTCATGAAAAAGTAAAAAAAATACCATTGCACATTGTTTCATTGTAGGTTAAGATCCCACAGAACCAACAAATAAGGTTGCTTCAAGTGCTCAGTGCATAATTTACCTGCTCGGAGTGTTCCAGGAAGGCTCTCTCCAGCTCCTGTCTGCCTGTGATAGGCACGATGGTGTACTGCACATGGTCACACTGGAACAGGTACTGCAACCAGGAACACAGGACAATCATTTAGAGTAAAAGAGATGTTGAAAGTGATCATGGATGCATCATCATTATTCTATAGACGTAATGTGGAATGTTTCTACTAAAAAAATACTATGATTATGAAGAATCCTACCTGGAGAATCTTGCAGGCACAAAGAGCATCAACATCAAAGGCCACCAAAACGAGGACCCGCTGCAACAGTAAAAAATTTAGTACATCTAGTAATTCTGTAGACATAATTACATAATGATTTATAAAATAAAGTTTGATACCAGTTAGTCAGTACAAAATCTGTGTATATAGACTCAGTGAAATTAATACTTGAGTCGATTATTCAACACTTAACTTGAACTACATACATTGGTCAGCAAGAAATAAATATATAAATATAACGATATCCATATCTCGCACTGTTGGTCACCCATAAAGCACGGATGACAAATGCCCCCCTCCCCCGTCCCAAAACGTTTGTTTTGTCCTAAATTTCTCGAACTGTGTCGCAAAAAGGGAATCAAAAGCACCTACCTCGTGTATTACTTTATCATAAAATTCTTTCCTTATGTCGGTAACAAACATGTTGACTGCAAACTTCCGTATGATCACGCAAAAAAGCACTTCAGACGATACTTTGTTACAGATTGTCCGCCATGAAAAGATTTGAGTCTGGCGCGAAAACGATGTGAAACAGCCTCCTAAATGCTCGTTTCTGATTAGTCCAGTTTTTCAAAGCGTAGTCTTGGCTGCTAAAATGAACCAATAGACGACAGTTTAACAAACTAGTCAGGCTCTACCATTTTAATGTTTAGGTAAGAGAAATCGACTATGATTTCATATTATTTTGAAGAATAGATACAAAATGAATGTTTGAAATTTAAAGAAGAATCAATTTGCAATAATATATCTATAATTTATGCCTTTAACTGACTTTTAAGATACAAAAAGCTGAAATGTTACTTTTTTGAATGGTGTATTCCAACAACCCCTAGGTCATTGACCTCGGAAGATGTCATCATCGAAACCGAACAATCACTGATTTACAACTGAAAGATACCGTCTTTCCGTGAAAAACTCGGGACTGTGAGCAGGATTTTCTATTTTAGAGAAAAGGCGTGGATTAGAGACTGTCCATAAAATGGTAAGAATGAGCAGCTGATAGTTCGTAGGGAGGATCTAAAATTGATGGAGTTTTAAATTTCATGAGTCATGTTATAATGGGGGAGGGGGGCACAAGAGAATGTTTTTTTTTCTATCTCCAAGAATAACTTCTTGGCTGGACAATTCTTCATGGGACTGTTCTGGAGCTTGAATGTGTTCTACGCATAAATATTTGACGCAATTTTTATTTTAAAAAATGAGTATAATCGACAGAATTGAACATGATATTATTGTATCAAACATTCCAGTTTAAATCATAAATTATCATTCATATTTAATTTGGGAGATAGAATTATGATATCAAATCATATACTCCTGATGTACTTGTGAGTTTCTCAATGTTTGATAAAAATGAACTGTGCTATGTATGAGCAGAAACTTTGAAATGAAAACTACACTGAAATCATATAAATCATTGCATCACTGATGCCAATACCTGTTGTTTCCATTCCCACATGTAGTTTGCCGGGTTCGGTGGATTTGAGGGTTTCCAGAGACCCACACGGTTCAACACTCAGTACAGATGTTACTCTGTGTCCATGTTACCTGGTAATGAGAGGTCAGATGTGGAGAAAGGAGGCAAAAGTAAGGAAGATTTTATCTTATAGTGACATAACTTTCTTTTGCATGTATTGTTTTACTACATCAGATTTAGATTTCAATGTCAGAAAAAAGTATAATAAAGGGATAGATATTCTTATGGTCCTAAAACGTGTTATTAATAAATCCAATATTTTTATTCCAGTCATCATGCCACCATCAGCACTAGACCAACTGAGTAAGTTATGCTACTTCCATTCTAATTTTTTTTTCTTGTCCAGATGATAATTAAGTTAACTTAATATTTTTTGGGGGCATAAACTGAATTCTGGGAAAAGAAGCAAATAATTTCTATCTATTGAATTCACTACATTATACATTATTTGTATATTTTGTGCTAACTTTGGATTTTCATTGAGAGTAATTTTCAACTGCCAACTCGTTGGTATTGCATTATGAACTCTGAATGCTACTTCTCCCTGCTATCTGTTGTTCCATTTGACTCACCAACCATATTATGAACTAACAAAAAAACATTATTGTAATTGTTCCCACAGCTCGACTGAACATTGTCTACCCCATGCTGTTTAAACTGACCAACAAGAGAGCCAACAGGGAAACACACTCTGGTGTTCTGGAGTTTGTAGCTGATGAAGGAAAAGTCTATCTTCCATATTGGGTCAGTCTTGCAAGTCTTTGGGGGTTACAAGTAGTTAGATATGATAAGGGGAGAAAGAATGATGAATTACTATTGGGTGCATGTGCACCTTATTATAAGTGCATCCAAATTTGGAGCTGTGCACCCAATCTTTTTCTGTGGGTGCACATTCCGGTAGATTTACATATGTAAAGATGTTAAATGTATACATCATATTCTTAATGTATAGGTGTCAGAAAAATAATAAAATCGTTGTTATAAATATAATACTCTTTTTTTTAAATGATACATAATTAGTTTTTGCTGACATTCTACTTATTTCATCTTATATGGTTCATGCAAAAAAGTTTTTGTGCACCCAATTTTTTTAGCTTGGGTACACCAGTGCACGTATTCTCAAAAATGAATTTCGAGCCATGACTACCTTGGAGAATTCAATGTTGGTTTAATGTTTTAAAAAAGTCTAGTCTGTATCCTCCTCATATACAGACTATTGCTTTTTCCCTACAGATGATGAGGAACTTGTTGATAGAAGAAGGAGGTATATTACAAGTGGAGAACGCCTCCCTGCCTGTAGCCACCTTCTCCAAGTTCCAGCCCCAGTCAGAAGACTTCCTGGACATTACCAACCCTAAAGCTGTGTATCCTTGGAATGGTGTTTGTGATGAAGACATGCTAGTAGTCATTCCTTAACCACATGAAGAAACTCTAATCCTATGCAAACATCTTTATATGTTATAAAAGTAGGATGTTTGCATGCTCACTGCAAAGTACCCCTTATAGAATAGCCCCGCTTCCATTGTCAAGATGTAGAAATGTAAATGATTGACAGGCCATTCTCTCATTGGCTGAATCACTGGTTGCCATTGTCTCATTGGTTGAACTTTTAATTTTGATGGACAGCCAGAATCACTGCAGCATTTCTATAACTTGTAACTTTTGACTTGAATTTGGTCACTTGTCCATACAGTCTGTTCTGGACACATGTAAGATAAGAAGTCAGGATTTTGATTGTGTCTTTTAACACTATAATTTGCTAGCAGTTCAACAAGCTGGTTTCACCAACATTAGTATATATTGCATTCAACACATATTGCTGTTCAGTAATTATTTGCTATTGCTTCTTACTTTAAGATGTTCTCAAGCTTGTGACCTTGACATGGTGTCTTCCAGATTAGAAAATGCCCTGAGAAACTTTGCCTGTCTCACAAAAGGCGACGTTGTTGCAATCACGTATAACGAGAAGGTGTACGAACTACACGTGATGGAGGTCAAACCAGGTCAAGCTGTTTCCATCATAGAGTGTGACATGAACGTAAGTTTATACACTTTTCCAGCAATGTTTTATAAATAAATAAAAAAGTTGTCTTGAATATGTTTAGCTTAAAAAGAGGTAGCTCTCCAGAATTCCTAACTGGAATTTTCCTTCCTCTTGTTTTTTTATTGTGCAGGTAGAATTTGCTGCACCTGTTGGTTACCAGGAGCCACAGTACAAGAAAAAAGAAGAAACAGAACAAGAGGTAATATTACAACCAGCTATTTTAATTAAATCTTGTCTTTCTCCAGATACAAAAAATATACTAAAGTACTACTGCTGTCTGTGAAAAGCACAGTGTCATTTAGTTATACTTTGCTTGTCTTGTAACTCTTTGAATTATACAAAATTCCAGATTTCTATCGGTTAAGTCTATTTTGCTTTTGTAACAGCACTCGACTTTTGTTCTAAATTGGCCTTTATTTCAGTTAGAATCTTTCTTAAACTCAACTGATATTTGTGGATGATCACGAGTATGTACTTACATCAAAGCTTGTGTGGTAGCAGCCTTGATTATATGAAGTCTTTTTCTCACAGATGGCTGTAGATGAGGCAGATTTTGCCCCAGAAGGCTTCCTGGTGAGTTGGCTCATTTGTGCGTTATGTATGACATAATTCATCCAATGTTCATTTCAGTCATGCAGTACATTAGGATGCAGAGAGTGGAGCCTACTTTGTAAACTTGGGCTCCAGTCAAAAATATTTCACAAATTGCAGCCTATTCGTTTCCTTTTGTTTTTCATTTTTTTAATCATAAAAACATTGTTTGCATAGAGCAGTATGTTTTACCTCCTTTCAAAACCTTTACCTTTTTCCAGGCGTTTGCTGGGCAGGGTCATAGGTTAGATGGGAAGAAGAAAGGCACTGATCCTCAACCCAAGGCACTGGGAGGTGGTGCAATCAGAAGGTGGCAATTTCAATTTGTATAATCATAGTTACTAACAATGAAAATTGTGTTCTACATGTAAGTGTGTTTATTACTTATTTGTGGTATGGATAGACCCTTGGCATATTTACATCTGGGTTTTGGGTAGCTGAGCTCATGAATAACTTCATCAGATTGGATGGTCATTAGAAAATAAGGTTCTTATGACTTTTGCCTGGCTTGTCAATCTTTTAACAACATGTTGATAACATTTTCCCATCTGCTTCCCAGGGGCATTCCTAACTATGAGTATAAGAGGGGTAAGATCACTTTCATGAGAAATGTTCGGAGACCGCAAAACAACCACCAGACAGAAGAGGTAGGTGTGAAAAACTGCAAAGTCCTGGAAATCAGATACATGTACATTTTGTATTTAGGTCTGAACATTTTATTTGCCATGCATATTCACTCACATCAAAAATGGAGTGCTTCAAACAGTTGCCAAAATTTCTTAATTCTTTTACTATTAATTAAGAAGATTGCAGATAAAAGTTATTACTGTCCAATTTTCTGTCCTTGTTTTGTACTACAGGATGAGGAGTTTCAACCCTTTACAGGAGAAGGCCAGGCACTCAGAAGGAAAGGTGGCAGGAAGTGATCATAACACAACAGACAAAACATCAATACCTTTACATCAATTTAATGATATTTATATAGCACTGATATATACCTGTGTGTGGATAGATTGATTGGTATCATCAGTAATAATTGTACAGGGATAGTCGTCTTATTTTGGGATGTATGTAATGTTAAGAACAAGAAAAAAAGAAAATGCCCAAATGTATTGCTCATGTGGTATTTAGTACATGTATCTTTTTCAACACTGTAATTGAAAATTGTAGCTGAAGAGTTCTGTTTCTTGTTAATCTCCAAGCAGATATTCTAAGAGAAGATATGTCTGAAAATAGGTTACAGTCTTTCCTCATAACTTCAGTTTTGGTTAGAGGGATGGGAGCTGTGTTAGCTGTAAAATATCATCAGCCAAACAAACTATCTACCCGCAGAATATCATCTCCAGTTGTCATTTTAAACTCGGCAACTGATTTATAAGCATATATGTACATTTCTGAAGCGGTTACCTAGAGTTCCTGTGCCCTGAATTTAATAAAGTACATCATTGTAAATGACACAGCATTTCCTATGGACCTCTATGAGGCAGTTTAGAAAGGAGTCAGTGTTGTGCATCTGTTAACTGAGTATTTAAGGTTCTAGTGGTGACAATTGTCACAAGGATTTACCAATATTTTGCAATTACAGGAGCAAGATAAGAAATAAAGGTGTTGCACTCCTAACGTAATGTACCAGTGTATCCTTTATTCTAGTTATTTGTCACATGCAGGGAAGAAAAATATGTACATGTATATCGTTTTCTTGTGTGTCTTATGATCCTGCCATTTTTATCAAGACATCAGTGTTGCATACCAATCTGCAGTCCAATCTGAATGAATTAGCAATGGTACGGGGCTGTAAAATTCATAAAGCAGAATTTTTTAACAGTTCTCTCCTAGTAAAAGTTAAGTAGTGGTGATGGTTTATAGGGAAAGCGCATGAGGGTTGGCAAGTGAAATCGAATTTTTGTATGTGTACAATCATGACAAATATGTTCGACACCATCAAAATATTGCAATACTGTTAAACTCCTCTAGGAGGAGCTGTTGAGTGGGTCAAACAGCAGATGTATATGTCTGACCCTTGAAAGTTCAACTAACTAGCATAGCTGTGACATCATGTGCAAATACCTTATAAGTTCCTTCACATGTATGCCATTGAGTTGGTGCCAGGAATGGTAAGATCAGGCTCACATAGCCTGTCATGTGTTCGCCTAAAATAGCACCTGACCCTGTCAGAGCGAGTGCCCTGTACGTGACCGACTTCTATTTTCCCATGTACTTTGCAAAACGTCGGCGCTCACTGCGTGTGATATATTTTGTTGCCGTAACACTTACAGGTGAGTGGAAAAGACAAACGTTGCCTTTATCAAGCATGCAACAGTACAACGCAGACGGTGGCCGGGTCTAATATTTTCAGGGGGACCAAATTGGCACTAGAGAGCAGTTGTTTTTGTTTGGGGATGCCGGGTGAAGCACGAGTTCAAGCTTGTATACTTTTAGAGAGAGTTCGACTTCCAGAAGTCGTATATAAAGTAAAGCCGTATTAAAGGGGTCGCGTGATGTCACGGACGTGATGTGAGCATTCATGCTTCTACTGACGATACCTTCTTCGTATCTAGATTATTCTCACAATGCCTGAGGACACCTCCGAAGCATCCGAAGAGTGTCATTGTACCTTCGCAGAAAATGGGGACCTACTGTTCAAAGACAAGTCTCACGGAAGACGCCTTTTTGAAGGTCTGTCTCGTCTTCCTCCCGACTCCTCAACGGAAATCTTCGAAATTCTTCGCAAAAACCTGACAACAACCGTCGAAGTTAGCGACGAGAACGAACAATACATAAGACTTGATTACAAAGCCGTGATGGAGACACTGAAAAACCTTTGGTCGTCCAGAAAACTCTGTGATGTCGTTCTCCGTGTTTCGCGATCTAAATACCACTGCCATCGAGCGGTTCTGGCATCGTTCAGTCCTTTCTTTACAGGACTGCTTCTTGGAGACTTCAAGGAGGGCCAAGACAAGAACGTGTGGTTAAACGACGTCTCGTCTAAGATCGTGGACGAACTCTTGACCTACGTCTACACAGGATCTTTCACTGTCACAAGATCTAACGTAGAGAGACTAGTCCACACAGCGACTCTCTTTCAGTTACCGCTAGTTGTTACAACCTGTTGCCGGTATCTTTCCAAGCAGCTTTGCGTCGAAAACTGTTTCGGGATCTGGGTCTTCGCCGAGGCATACTGCTGCTTAAATCTAGCGGAAGAAGCGAGGTGTCTTGCCCTGGATAGTTTACCACGTGCGGCGAGGGTTGGGGATCTAGACGTTTTGTCGTTTGACCATGTGTTGTTCTTGATTACGGACGAGCGTTGTGTGTGGTGCACTGAGGTTTTGTACGAAGTGGTGATGCAATGGGCACGAGGAGAAAGAACCAGACGTGAACACCATCTACTGGCGCTGATGCGTTGTCTCGACCTCTCTCGGGTGAACCAAGACTTCTTCAACCACCAAATCAAGAAGGACCCATTCCTCAACATGTCTCCAGAATGTCTCCAGCTCGTTCTGGATGCGGAACAGGAGATGAACGAACGCAAACAACGCCGCCTGCCGGGTGAACTTATAGCGCAGGTGGGCGGGACGTGCTACGATCAGACCACGGGAGAAGTCCACAACATTTCCTACATCGACTGTCTGGACGTGAAGAAAAACTCTCGAGTTGTTTTGACCGATCTGCCGCCGAGTCTGGACACGGGGAACTGTTACCTCAACGTCCTAAGCATTGACGATGCCATCTACGTACTTTCCTCCATGGAAAGACTGCAATACGACTCTGAAAAAGAGATGGAGTTTTGGCGCTACTCCACCTCTTCTGACACCTGGGCGCGCCTTCCCGACCCTCTTACCTTCCACGAGGGCCACTGCGGTTTCGTGGCAGTCCAAGGACGAATCTACGCCATAGGCAGTAACCTCCTGGCCGAGAAAGATCAGTTCTACTACGAGGCGTACACCCTGAGGGATAACTGCTGGTCTATGGTCCCGCCCGTACCACATACAGTACACAAGATAGTGGCCGTCTCTTGTCAGGATAAACTTGTGGTACTCGGATACTACGAGGGATGGTCCAAGAACTATTATATACAGACACGTCATAGAGGTATGTTTTTATCTTCTTCATATACCTAAAGTTAAATATATTGCACGATCTTTTCAATATCCTACTCAAAATACTAGTAAGTTACTCAAGCAACTGGATAGATTTTGAAAACTGTCAAACGTTTTAAGTTAGTAGCATCCATTACTTTTCAAGCAGCATCCACTACCACAAACGAAGAGTAGTGGATGCTGTAGCTACTTGAAACGTCTGACAGTTTTCAAAATCTATCCAGCTTCTTGAATATTAGTATCTCATGGATGCCAAAATTTCATTGACGTAGTACTATCCTGCTGTAAGATTGTTTCTCGAGTTCTCATATTCACAAAAATATTTTTAAAATGCATTGATACATTTGGGATTCTATCAATAATTCAGTGCCGTGGGGGATTGTCCTTCAAATTCATGTTTTTTTACTGTCTTCATCTGTGATTTCGTTCAGGAACGTGGGACTATTACGAAGTGGAGGCGTACCACGGCGGAAAGCCCCAGTTCCAGGCGGCGTGTGTAGGTACCCGGATCTACCTGCTCCCCACGCTGGGCAGGCTGCTCAAACAGATGTGCGCCTTCGACGTGGAGACGTCCGAGTTTTACATGGTTCCTGTTCCGTCGTACAGGTATATATACATGCCATTTCGAATGCTTCATATACACACATGACACCGTATACACATGACTTCGTATACACGACTTCGTATACACGACTTCGTATACACATATGGCTTTGTATACACACGATGCCGTATACACATGACTTCCTATACACACGTGCCTTCATTTTCACATATGGCTTCATATAGGCATGACTTTGTATACACATATAGTTTCCTATACACATGCCTTCTTATACACATATGGCTTCGTATACTCATGACTTCGTATACACACATTACTTTTAATTCATATACACATGACTTAGTATGAACGTATGACTTCGTATACACATGGCCTGGCTTTGCATGTACACATGACTCAGTATACACATCAAGACTTTTGTTTTTAACATTTTTACGTTTCTTCACTATAGTCGTTATTTCAGTGAGGCCATTAATATTTAATTCAATGACCTCGGTACTAGCAACGCGTTCTCAATACACAATTCCTCAATTTGTCATCTCCACATTCCTGCTTGGTACAAAGGTTGCCCCATAGCTATTTTGGACTGTGTTTCTCTAGCCCCCTACAGTGCGGCATGACAGTGTTGGACGGGCAGGTAGTGGTGACAGGAGGGAGAGACCAGGCCGTCTCCGCGTACTCTTCCAACGCCGTAGAGGTAGGTAGGGTGCTGTAATCCGATGATAAAACGCACGAGAATTCACGGTAACATTCACGGAAGAGGTTGAGAAAGGTTTTAAATCAAGCACAGAAGGCATTTTTTATGTATCACGACTTAGAATAATAACCATAGGAGTCACGAGGACATACTAGTATCCCTGGACGGTACCCCCCCCCCCCCCACACACACACAAGGGACGGTCCGCTAAACATAACTTAATAATACCTTACACGTTTTTCAGATTCCTAGTTATGATCCTGTTTGTTATTTGGTCGGTTCTTTTCTGCACAAATGTGCTCATGATTCAGCTAAGTCAGTGGATGTATACCACGAAAACCCAATTTCAGCACCAAGGACAGATGCTTCTTACAGATTTCGACAAATGTATGGAAACACGTCGCCATTGCTTTTAAAATAATATGAAATTCCCCTAATACGGTTCCCTCTAGATCTGATATTCTTTATGCTTGTCATCAGCATCTATTTGCTAACAATGACCAACTTGTGGAAAAAATTGTACCCTTTTTTTGTCACCCAGGCATATGACAGTGACGGTAAGAAGTGGGTGCGGATTGGATGGCAGGGTGAGCCTGTGAGACGAGCACACAGCTGTGTGACTATACCTAACTGTCAGTGGATACAACAGAGACTAGAGAAACAGGAACACACAGAGAAGGAGGAGAATAACTAGGACTACACAACAGCATCAGTTGGAGTTCGAATTCTTTGTTTAAAATTATAGACTGTTATGTGTTGCTGTACATATATCATTACATAGAAATAATGCAAAATGTGAATATTTAACAAAGCATTAACTATTGTACATGTACGTCCATGCATACCAAAGCCTCATACAGCTAGCCTGTACTATGCTATATCCCAGCAGTTAAGCTATAAGAGGATTCAAAACTTAAATGTGTTAATGCATACTATGCATACACCCATTTACCTTTTGCAAAGCAAGAACAGGCAACAAGTAGGAACATGATTGTTTTCAGTTTATTTACTTACACATATATTATGTCTTTTGCCATAATGTATCAAATGTATAACGTATCTGATGTACATCATTCCAAATAGTGTAACATGATTGGAATTATTGTAAACATAGTAAGATTTCCACATTAGACTTGATTCCTTGGAAGTTATACATTGTTATGAATTGTCAAGAAAAGAATAAGTATACTAGATCTAAGAGCCTGTATTGGAATGTATTGACCTTAATTTAAGTTTGACTTTACCAAGATAATTTCTAGCCCTTGATAGGAATGTAAGAATAAATATCTGCTGTTGTTATTTTGGCTGACTGTGTTGTGACACCCCCGTAGCACCAATGGATGTCTCCCACACATCATACCCACAATCCCGCAGTTCTGCTGTCACCTTGTCTATAACATCTGGAGCAGTGTCTGAAAGAAGACAATAAAAACCCACTATTAATTGGATATTAAGATGTCATAAAGAATAGACAGTTACAGTTTTATACACTAAAACTGAACTTCAAAAACCAAATTAGTCTGTGACAAAAATATGCATAGCAATATGCCAGCAAAATAGAATGATTTGATCAGTACAGGCTTTTATTATCAAATTTCTGTTATTTTTTGTAGTGGCTTCAGTACATTGTGAAATAGTGCTGATTATAGATATATCAAGACCTTCTGGGGAGCAAAAAGTGTGTGTTCTCTGTTATAAAAGCAACAGATACTAACATGATCAAGAAGAAAATAGTATTCGAATGAAAGCTCATCTGTGTTGGTAGAATACATAGTTAAAGAGTTTGACTTGTTCCAACACAATAAGGAGAACTCACCATAAATTTTCGGCTGATCCCGTCAACCTTCGTCAGATTTGTGATGCAATCGCTGACTTTCCGGAAGTCGGAAACGT